CCCCCCCGAATGACAACCCCTCTCATATATACCTAGGTACCTAGCATGATGCCTCTGGTTGCTGCTCGGGAAATGCTTTGGCAAACATGACTTCACAATTCCCATAACCGTCTCTATCTTCCCCGTCTTTCTTCGTCTTCCCCTTATCCGTATCGCGCTGGAATCTAAACATCAACCACCATGACACCCGTGCCGTCCCGCCGCCGCCCTGCAAAGCGTAGTCCGCCCGAATGTTTAAACATCGCGCTACTCTGCTAGAGTATCTCTCCACCAACAACAACCGGCCACCACCACATTATCCTGCTATTTATCCGGATTCCAGATCCAGGAACCCGAACTTCTTGGATCGTGCCGGCCTCACACCGAGCTTTTTACTAGCAGCTGGCTACTGTACAGTACAGTAATGTACCTTCGTGTTCCCGCTATTATTATTATTGATGGACTCGGTGGAGTACTCCGGATCTTGTGCTCTCCATCCCGCAGCTAATAATACGAAGTAGACTACTTGGAGGAAAGTGGCTCGCTCGATCAACCACCCGCTCCACCGAGGGATCGATCGCCTTAGCTCAATCCCCCCGTCTTGCTGGCGCCTCGAACGCAAAATCCCCAGTTCGGACCCCGCGTCTCAACTTGTGAAGCTTATAGCTTTCCAATATTCGAGCCTTATTACACAAGAAGAAGGAATATCAATAATAGAATAGAATTGAGCGTCCAGTATCACGGTCGCTAGCTATTCTCCATATCTATAACCAACCCCGAGAGGTAACCAGCTATAACCAGCGGAACAACGCCCGAACCCATGTTGTGTTCTCAATGCTCCGAACCAGCAATCCCATCCCACTTAGGTAATTAGGTTAACGATAATCCGAGGAGACCGCTCAAAAGCAGATGTCTGATCTGCATTTCCTACCAAAAATCTACTTGCTTCTATCCCTCGGAGCTGCTCCGAATATTGAACTCAACCGCCCCGCACCCCATGACGTCCCACTCTTCCCTTCCCAAACCCCCTGTCCCCCACCCTTCGAGGGAGACTCGATGTATAAGTATAAGTATAAGTGATTGTTCTTCAAAGACCAATTCTCTATTCAAGTCATCTCTCTGTGCTGATCAAGTCAAATCATTTTCACGGAACTCTACTTCGCTACGCTACCGGTGCTGCATGTCACTAGGAGCAAGCCACACCATCATCACCCATCACCAATTTATCCAGACTCAAAACAAATATAATTAGGAACATCTACATCGCTCTATAAAAACCCCTCTATTCCTTCTCGGATTTTCCGATATTTCCCAAATACCAAAATAGTTATGTCTGAAAAAATAGCCTTTCTCGGCCTGGGAGCCATGGGCTTCGGCAGTAAGAATAACCAGACTCCTTAACTCATGTTTCTACCCCTCCATGTACCCCTCCAAACATATGGATATCCCCCATCTTCTCAAACCCAGACAAAATGAGACGGAAAGGAAGAAACATAATGGCTAGCTGCTAACCAACGCAGTGGCCACCAATCTCGTCAAACGCTCCCTTGTCGTAACGGGTTTCGATGTCTATCCCCCAACACTAACACGTTTCGTGGCCGAGGGCGGCTCCTCTGCTCCAACACCGCGCGAAACGGTACAAGGCGCAAAACATGTAGTCTTCATGGTAGCAACAGCAGCCCAAATCCTCTCCGCATTATTCGACGAGGAGACCGGCGCCATTCACACACTTGTTCCGGACGCGACCCTGATTCTCTGCTCCACGGGCCCACCAGAATACACACCAAACGTGCGGAAGCTGCTCGATGAGAAATATGCCCGGAAAGACGTCAAGGTTGTAGATGCGCCCGTATCTGGAGGGACAATCCGCGCTGCGGATGGCACACTCACCATTCTTGCTTCGGGCCCGGAGGATGCGCTAGCTGCGGCGAGGCCGATTCTCGATGTTATGGCAGGGAGCAATCTTTATATCATTCCGGGGGGACTAGGTGCGGGCACCAAGGTCAAGATGGTGCATCAGGTGCTAGCGGGCATTCATCTTCTGATGGCCAGTGAGGCTATGGGTTTTGCTGCTGCGCTGGGCCTGGATACGAAGAAGGTTTTTGAGCTGGTGAAGGCGAGCGAAGGGACCAGTTGGATGTTTGAAAATAGAACACCGCACATGCTGGTAGACGATAAGAGGATATACTCTGCGTTGAATATTATAGTAAAGGATATTGTAAGCTTTGCCCTTCCCTGCCAAAGAAGTACTGCACAGCTTTCTAACCATTAGAATTCAGGCAATCGTCACAGCAGGAGGCCGTAGCGCCGAATTCCCCCTTTTCCTCGCCTCAACCACAGAACAGGTCCTCGCATCCGGCGTAAGCGCCGGCTACGGCCTCGAAGACGATGCCAAACTTGTCAAAGTCTACCTTCCACAAAACCCCTCTCTGGTTCTCACACAAGCTTCATCCGCGGCATCGTCAGAAATCGACGCGGCTAAGTTGAAACTAATCGTCCAGATGATGTCTGCAGTCCACTTGGTCTCGACCATGGAAGCCATGTCTCTGGGTGCTAAAGTCGGGCTCGACGCGCAACAGCTCTTCGAGATTATCTCTACGGCGGCGGGCACCAGCTGGATGTTCAAGGATCGGGCACCTCAACTTCTGAGCGGGAACTGGACCTCGAAGAAGACTGTCGATGATGTTATCGCCGAGTTGGTAAGTCAATCGTTCTCTTCTGCTTCAGAGAACCATATACTAACAAAACTCTTCCACGTAGACCGAATCCATTGAAGCCGCCAATCTCCTAAAATACCCACTCCACCTCTCAGGCACCGCTTTCCAGCTGCTGCAGCTCGCGTCACTAAAAGGTCTTGGGAAACAGCCTGACGTGGCGGTTTCCAAGTTATGGGAGGGTCCCGAGGGTCGGTTGTTTAGGTCAAAAGCGTAAGAGTAGGATTGATTCCCCTTTATTTATGGCGCAACCTTTGGGGATTAAGAAATCAATGTAAAACAATAACCCTATATAGTGGAAACTGGTTAGTTATATATATATAAATATATTGTCATGAAAAAATATAGATTCCTGTCCTTTTCTCCCCTAGTGTATTTAAATAAAGTCAGGTATCATCTACTTCGTATTCTTTCCGCCTTGCTGTAAAATAAATTGCTGCACTCTCTAATTCGGCCAATTTAAATTTAAAAAATCCCCTATCATGATGCGGAATATATCAGAACCCCAATAAATAATTTCCAAATCAATAGACCTTATGGGACTCGCATTTATTTAGTATTATCTTCCTCTAAGAAAATCCCTTATATTATTTTCGTATAAAAATTTAAAAGCCAGCGACTTAGTCCACCAATCCTCACGCTGTATGTAGCTATCCTCGCACAGGAGCTCAAATATCTCCATTCTGAATGCCATTTTATCCTTTACTAGCAAGTTCATAGTATCTTTAGAACTATTTATTTATTTTCCAGACTTTAAAGAAGATAATATCTTACTTGATATAGAATCCAAGTTAGTACGACAAGATTTCGTACAAACAACAGAGGTAGATTCCCCTGCCTCCTACTTACTATTTTCCCCATTTATTCTTCTTTCCTGCCTCGTCTTCACATTTAATAATTCCCTGCCACGCATCTAACATTCAAGTAGATATTGAATATAAGGGAAGTCAAAGATCTATCCACCACCCCAAAGATTGGGAAATGGCCGGTACAAAATATATTTCTCACCCTACCCAAATAACCGCACTGCCCGGCTCACCTTCAAACAGATTCCTCCGAGGGAGCCAAACTTCCCCAGATTATCTTTCAACGCCCTCCATTCAAACGCCACACGGCCAGTCAGTCCTACAGGAACGCATTCCAATACTTTGGCCATCCAGATTTCAACGATAGAGGTAAGTAATAATCTATACAACCCAGCCCATCCCCATCCCCATATTTTATTCCATATTAAATATACCAAGTTAGTTATTAACCGCTCTCTCCTTTAGCAGAATCCACCCCCAAGGACTTAATCCCCGATCTCGAGCCTGTCGATCTGTGACGCTCTTCCAAGGCGAGGATAACGACGAGTTCCTCGATTTAATAAATAAAATGTTCCAACGGCAACCGGAAATAAGGAGCCTCAAAGCACTTGCTCGAGCACCCTTTTCCTCAAGATATTAGCCATGATCATTAAGAAGTATAGCAAATGGCTAGAATTGGACCAATGGCGGCATTCTCATTTACTCTAGATACTAGGCTACACAGATTCACCATATATTTCGATCCTTTCCATGTCTCTTGAAAAGCTTTACCGCAGAAAAACTCACAGATCCACAAAAGAAGTACTACTTTGATGGGATCCGGTTCCTCACCATCTCCTTTGCGGTACTTCACCCATATTTCAGAAGCTCTTCTCTCCCCATTTTGAACCTTATTTCTTCGTCCTACATGGCTCAGTAAATAGAGCTTCTTCTGAGAAGTTCGTTCATCTTGCTATGTGCCAAAATGCAAATAACCAGTCGACTATTCGACTTTGGCCGTACCATTTTCCAGCACGAGGATACAGCAGCCAGAGTTCTGTGTAGGAACTTGCAGAAGATTGAGTTCCCAGACACGTTCTCTCCCATACGCCGACAAGCGCAGCTCTTCGAGTTCTGGCCCAGCACTATGCTCCATTGCGCCCGAGTCTCTTTTACCAGTAACTTACATCAAAACACTGCAAAGCACGCCGAGTCACAAAGATCACATATTGGGCTTTTCACACCTTTCGGATTAATAATAATATGCTTGTCCGCCCAGGCAAGCCAGCAGGCCATGTGTCCGAGGTACTACCTTACGGGTTCCCTCAAGGACACACTCCACATCTGGCCTACCTGGACGGACGAAGCAAAAACTACTCTACATACAACAAAAGCCAGCCCGCAGGCGGCACAAAAGCAACAAAAAACAAAAAAAACAACAAAAAAACAACAAGACTCCAACACCGGCCCAATGCCGCCCCCCCGCCCCCCCCGCTCCATGCCTAAATAATCATACAAAAAAACAAAAAAAACGAAACAAACACACTCCTCCCCCCCAACCACCCCCCCAGATCACTCTGGGAACACCCAGAAATCTTCTGGCAGTCTTTCGACCGCCTTCTCCACCCCCGCGGTAAAATTATCGAAGGTGAAGGGCCGCGCCCCTTCACCCTCGCCCACACCCGCATTCTCCTTCCCAGATGTCTCCCCATGTAGGGGAGACATCTTCGTCATGTTCCGCAGCTTACTCGGATGCTTCGGCTGGTACTTTTTGGCGTTGGCCAAGGCCAACGCCGACGGTTGGGGGGCAGGAGGAAGCTGGGCGTTGCTGGGCCGCGGCTTCGCAGGTGGCGTCTGTTGCCACTCGGTCGTCTGTTGTGCAGTGTCGTATGACAACTGCTGCAGTTCCTCTGGGACTGCAATATTTAATGCCTCCTCGGACGGGATTGTAATATCGTTCGACATAGAGAGGGGCTCCTCTGACGGGAGTGTACTATCGTTTGACACTGGGAGTGACTGCTCTGATGGGATAGTAATATCATTCGACACAGGGATGGACTCCTCTGATGGGAGTGTATAATCAGGTGACACCGGGAGCACATCCTCTGATGGGAGTGTTGTAGGTGGTGACTCCGGGGGGCAAAGCATTCGGGTGATTTCAGCTGTGGTTGGCGAATTCTCATCCCATTTGAATAAATTCAAACTTCTCTTTGGTTCCACTGGCTTTTCTTTTGCCGGTGCCTTTTTTCTGCGTACATGTCTCGGTACCGGAGTAGGGGAGATGGGAATCTGAGGCAATTGCGGAACGGGGAGGGGTGTCGGAACAATGCCGGCAGTATCCATCAACGTGTCATTTTCGCTTTCAGAGTCTCCTTCCTCGGAGCTACTCTCATACGGAACAGTAAACACTCCAGGAGCGTTTTCTGGGGGGGTGCGAACAGATCTGCGCTTTCGCTTCTTCCCGGTCTCCTGCCCTGCCTGTGAAAGGGTTTCATTGTTAATGATATGCTCTCTAGCAAGAGAGACTTCTTCATCTTCGACACGTGCTCGTCTAGACTCCTGCCGAGCCTTTGCGAGGCGATCCTCAGCTTCCCGATCCTGTCGATCCTGAATCTCCTTGATTCTCTCCTGGGTGATCACACCAGCAAGATGAACCGGGGTAACAGTTGGAGGCTTCTTGTCCAGATATGCGCGATAAGGTCGTTTCTTGCGCTCTGTCTGAGCTCGTGGGGCCCACGGATTTCGATGGGTGGGTGTCGCAGCTGGGGCACGTTGACTAGTAATGTCGCGAACCCTTACGCCAGAGGTAAATTGCATTTTTTCTGCCGGCTTATCAGTAACCGGAGCACGGCGTCTGCGAATTCGTGCCGGGGTACGAGTAAGAGATTCAGGAATTGCAGGTAGCTGATCATATGCCAACTTGGTGGGGCTTTCTGAAGGGTGATTAGCGATCGGGGTTGCGTCGATGGTACTTTCGCCTCGACGACCCATGAAGGTGAAATTGAAAGGGGTAGTGACTATGTCCTTTACTCTTGACACAGTGCTCCAGAGACGAGATTCTTTCGGCTCCGGAGTCTTGGGCGGGCCTGGGAATTCAGGTTCCTCGATCTCGGTTTCTGTCTCGCTGATGTCCGCCTCAGCATCCATAGGAGCAGATGGTTGGTCTGGCTGTTCAGCCCCGTCGCGATGGTGTGTGGAAGTATCCTCGTGGACAACTCCTGCGGTGGTTGGAACCTCACCAGTAGCCTGAGTTGCGGCAGCCTTTGCCAACTCCTGGGTCTTGAATGCCTCTAGAAGTGCCTCCAACTGCTGCGCATTTGGTACTGGGTTGGAGGGGTCGCGCTCTGCCCATTTGGCTAGACAGCGCGTCGCGTCTATAATGTCATTTCTCTTTAGCTCGAGTCTCTTCTCAGTTGAATTTTCTGGGATAATAAGATAAGAAGCTTTTTCTTCTTTAGCCATACGCTTTTTCTACAAGACAGCAAGTCAGCATTTGAACTTGAAGGAAAAATTGTTAGAATGGACTCACTTCTCGAAGAAGTTCCCTTCGGTGCTCCATGGCACGGATCTCCTTCATCTTCTTCTGATGTTCGCGATCCGAGATCGGGTTTCCGGTTACGTCTTCAAGTGCATCCATATCAACCGACGAATCCGATCGATAATGCTGCGAATGGAAGTTAGCAGTGTTTCAAACATTGAGGATCATGGTTTGGAATTGGAACTTACGTAGTCTGGTTCAATGTTCATATCATTTCGAGTCCGCTTAGCAGGACGAGACAACTCCTCAATATCAAAGTCATCAACACTTTGGTGGGTAGATGATGACGCTTCAACTCGACTGTGCTTACCCAGTACACTGTGCACTGGAGCTTTGGTCGAAGTTGGCTTCCGGCCTGGCGAGGTAGTGGAAGCATTCTTATTATTCAACTGGTTGCGGCTCCGAGCGGCACCAATTGGTGATGTGCGCTTAGCGACTTTGTTTAAGTTGTTGAGGGTGAAGGGTTTGAAGGAGGGTGGCGAGATGGTACGGGTGCGCGAGGTGGAAGGTTGGGCGTGGATGGGGGAGGGAGGTGAGGTCGATCGAGACTCGGGCACAGCCTGAGGGTCAGACTCGACGTCATGTTCGTTCTCTGATTGCGATCGCGAAGTACCAGTGGGAGGGGAGAGGGGACGAGCAGAAGCAGAGGCAGAGGCAGACGCGGCAGGAGCATCGACGGCAGCTTGAGCAGAATCGGCGATGGTCTTGATGGTCTTCTGTGTCCTGGCACGAGTAGTCCTCTTGCGAGGCTGATCCTCGAGTTGACGGAACCCACTGGGGCTGGGATGGGCTCGAGTGCGACGCGACGACATCGTGACGACGCGCACGCAAAACGAGGGGGCAGAGAGGGTAATGAAGGGGCAGATGATGTATCAGTGATCAGAAGGTCCTTGAAGGCAAGTAAGAGGTGAATCAGGAAGCTGGAATGTAAATTCACGAAATTTCAAGAAGCGTTGATCGACGATGGAGGAAGAAAGAGTGGACGTTGATGTGGGATGGGGGATGGTCATCGCAAACGACTCAGGCTAAACCCAATCTGGGGTGGACTTGTCGCTGCAGCGACAAGGGTTGCAGGGCAGGCGCGACCCGCAGCCTCGTGCCCCCCCGGCCTCCCGCACACCAACCGCCGCAGCCGCGTGGAGCCGCGCCGTTATCAACAAGGGATCCCGAGTATCAGAGTATTTTAATTTTAATTATAGTTGTAATTATACATGTACTTCGAATTGGAATTGCAAAATTGGACTTATATTAATATAAAGTCGCTGCAGCCTGTAGATTTAATTACTTGTCAATTTACTCTTCGCAATAACCAGGTACTGTACATAGTTCTGTAGGTAACTGCAATGCGCCCACGGTCTCCCTCCATCGTGACTGCTTTCTGCCGCTTCCAGCGCACAGGCACACCATGGCAACCGGTTGCTACAGGCATCCCAGCGCTCGTAGCCTTGTTTATGCTCGCTTCTGGTGGTCGCCTGCTGCTCCGTTGCCACTCTCCAACATTTTTGACTGCATCTGGGAAATCTTGTCTTTGTCCATTTGGACTGCTATGGATGTTAAGCCTAGCATTTTCCAACATGGGCTTTCTCAGGCTTAAGAATAGCTCTACACAACAAAATGCTCTCTATCCATAGCCACACCACGCGTAAAGCACAGCAGCACAGCAACCGTTGCAACACCCACACCCACCACTCACCACGAGAAATAAACCCAAACCCCATCCATAGAATGCACACCGAAGCAGATTAAATTGCGGTTTAAAATACAAGAATCCTTAGACCTTACATCGTCCCATCCAAATGTATTCCCCCCTTCCTAACCATCTTCGTATCGCATAACAATATGAGTCCCCCCCCAGCGAAAATTAAAATATATACGCCCATGCACGATAATCCAGCCCGGTGCGCCTCCGTAGAGCCCTGTTCCTCCATAAATGCCACGCTCGCTATGCTAACCGTTCAATCCATTATCGCGTCTCTGTGTATTTCCTGTCCCGAGGTAAAGAAAGTAAAGGTCCCCAGTAAAGGTCATCATCTTCGAGTTCTATCCTGCAGGGAGGCTAGCAGGAAATAGCTGTCCACCATGAGAAAAACCAAGCACCGCCAAAGAGGTTATCTGCAGCTCGAGCAGCTACAGATATCCTACATTATTTTCTACAGAATCAAGGAGATACACTTAAAAAACAATCCACCACTTTCCTATATGCCAGCATAGGAAAGACACATTGTGCCATGTGCACGCACACAGTCAACCGCTAAAGCCAACGAAACGCCGCAATATACAAATGCTGACGGAAATAATTAAACCGAAGCGTTCTCGGAGCCATTGGGGTCGAGAAGATCTCCCATTGTTACGCTGAGCGCCTTGAAGTCAACAGGCTTTGTTACATAGCTGTTAAACCCCGCCTGCACGCACTTGTCCACAACATCGGCCATCACGTTGGCGGAGAGAGCGATGATAGGCATGGGGGGGTACGACTCCCTCTCCTCCCACTGTCGAATCTCGCGGCATGTCTCGTACCCATCTTTGTTGGGCATATGGAGATCGCACTATGTCATTATGTCAGTGGTCGGTTTGCATCGAGGGAGTGGGTGTACTTACGAGGATAAGGGAGTAGAACGAGTGGTCCTGAGAAAACACTTTCTTTGTACATTCCACGCCATCCAACGCAAGCTCGACTGCAATACCCACTTTGCTCAGAAATTTCAAGAGGACCTTCTGGTTAACCAGGTTATCCTCAACGAGAAGCACCTTGAGGCCCTTATTGCCTATCCGCTTTGTTACCTCAAGATAGCTCTGCTTTTGATCCGCGACTTGTTGAGCAGCATTGAAGCGATTGCGGTCTGTGCTGAGATCTCGTTCCTTCTCGGGGTCGAAGATAACCGCAAATCGAGATGGCTTGACCGGCTTGAAAACGAAGGTAAGGCGGTGCTCTTTGGCGAGCTGATCGTAATCATAAGCTGTTGCTATTCTGAAGATTTCTTGCCTTTGAACTGGGTCAGAAAGCACGACAACCGACGTGTCAGGCGATGTTGTCGATGACATGGTTTGGTTAATCAAAGTAACAATTTCCTCCTTTGAACTAATATTTACAACGATATGCGTAAAAAAAACGGGATCATCCCCACAAATCAACTGCTGGGCTTCTTCAACGGTTGCCCGGGCTGCGATTTGATGTGGAACATCCTTAGGCAATGTCATCTCGATATGCTGCGTGGTGGCCTCACGGCTGTGTCGTTGGGGGCAAATGATTAAGATCGAGTACATTGGTGGTCTTGATCGTTTAACAGGGACAGTGTCCATTTGGGACGCGTTACTACCGCGAGGTAGCTCAGTATCCGCTAGCGGTAAAACGGTTCTAGACGAGTCATCAGACTCTACCACCGAGCTAGGCGGGTTAATGCTGGATGAGGATGAGGAGCGCCTATCGGGGAGCGCGAGATTCATTTGATTGTCTTTGGATGAGCCTATTCTCGTCGCCTGACTGAAATTAGAAAGGCTTTGCCCTATTGACGATGACGACGACATCTGCGTAACATGCGACTGCACGGAACTAACTGATGGTGTTGAGCTACCGGGTGATAGCGTAGCAGGGGATGCGATAATACTCGGCTCGTTGTTGGGACGGCCAAATATTGGGGACGGCAGCCGCTGGCCGGCCGCCAGAGGCATATTCATGATTTCAGGCTTAAGGATACGTGTAACAGTGCGATCATTGAGGAGTGCGGCGCTGATCGGTATATCTTTGCTGCGCTGCGGTGTTGATTTTGTTGCCGGGTGATCTTCCTCGGTAGGCAAGCCAAACGTTGCTGTAAACGTGAATGTTGAGCCTTTCCCGGGGACAGCACTGCCTTCCATCTTGCCACCATGGAGTTCAACAAGTTGTCTTGAAATCACCAGCCCTAGGCCAGTGCCCCCGTGAGTGCGAGTGCTACTTCCATCGATTTGGCTAAATGGTTTGAAAATCATTTCCGCCTCCTCCTGTGTGAATCCACTTCCGGTATCGATGATGGAATATTCCAGCACTATCTCGTTGGGATTGATGGAAGCATTTTGCGAAACTCTGCAACGGCTAAAGACCTCGCCAACTGTTGTAAACTTGATTGCATTACCTACAATGTTGAGTAGGACTTGTCGAATTCTGAACTTGTCTCCCTTGACCATTTCAGGAACATCGACATCAACGACATAGTTCAACTCGATTCGCTTGGTGATTGCCAGTGAGCACAGAATCTCATTAACTTCTTCAACTAATGAGCGGGTATGAAACCACTGAAAGGACAGTTTCATCATGCCGGCATCAACTTTTGACAGATCCAAGATATCGTTGATAATGTTGAGAAGGCTATCGGCACTGGATTTGATTGTATTGGAGTAGTCTGCCTGTTCATCGGTGAGGGGTGTATCTTGCAAGAAATTGACCATTCCAGAAATGCCAATGAGTGGTGTACGGATCTCATGTGACATATTGCTTAAGAATCTTGTCTTCACGTTCATAGTCTCTTTTAACGTCTTTTCAAGCAGTTTATGGTTATGGATGTCGGTGCAAGCACCGAACCACGAGCCGTCACCGCTACCGAGAGCAATATTTTCGACCTCGACGCAACGCACAAGATGCCAACGGTAATCCCCAGTTTTAGATTTTAATCGCACTTCCGTTTCATATGACTGTCTTCCATCGCTATCTGTGGTGATCTTGATCACCCCAGTTCTCGCCAGCTCAGCCAAGTCTGCAATAGGGTATTCATAAATAGATTCGCTGCTCGAGCTGTTGGTTCTCGAAAGCGATGGATAAACCCCTTTGACAGTGATTTCGTTTGGTGCCTCGGAGGCGCTGGAAGACTTGGACTTGCCTCCAGAAGATACTTGAGCGGGACGCCGACTGGTTTCGTGCCGCTTCTTCGACCGCACGGTAAAGGGAGCCGGAGCTGGTGGTTGATTGACAGGGATATGGCACTTGGCGAGATCATCTGGATGTATATGATCCATAAAACCTAATCCCAAGGCATCGTCAAAGCTCTGGCCGGTGTATGACAACCACTGCTCGTTCGCAAAGGTGATGCCGTCATCCTCCGTCGCTGCAAAGGTAATTTGGGGGATTAGGTTCGCAAGTTGCCGGTGTTTCGCCTCCGATGCTTCGATCTCCTCCTGCCGGGCTGCTTTCACCTCTGCCACATGTTGATCATGGATATCCATGTGTGTGCCGTACCACTGCACAATAACGCCTCGGTGGTCACGGTGACCCACCGCCCTGGTATAAAACCAACGGTAGCTGCCGTCAAATCTTCTGATGCGTACTTGCTTGGAGAATTGTTCTCCAGAACGGATGGCATGGCCCCAAGCCTTTAGGTATTCATCTCGCTCGTCGGAATGAAGGCTTGCCCAAGGATCGTGGTAGAGATCCTGGACCGTCTGACCACGGTAGGTCAAATATCTATTATTAACCCATACTATTTCGCCTGAAGGGGGCATAGCCACGAAAACGTGAGCGGGCAACGAGTCGAGCATCAACCCCTTCACTCGATCTGATGGCGGCGGCATTTCTGTTGGCACAGGCATAGATCCCGAGCGCCCAGGAACCACCGTGGTTGACGAGCCTCTGCCAGACGTAGTTGGCAGAGATTGAAATGTTGCACTGAAGTCCGCCCCATATGAATGTAGTTGCGTATGGGGTGTCCGTTCCGCCATTGGCCCCTTTGAACCACGCGATGTCTGGCGTCGGGGAGGAGCTTCAGGGTGGCTGCGAGCGGGGCTGGCATTTTCCGGTTCAGCAGTCTCATGCTTCAATATTGAAGTCACAGATCGAGACTCATCATTTTCTGGTTTGGTCAAGTTAAGGTCGCTACGGAGGTCGGTATCAGGGGTTGCAGGAGCTCCGCGTTTCTCTTCCAACATTCGACTTTGCTGGTGGGATCTCGCTTCTATTGGGGAAGGATCTTTAGATGGCAGCCGTGCTCTAACTATACTGTTGTTCGTAGAGCCTGTGTCCACTCGCCCAAGAGCGGGACGCACCCTCGGAGCGAAATAGCTTTCTCCAGCACCATAGACTGGACTTCCGCCACTGAGTCTTTTGTCCCGGCTGAAGCCAACACTGCTTGGTTCCCAGCCTGGGGTGACGGCAGGAGACCCAGCGGCGCTTCTAGACACGCAAGAATAGTCGCTCGGACTTGTGATACTGCCTCCAGATGACCGTTGAATATTATTCTCATCAATGGAAGATGAGCAGGTGTGGCCAAGTGCTATCCGTTCATCAACGGGAGGTGCACCGGAGATAACGGCGCCAAATCCAGCTTGTCGCGGGCCCTTTCTCGATAGGCCAGCAATCTCTGTTTGAAGGTTGGAGTGGTGACGACAGAGGGAATATGAGCTCGCTAAATGGGGAGCAAGAAATTCCAAAGAGTGCCTAAGACTCGAAGGATACGGAATAACGGGGCTTAGCAGTGATAAAATCGCAATAGGAGTCCGCCTTTCTCTAATCGCCTCTGGCTCTTGCGGCTTTGCCTTCGTATCGACGCCTTTGGCGCGAGCAGCTGACTTCGATTCCATGGCGGCAGCATCAAGACGGAAGGCATGGACAGCCTTAGAAAGCAAGGGGTGCATCAAAGGCAGATGCAACACCGTCCAAGACCTATCTACCCCAATAGCCTCGACTTGAGAAGCTTGCGAATAATCGTTTGATGTCGGATTTGGATCGAAGGTCTCCTCGTCGACCGGGGCATTAGCGAAAAATGGGTTCTCGTCCGTTTCAGAGCGAACGGCAGGTGAGGGCGCTGGTGACTGAGACCACGGGGATTGCGAACCTTGCTCATATTCCTCGTACTTTGCAGCTTCGACTGGAGGCTCACGGCTAGAACGTTGAGCATGTTTGCTCTTGCTACCCAGAAAAGATTGGATCCGCGAGCTTAAATCGGTGGTTTTCCCTCTCTTGGACTTATCAGGTGGCGATTCCTTCGACTTCCCACTTCGCTGTGACTTGGTTCCGCTCCCATTACTCTTGTCATCTGTCGAATCCGGTCGTTGGTTATAAGGATAGTCTCGCGTCAGAACAACGAGTTTCTCACGCTCCAGCACTCGCATGACACCAGTATTATCTATTAGTGGATCCGCTTCGTAGTCTAGAGCCTGTAGAACTGGGAAGACACGCCCTCGCACTTCTCTTTCAGCCCCTTCATTATCCTCCCAGACGACAGACGATTTCATCTCTTCAAATTCTGTATGGCGTCGTAGAGATTGTAAACTAGGCCTTGCACTTGGGCGCCTGGCCGAACTGAGTGGCATATCTGGGGCACCCGCAACGTAACTCTTTGCTCTAGCTAAGACTGCTGGTCGCGTGGCAGTGCTTCTATGTTCCTCAGGAACTGGAGGGGTCTCGCGCTTCGTATCTTCGTAGGCGGTAAACGAGTGTCTGCTTTGAAGGCCGGGTCGAACTGCCCTCAGGGTCGGCCAGAAGTCCGGGGGTGAATCTCCCTCGTCCGAATTGGATATTTCATTTGTACTGCTGACCACCAAACTGCTTCCACGCGGCAAGTATGCGAGGCTCAGTTCGTCCTCTTCTATGGCATTAAATGTCGCCTTTTGGGCCCAAGGGACATTCTCCACATCTGTAGGGTCGGCTGGAATCGTCAGTGTCACGCGCTCGGCCATATAAGAGTCTCGCATAATGTCGGAAACCGTAGTCCACCACGAATCAAGCCCAGGCTCCGACACAAGCCTTAGACTCAAGTCGTAGAGATCTGGCATCTGATAGTTGGGATCGTTCACCTGCGGAGACGCCGCCGGAGGATGGAAGTTCAACGACGACGCGGGGGTAACTGGGCCGGACTGCACTCGGTCACAGACATGTCTGTCTAAGGGCTCCCCCGACGGCGGTGCTGGATTAACTGTCGGGGACAATGTGGTAAAGGGACGATGGCTGTTGTAGCTTAAATGTCGTGGGGTCTTCATCGAAGGAAATGGGTATGACGGGGTGCGTACAGACATGGCAGCTGGTGTGAATCCTTCGCGGATCGTTGCTGCAGACTCGGTCGAGGTCGTAGCACTTGGAAGAGGGCTCGCGAAAGCTTCGTCCAAAGATGACGGAGATGGCGCCTCCTCCTCATGTATTGGCGACACTCGAGATTTTGTTGTCGTAGTAGACGCGATTCCACCTTGATCGCCCTTCATCGCTGATTTCCTGACACGCATTTCGCGCTGCTGACTCAACTGAAGTTGTGTATTCATAGCTGCTCGCAGTCGTTCCAATTCTTCTGCCGAGTTCATCTTGGAGATATCCACACCCTCAGGGCCAAATTTTACTCCTCGCCCCCCAGCGCCCGAGTCTCTGGGAGCTGCTGGCGCTATGGTGCGTGGATGCTCGCTGGGTCCATCTGGCAGCGTTCTTGAATTATCCTGTTTGCCCAAGCCGTCGCCTCCTCCCAACTCTGCGAGGGCCCTATCCAGCCCTGACTCCGGTGGTGCCATCGCATCCCAGGGCGACAAGTCTGGCATCGATTCTTTTGGCTTGCCTTGAGACGTTTGAGTGGCCTTCGCCCCATGCTTCGATGACCGAGTAACCGATTTCTCGCTGCTCGATCGCCGAGAGCCACTAGGTCTTCGACTATGGGAGGAGCAAGAGGATGGTTTATCCAGAGGCGATTTTGGAGGGGGCATGCCGCGCCCACTGGAACCCCCACAGCCACCGAGTCAACAAGATATCCAGAATGCTAATCGGTGTTTTCGTCGTTACTATCGCCAGCAGACCACACGGTCTCCGATCCCTCATTCGTGGAAAGCTTTTCGTTGGTGTTTGTTGGTGTTGTTCGTGTGTTGCCGTTATCATCAATCTGGGCGAAGCAGGAGGCGGTTGGGCGGGAAATGACGTATAGGTGGTCCTTGCGGTGATTCTATGGCGATCGCTGGATCATGGGCGCATGCGACATGCGGCTGAGGTAGGGGAAGAATGGAGGCGGATCTTTGTGCGATAGAGATTGCCAGCGCAAGTGTGGGAGGAATTATGAGTTTGGGAGGTGATTGTAAGGTGTAGGTGAGAAGGCGAAGGTGTAGGTGAAGGCGAAGTGGAGCGAGAGGATGTTCGCGTTTATGTTTCCATTTCGCAGCAGAGCAGAGTTGCCGTGTCACCAGTGCAAGGTACATGTACTGGTTTCTGGCTCTGGAGCCTGTAGCGCCTAGGAACGCGAAATGAAATGCGCCAAATTTGGGGTTCATTATTTTACTCTATTTTCATGCTATGCGACCTAGGTATGTTGTGTTATGTCATGTCATTCTATTCTATTGTTGCATAGTCTTGTCTTGTCTTGGATTGCATTCCTGAATTCTTAGTTTATTATTCTAGATTTATTTTCATTTTGGGTTAATGTGAATAATTTACGGGGTAGAACACCTGGCTTCTCTCGAGTACGTGCTTGTCAAGTCCCCTCCCTTACTAGCAAGGAGCAATTCCTTCCCACCACATGGCCACATGGCCACAAACAGCTGACTTTCCCAGTATTTTCAGGAACAGGAACCGGTGGAGAAAGTCGGCCCCGACACCGCTCGAACTATAACCAGCAAGGAATCCGTGGCTTGCAATAAAGTCGATGGAGTACCCCAAGAGCTAAGAGTCTAAGACCAACGTTTAGAGTGGGTGGGGAGCGAGTGAAACATAGTGAGAAAACCCGCTACTCCTGGCTGGATGCTCTGCCCTCCTCGAGTCCCAGTGTTTTCCGGGCTATCGGCATTAAAAAGCAAAGACACTTAATCATCTTCTGGCAGTAGCTTCCTAAAGAAATTCGAAAGACGTCCAAACCTGAAAGGTTGTGTAACTGTCCTACTCGTCTTACTCGACGTACTGCACGTCTATACCGCTTGTATGCAAGATGATAGGTCTACAATTCGTACAGTCGCATATCTGTATTTCATTTGCAACTGTCCCCGAGAGACCCTGAACGGCGACTGACGTCAGTGGCATCCACCGTCGTCATACGTCTCGTAGCCAGCCAATGAAATCACTCGCATGTACTAGGGTTGTTGTCTAGCGCTGCCGATCACTGCCTATTACTGTAGCCGCCTCAGGCAGCCACAATACTGATTTTTCAAGATCACGTGGGGATCGAAGTAAAGTACCCAAGTACTTTTGCCAACCTCAACTGCACCAAGGAGGCAACAAATAATTTGGAAGTACCTTAGTGTATGTACCTACCTAGGTACCCTAGGTAAGTATATTAAATATCTGCCATGCTTAAGCAGTATATATATCTAGTAAACCGCAGGGCTAGTTACTAGTAGGATTACGTGACATATGCCAAAGCATTGATTCTACTACTAGGCTTTAGCCTATAGAATTCGAGTTGATAAAGTATATCAAACAATTATAAATAAATATGCACTAAACTTTTATAAATGTCAACCAAGAGCAGGCTTAGGCTTAATCCGAACTTTGCCTCTCATATAAAAACAACAACTCGAGAGGGTATTATGTCGGAAAACATATCAACTTTAAATATAACCTCCCTCCATTCCTATTTCTTTCCTACCGTCTCAAGAAACGCAACGAGGTCACTAACCCCCTCGGGCTCCTGAATCCAATGTCCCCCATCACTATACTCCCTCCACTTGACCCTAAACCCCAGTGTCTCCATCACCCGCTTCGTCTCCCTCCCCAGCGCTACGTCTACCACATTATCATCCGCGGAATGCAACAGGAGAACCGGCGTGTCTAGCATCTCCTGCCTGCCCTGTCTAATTACCCCGTAACCTTCTACTCCCAGAGTTGATCTATAAAACTCCTCACCAAACTTCTTCTCACTCACAAATGGCATCCACATACTCAACCCCACAAAGCCTCCTAACCTTCTTCTCACACCGCCCATTAATGCATGCACCCCCACTGCCGCTCCTTGGCTGATGCCACCGATAGCCAACCTCTCAGCTGGCAGATCCTTGAGCTCGGCGTCCACCAGCGCCTGCACGTAAGAAATCCCCTCCCGGAGCCCATCGATCTGTAGGGAGGCTTCGGCGGCCGGGTCGGTGAGGGAGTAGATGTCGAACCATTCTGTCATATTTTCCTGGAATACGGTGGAGTGGCGGGAGAGGGCGGTGGGGAAGATGAGTTTCCAGCTGGGGAGACTCTGGGAGATGCCGGATTCGAGGAGGTCGGAGGCGAATTCAGGCCCGGAGCTGCCGCGGCCATGAAGGAGGATGAGTGTGTGTGTATGGGCGAGTGTTGGAAGAATGACGTACTGTGGAGGGTGGACTGCCATATTTTCTTTTATGGACAGAGTACTTCGTATGAGACTGTTGATTCCCGCCCCTTGAAATCTATTTTAAGGCTTTTGGGTTTGTGGGCTTCCGTGGCGGGGCTAGTTGCATTCCAAAGAGTATCCTGAGCTGGTTGTTGAGTAAGAAGTACGGAGGTATCTCCGCATTAACTTCGATGTTGTCTGTCAAAGTACCATGTCCCCGACACTTGGCGGGAACACCACATATCTTCTTGAACTTATTACTTACTCGGTACCAGACAGGCGGGTTGGGGTGAGATGGATGTGGATGTGGAGGGACTTGGTGGAAAGTTTAATCGGATAGCGCCCTCCTCCACCTCCGGAACTCAGCCCTGAAGAGCTCCGTAAATGCGGAGCGCAGTATCATACCTTCGAGCCGCAAACGAAAGGGCCCATAACACAACACGTCAGTTAGGCATGGCCTAAGGAGTATACGTTGGTGTCAATGCCAAGTGCCTACTGCTGGACGATGTAGTGTACTTAAAATAGTTCATCCGGAGGTAGCTCCGCAACGATATCGAAAGTGACTTGATAGGGCGCCAAACACTGCATTTTCGCCGAAAGGGGGACGCGGATGGCTACCTAGACTCAAAATCAGAGGAACAAGATTCATGAACAAATAATTTGTTTGGCCCTTTGCTACACTCCAAAGAGCTACCTGGGGTTATCAAAGATAAGTTCTTGGGAATGGCCCCCGAGGAAGGTAGAAAGTAACATTACCTATGTACCTACTAGGTAGGTAGTTTTATATGTAGCAATTACATAAGCTTTCTGCGTATGATATAGCCACGGACTGATTGTGCTCTCTAGGCATACAAAATTGAATGATGGAGTTTAGCTGACGAGGATAGTGAGGGCCCGGCCGATGATTGTGCTCCTGGACTGGGAAGTATCCTCTGTACGAAGTACTTTGCAACCAGATAAGCTGCTCTGACTAAACTAGATTATGGTGATTTGTAATGGTCTACGAAGGAGTTTGCAAGAGCAGCTTCATGTGATTCCTTCAGGGAATGAGAAACGAGTTCGGGCGAGCGGCTGCTGCGATTCGTTAAAGCCTGCGAGCAAAGGATGCGCCAGAACATTTCGATTCCCCCGCATTCCAAGGAGCGGTGTCGAACGACAGGATGGGAAGCGCGAGGGATCTGCTTGTGGGCAGAGGTGAGAACAATGCTATCTAGCTCATTACTAATTCATGAGTGCTTCCGGATACTTAGCTGATCCATACTGATATGCTCAAGTAGAGACATAAGCCAACGCTAGAAATCATACAGAATCTATAGAAATACAGTATATGTATCCAGTCAATATCTACGATCTATCACATCAGAAATTTATACACCTGTGAAGAGCATATGAGGGTAGGATACTACATCTAATCCTGATAAAGAATAGGAAAACCCTACGTTCTCGTAGTATTACAATTTGGACAACTCATATCACTGAGAAATACTTATCCCGGGAAGTTTAAACCCTCCACTAAGAGTACGATGTTAGCATGATATATGCCGGCATGCTTAACTTACTGGTTTTGGAGAAATAGCCAGCTCTCCGTCCACGACCACTAGTGAATTTAAATCCAAGAAGCCCGAATCCGGTCAGGAGGCAGCTGTTGGGGTCAAGGGTAGCGTCAACATCCTCCAGCAGCCTAGCTCCTCCGGCCTGGCCGCGCGAGAAAAGCGAGATGGCAACCGTAACGAGCGGGCAGCAGGCAGTTTGAAAAAAAGAGCTTGAGAGAGAAGCTGCTGAAGGCGGTTAGTCGAGTGGGAGCCGAGAAATAAGTAAACATGGCTACTATGTCATAGAGCTATCCTCGAAAGCTCCGCGAAGCTGCAGGTCATATGCTTGCTTGTCGGATAACTTGCGCGATATAATATGGAATATATCATGTGCCCTGTAGTACGGCATGAGGTTGTCGTGATCTTGGCCGCCGTTGCTATCGTGATCTTGGCCGTTGTTGCTGTCGCGATCCTGGTCATGGCTGCTATCGTAATCTTGGTCATTGATGTTGATGAGCCGGGGTTGGACCTAAGTATAGAAAAAACGGAAGAGGCCCGTCGAGCTTGACAGCGCAAGAGCATACCAGAATGTCCCCACCTCCCAAGCCTGATTCATAACATCTCCTAATCGCAAGTCCCCTTTCTCGGACGTATTTCTCGCCGTCAATTTTTCCTCTTCTTCTAGAATTTTCATGAATTCCATCCGTACCGTGTTGAATTCGTCGAGCAAAATCCGATCCACGCCTTAGTTTGTAAGCCAGTAAGGTGGCTGGACCACCTCGATAGGTCGAGAGCATGCCCATTCCAGGTCTACCAGCGAGGTACTATGTCAGGCTTTATCCACAAAAATATTGCCCTGGTGCATATCTGTCAAGGTAATAACAAACGGCCCGCGCCGCAGCTCCCGCTGAAAGAAGAGGGGCATAATCGTACACATCGCTGCTAATGCTGATATCTGATATATAGTCATCAATGTAGTTGACGACATTCGGCTTGCTTTAAAGGCGATTATCGTGGACTGCAAGCATATCAATGATGTAGGAGTCGATAGTGGTATAGGTTTAGTCTCGTAGTATGTTGGTAGAAATCTCCTCGTTTTCAAATGCCTGAATATCTATCGAAAGTGGTCGATTTGTTAAACCCAAGAACCCATTATCGTCAATAACAAAGGAGCCAATTCTAGGCAAGGGAATTCGACTAATGGTTAGGATAACCCGCGAAAGGTCGCGAAAGAAATTGGCCTGTAGCCCCGAATCGTGCTGCTTCTCTAACCATGTGTTCGAGAGCATTTATCCTTGTGTTTGCTCGATATACTCGACCAACAGATAGCTTGCATCTCCTAGGCCTAAATGTTTGTTATAATGTCGGACATATCGTGAAGGGACGCGGTACCCAAGCCATGACAAGACGTGCCGGCGTAAGTGATCGATACATCGACGTAGGAAAGGTAAACTTTGTAGCCGTGTGAACTGGATATTATTAATATTTGAATTTTCAATTAGTGGGATTGTTAAACTACGCACCGTCTGACCAGCACACAACGCAACGCCATAAAGCCGTGGAATCGGCACCTCGGGGCAATTCTCGTCGAGCCCACGCATATGTGACCGCCTCACATCGGATCTTCTCATCTCCATTGCCTGGCTGAAAGGACTCACCAACACGGTATGGTAGTGGGAACAGCAGAACGACACGCTTTCCCTTGCGATGCCGAAATCGTGACAGGAACACAGACATTGAAGCCACCATAGAGCTAATCAGACATATCCGCTATATCGCACGCATCGTCTGATTGGAAGCCCAGATGTTGAGCGACAACCGCCTTCATCAAGGTGCGCTTACGGTATAGATAATCAAAGAACCGTTCTTTCTTGTCGCTGTACCCAAGCTGGTGGAGGATGTTGACTTCCTTGTCCTGGGCAAACGGAGTATGTGATGTGCTCCTCGTGGAGAAGACGGCAAGTTGGCAGCGACATAGCTATAGAAGCATGCTTGCTGATGGCGGCGAAGTGTGAGCTGCTTCAAACATGAATTTGATGTGCTAGCCACAGCTGCAGAATATACAGAACAATGTACAGACAGAGTATACACTCACGTTAAGGGCTTCCAAGCACGACCGTACAGAGCTGTGTACTCCGACCTTGGCCCCAAGCGGGACCTTGCAGGGTTGACGGAAGATGTGGAAGCTCCCCTGTCCCCTAAATGCTACCCGCCCCCACGTTTCGCCGGAACCAGGTGACAAGCTCGACTTGCGCCATCTCGATCGTGACCCGACTCGACTCTGAGTGCCCAACAACAACAACCATTGCTTGAAGCATTGGAATCACCCATCATAGGTGCCGCTCTACAACATTATTGCTCGCTCATTTTGCCTCATTTTGTACTATCCTGAGTCGCCATCTCTCACCGTTAGCCACGCCCTTTCCCCCGCACCGTCACCCCGAGATGGGGGCTCAGACGTCCAAATCGGCGAACGAGGGCGATGCAGAGCGTACACCGCTATTGACGGACCCGCAGATAGATGGGATCGATCAACCAGCGGGTCTGATCAAAAGACCTGGGAGATGGCTGGCTAGAAACGCTGTGGTTGTGTCCATGAGCTTGTTGATTTTGGGTGTAATTGGCGTCCTATGCCTCTTCTTTAGAGGTAAGACTGGCGTCCCATTCCCGCGGCCTTCTCATCACCCTTACCTTCATTTCAGTTGCTAATTTGCCTTTACCAGCTTACAAGTCTGGCAAAGCAGCCGTTTGCTTAACTCCTGCATGTGTGCACGCTTCCTCCGAAATCCTATATAACCTCTCCCCGGACTATAAATCGATTGACCCGTGTAATAACTTTGAGGAACTCGTCTGTGGAGGATGGGATGAGCGTCACGACCTCCGCCCAGACCAGGGCGATGCATTCACCGGTACTATCATGAGCGAGAACTCGCAAATGCTGCTGAGGCATATACTGGAAGCCCCATATCCAGGTGACTCGAAGGTCAGTATCATTGAATAAACCAGCTGTTTTAGGAAGCCCATGAATTATGGTCAACTAACTGCCGTTTCTAATAGCACTCGAGTTTCTCTCCGGCCCGCCTCGTCGAAACCCTTTCCTCCGTTGATCAGCAGAACTTCAATACGCTACGAGATGCATACAATGCCTGCATGGATGAAGAGACTATTAAAAAGGCTGGCGTAAGCCCGCTCATCGAAATTCTCCACAAGGTAGCCGAGCTATATCCCGCTCAAGGATCAATAAATCGAGGCACCTCCCCCGTATCTCGGCAGGACGACAAAAGCTTGTCCGACACTGTCCTTTTCCTAGCTAGACTTGGTGTTTCATCTTTAGTCTCATTTGGCGCTGGGGCGGATGACAAGGACCCGGATACTGTCGTAGTTGTTGCATCCCCTCCATGGCGCATCGGCCTTCCTGCGAAAGATTATTACTCAGATGACGACGTCGTAAAAAGATATGAAGACACTCTTGTAAATATCATTGATCAACTCCACCCTGATCTCCAGGATGATAAACAGGACAAAATTGCTGCAAGTTCCCAGGCCAAGAAGTTCGCGCATGCAGTCGTCGAATTCGAGAAGAAGCTTGCGGCAGCATCCCCCGATGCTGAGGATAGGGACGATGTTACCGTAAGCTAAACTTGTTTCCATCCCACAACAGATACTAACCTCCAACGCTAGCAATATTACAATCCTATGTCTCTTAAGGACGCCGAGCTACTTACACCGCAGGTTCAACTTGGACATATTATAAACAGTCTAGCGCCTTCAGACGTCACCACTCAACGCCTCATAGTTTCGTCTCCCGATTATATGAAAAATCTCACATCTACTCTAAAAGATACGTCGAAGGACGTGTTGCAGACGTACTTTATATGGAAAACCATCCAAGCTTTTGCTTCGGACATAGAAGCGGATGAACTCAAGGCCTATAGTAGATTCACAAACGAGTTGCAAGGCAAGGTAGGATTCCCCTATTAATCTAGCCATGAGGCATTCATGCTCCACCTGGTGTTGCAAAGTATGGGCAATACATTTCGACGATGCTAATAATATGCAGGATCCTGATTCGACCCCCGAGCGCTGGCGATCCTGTGTCAGTCACGTTGATGGCGGACTGGGCTGGATTTTGAGCCGTTTTTTTGTCGAGAAAGCCTTTTCGGAGAAAGCTAAGGAGTTTGGTGATCAGATCGTGTCCGATATCAAGGATAGGTTTATAGAGAAGCTGAGGGTTACTACTTGGATGGACCAAAGCGTCATTGAGCTGGCTATTGAGAAGGTCCACAAAATCGTCCAAAAGATTGGATATCCAACCAAGGTAAATACCCAGAATACTGTTGCCCACCATGTGTTAACCATCAGCAGAGCCCAAATATACTAGACCCATCGAATCTGCAAGATTATTATCGTTCGGTCAATATTAGCCCCTCTACTTTCTTTCAGAATGCGCTCTCAATGGACCAATTTGAAGTTGCACGGGAATGGTCCGCTCTTGGCAAGCCAGTCGATCGCGACGAATGGGGAATGACGGTCCCCACAGTGAACGCCTATTACAACCCGCCAGGAAATGAGATTGTCTTCCCAGCTGGTATCATGCAATTCCCGGTTTTCGATGTAGAAGTACCACAATATCTAAGCTACGGTGCATTTGGCTCGGTCTCCGGACATGAGCTTTCTCATGCCTTCGATTCTACAGGTCGCCATTATGACCAAAATGGGAATTACACGGATTGGTGGACAAACAGCACAGTGGCAGGCTTCGAAGAACGAGCTGATTGTTTCATCGATCAATATAGCAAGTTCACCGTTCCAGGACCAGACGGCAAACCGTTACACGTCAATGGACGCCTAACCCTCGGCGAGAACATTGCTGATGCCGGCGGCATCACAGCAGCCTTTGCAGCTTGGAAGAAACGTCAGGCTGAAACGCCCAATGAGGATCTCCCAGGGCTAGATCACTTTTCTCAAGAACAACTTTTCTTCGTCAGCTATGGGAATTGGTGGTGTGGGAAGAGCAGGAAGGAGACGGCGATAAATCGCATCTATACTGATCCACATGCGCCCAAGTGGGCTAGAATTCTTGGGACGATGGCCAACTCGAGGGATTTTAAGGAGAGCTTTGGATGTGCTGTGAAAGAACCTGTTTGTGAGATCTGGTAGATGGTAAGATGCTTTTTGGTTTGGATGGCGACTGGAGTTTAGTGTATGTTGTGTGGCGGAACTATGATTGAACTATATACCGCCATTTAGGGTTCATTTTATTTTAGACATATGTATCATCTTGCGCTTGTCCCCGTTTTCTTCCTTTTGATCACCATTGTTCCCTGATCACATCGCGGTTATATATTCCGAGCCAAATTAAAAATACAATATATACATGCTAGATATTATGTGCCAAATAGGAAGAGGCAATGCTCGAATGCGTCGTAAGTCAGGACTCTTAGTCGGGGAGTGGTAGTTAGTAACTTTCGGGTGGAGCTTGTGGAACCACCCAGGTAACTACTCTCTAGAAAGGCCAGGGCGAGCATCTAGGAGCAGGTTGACCAAATGCAGAAGTGTATTTTTGGAGACTAGATGCAACAACCGATCAGGATATTTATAATGTGCTAAATCTATCATCTCATATAGCTGTTGGATCCTATCCAATTGGCCCAAGGTGACACAAAGCGACGTCCTAGAAACGACATTCCTATTCTACCGGTATACAACCATATAGCTCGCTCCTCAAATCGCAAACCCTGGGCATTTATTGTTAAGATATTCATCACGACGTTAACCAAAGCAGCGGGGACGGCTGTTTCTCTCAAACAGACCATTCCATTGACAACCATAACTTTTAATAGTGGACTAACTAAAGTCAAGCTTCTGCTTCTTGATCCTGGGTAGAACTCCAATAAGGATCAAGATAGATGAGACTAATACCGCCCACAATTTAATACCCAGAGTGGTCTGGTTGTAGTCTGTTTGTGTCGCCGCACACATCGTAGCAAGCATCATCACAAGAATGAGATATCCTGTAGCTCGATGCCATTTGTACAGCGACTTCCCCTTGTCTACGCTTCCGTAGAGCTGGGGGACGAAGTATGCCGTGGCGCCGACGAAAGCTTGGACCGCAAGCAGGACGTAGGTGATGAGGCCGAGGATTGCGTGGGCAGATTTGAAATGCGAAAAGCCCTGGGATATCTTGTTGTATTCGATGATCACCAGGCCAGCTACCAGCGCATCGATCGAGAGATTGTTGATCGTGAAATGCGTAATTGTGCCCTGGCGTTTCTGTTGTGCGGTGTGGGTGGGTTGCAGGACGAGGATGGATTGCGTGATTGCTAGCAGGCCCGCTGAGTTGAGAAGCGGATGTGCTGAGAAGAGGATCAACCGGTGCAGGAAGACGTTTGCCCATACGGATGCGACTAGGAGGATGATGCCAGCTTGAGCGATTACTGCGGTGCCTGAACCGTAAAGTGTTAGTAGGAGCTCGGTTTTTGGATTGGCTTCGTGAAGTTCTCACCGAGGAAGATATTGCGGTAAAGGGCCTGCCCCTCAACCTGGGACGCATCGCCACGACGACCGAGGAGGGGCTCGTATTCTCCAACCCCGTCTCGCTGATCTTCACGGGGATGCATCAATGTGTCCGGAATAGCCTCTGGAATTCCTGTTGCGGTTGCCATATTGCGTTGCGTTGGCTTGACCTCGTAACGTGTGCTCTTTGTATTGTTGCTTCGCAGGTTCTTTGGCCCGCTTCTTGCTCTTTCGTTGACGAGTACGCGTATGTAGAAGGCACTAGTAAGATATGGAGCGATGAAGGTGGTAGCGAGAATTTAAAGACGTGGACGAGCTGAAAGACCTTGAAGGAAGATGCAATGAAGATCAATAAAGATATACATGCCGTGGCACTCGAGCTCAGCTACGACGGGAATGAATGTTTCAGTGCCAATGCCATAATCGAACCCCTCCATGGCGCCTGTAGCTCGAGTAAGCTCCGTCAGCCAATCAGTCCACCCTTTTGCCATGGCGATGTAGGTAATCGCTCCTTGCTGAGTGGTGGAGCTGCAGCAGTACGTAGCACCAAGCACCAGCGATGACGACGATCAGATGCCCGACTTTCTCCTGGTTTGATATTTCTTTTTCTTGGCTGCCACTAGAGGAACGTACCTAGGTATCTATCTACTACGTACGGTAGGCGACAGGCGGTGACAACAAATTGCCTGGCTATAACTCCCACCACCTTCTATATAAATTAAAATAAGAGTTTTTGGTTTTTGAGGGGTACAAGGGCGGCCACTTGGTTGAGTGGTTCAGGACGAATTGTACTTTCGAGGTCGACAGGGATTTAGGGTACGTAGGCACAGGCCCCAAAAAAGGGGGACGTAAATAAAACAACAAAACAAAACAACAAAAAATACGAATCAGATCTTATTCGGCAAGAGATGTAGGCCCTCCAACGAACGGGCCGAACTCTTTTGCCATTTTAATTCTTAATCTTAAAGAATTTAATTGTACTTTTTACCATCTTTTTTTTTTATGTTGCTCTTTTGTAAAGTGAACAGCAGCAGCTAAGCGAGAGTGCAAAAGACCCCCTTATTCCGCCCCTGCTTACCAAAACCCCTCAGTAAATACCTAGGTACCTCCACCTCGAAAGCAGATATAATGCTGGTGACGTCTAGACTTTCTTTCACAACTTATGAGTATTGCTACATGTAACGATATCTCTACACAATGCGAATGCACAAGTCTCGCCTACACATTTACCTCTTTCTCTTTTCACAGAGAGCTGATTGCCCTGTCGAACGCCTTGATTATCCTATCGTACATTGTGCCGATGTGGCAGGACTGAACATTACCCTGTTGCGGTGGAAGGCAGACCGGTGGGAAATCAACGGTGGCCAATCGGCCAGTGGAATGCGATGTTCAGCAGATCAAGGTGAAGTAATTGACTCTGTCTCTCTTTGCGTGAGTCTCCGGCCCTGACATTGGTAGCTCTAGAGTTTCAGTTCCCCTTCCACTTCCCCAAGGGTCCAGTGCAGCTACCACGGCTCAATCAGCAGTCACAACCCGCTTTCTGAAAGCATTTGAATCATCTTACATATCCCAGACTTAACCTTGAAAAAAGCCTGGCAGTTTTGCGCGTCGCACGGATCGTGAGCCACAATGGTCTCGCCATCGGAAATGCTCGCCTATCGATAGTACCCCTGCTACAAGAACATACATCAGAGGAAGCTGTTTGTGATAGACTTGCAGCTTGTCGGGAGCACGATCACCGGTTAGGTCATTTTTCGGTAGATCCTAGGAGGACGTTTACAGGATGGCCAATGAACGAGTAATCCTCTGTAGATTAAAATCTCTCAACATACTCTCCCTATGGTCTTTGAAGGCTTGCATCCTCCTCAAACCCATCGTCATATTCTTCCCTCGGCTCCGACTCTCCCAACAGAGCATCTCTTTCGGCACTTGTCTCATTCTACGGCCCATCAAAGCTCTACTATCTACGACCAATATATCGACGCCACGGGTTATACACGAGACTACTAATACCACCGAGCACCAAGAACGAAGCGCAGATTGTGCCCCCAATAACGTCACAATAGTCTTCAACAGCTACAACACCGTTCCAGAACCTACCTTCTGGTTCGGCAGCATTTAATACTAAAGACAATAGCTGCGTAATACAATTACTATCGCGACAATGGTGGTGATAACGGTAAGAACGATGGAGTAGTACAAGACTGCGATTTGGTCATGGGCTAGCGCAGTTGAGGTGTAGAGGGTCATTATTAATGCTCCGTCTGTTGTATCCAATAGACACATTCCGGCTATAAAATGTTAGCTTTTTACACATATAGAGAGAGCATGGAGAAGGGAGACGTGTAAATAAGATCGGAAATATCAAAATCAGCCACATTGAAGTTCCTTTAGCAGCCTAGATAGGAGAAGTCTTGAGGCGAGCGACTTTGGACGATGGATTGAAGCTTGAATTGAACAATACTTTGAGTGGGTACATTTTCTAAGGTCTTTTTCAAAAGTAAGCAGATTGAATTTGGACTGGGAATATGTTGAAAAGGGACAAACATTACTTACATGACTATTAACTTGAACATCCTCCTAAAAACATAATACAAGCATCGAGTCCACTGATCTTAAATTCGCTATGCTATGAAGGGTAAGTGACTAAAAGTTTGTTCATCTAATTGATTAGTCGCTCGTATTTTGAGGAGGGTACCAACGCCGAGTGTCCCAAGGAGAAGAACATTCCGACGCTGACCGGGCGCTGGCCCGCTGCTACCAAGCGCCGCGTTGTTAGATCGATTGCCTGCATAATAAGTTAAATTCAGAGTTATACATAAGCATGCTTTGAGATAACGAGTTTCCAACTCCTCATACGTACAGAAATATGGGCTACATCCAGGGCGTGCCGAAGACTAAGGGTATATGCCAGCACAGGTGTAGAAACAAGACCCTGGTAAAGGTATCAGTCAACGGCCCCAGGCGAACAATGTAAAATATTAACATAAAAATTGCCCTTACGTATTGGAGTACTGAGAATATCATTTGTAGGCTAAGTCTGTCAATGAAAGGTGGGAGGTTGGCGGCTGCTCACGAGGACGATTCCGATAAACGCCCACACGACGATGTTCACAAGTGCAATGGCAAAGCTCAACGAGTGATATATTCCATGTCAGCAAGGTTAGATTCCTCTTAGATTAAGGCTCGAGTACGAAGTAGTACCCCATGTAAAAGAATCCAAGAGTTTTGGCTGGAGTATTGCACTACACGTGATCGAGGACTGGTCATGACTAAACAATTGCACTGTACGCCACCGGCACCCTACACTTAATGGTGGGGTTGTGGCTGGGCAGCTGCTGGGCATCTTGGGTTTGTTTGCCCCTCATCGGAGATGGCCGGTAGGATAGCACACACGAAGTATTTATACTTAGTTACGTGCCTTTATAATTTCCTCGACAAGAAAATCTACTTCAATATTCATAACAATTGTTAATTTTTCTACAATCCCGAATCCCTGTTTCCCCATCCTCTCTTCACTATTCCCTTTAGCATCGCCATTACGTCACCATGGTGTTCGAGACAGAATATCAGGTTGAAAATGTGGCCGCGACCCCAGTGGCAGCAGACAAGATCGATGCAACTTTTCGATCTTCTACTACTGGTGAGCACATCCTGTAATTATTATTTGAGAGGAATATACCATGGCCTAGACCCAAATCGAGTGATTGTAGCCGTGTTAAGAGTCATTTTTACTCACAAAACCCATCCAATTGAATATGAATATCAATACAGGGCACCTCACGTCGTTGGACTCACTGACTGACACCTCTCCAGATTTAGTATCAGCCGCATTGGGCGGGAAAGTCCTTTCGTTCTCGGACGAATGGTTTGCGGAGGCCTCCAACCTTCTCACCCCTGGGCCACCTATCCGGCAGCTAGGCAAAATGGTCTACTCCGGCGCCTGGTACGATGGTTGGGAGACCCGCCGCCATAATCCCGCGCCTTTTGACTATGTAGTTATTCGTCTAGGGGTGGCTTCGGGCATTGTCGAAGGGATTGAGGTTGATACAACCTACTTCTCCGGCAACAATGCACCAGCAATCTCCGTGGAAGGCGTCTTCAGCTCTAGCGATGAGGAGGTGGTTGGCTGGAAGGGAGGTAGGGGTAAATGGGAGGCAATTCTTGGGATTCAAGAGTGCGGACCAACCCAGCGGTTTGCCTGGAAGTTGGCGGCTCCGACAAAGAAGCCATACACGCATGTTCGACTGAACATGTATCCCGATGGAGGCATTGCCAGGTTCAGACTGTATGGCCATGCAGTACCCGTGTTCCCGGAGGATAAAAATGCCACATTCGATCTCGCCTCTGCTCAGAATGGAGGGGTAGCAGTCTCATGCAGCGATGAACATTTCGGTGCTATATCGAATTTGCTTCTTCCGGGCAGGGGCAAGGATATGGGAGGTGGCTGGGAGACGGCAAGGACTAGAGGCAAGGACCATGTCGACTGGGCAATTATACGGCTTGGAACCAAAGGTACAATCCAGAACTTGAATGTTGACACTGCATTTTTCAGAGGCAACTTCCCTCAGATGGTCAAAGTTGAAGCGATAGATTGGTCTGGTGAGGGTGAACCAGGGGCGTTGGCGGATGGATGGACAACCATTGTTGAGCCTAGCAAATGTGGCCCAGATAAGGAGCACCTCTTTGAATCTCTGGTTCCCGACAAGCCATTCACTCATGTAAAGCTGATCATGATTCCTGATGGGGGCGTAAAGCGTATTCGGGTGTTAGGGAAGAGGGTTGTTTAGATATATAGAAGAAAACATGTGTTCTCCCCCATTTGTCCCCTTTTAATACTTAGGTGCCCTGTTATAAATGTCCGTCCAGGAAGATGCCATGGTCCTGCTACCTTATCTCAATATATAGCTTCAACGGTCGTTGTTGGAGCGCAAAGGTCGTGGGATAAGCTCAGCCAGGGGTCAAATCATCATGTAATCGCGCACGGACCCCGTCGTCACATCAGGGTTGACGACGTTGAATATCACTCCGCCGGACATGCTACGTACTTCGGACACTTCAGCATCGCACACGATAGGATCACATCGTCATAAACTCCACGACACTCGCCCAGGTACCTATATCCACCCACAGATGAGCACTGCCTATATGCAGTCCTCATTCCGCAATGGATATTGGGGATAATGGTGGGGATGCCGGTGGCTTTGATGAAGTGGGGGCAACCCAGAAGCCTAGAGCCCTACCTGAAGACCTACCAAAATCCTTAGATGATCGCAAGAGTGTGCCTTCTCACTTCACCCCTGAGACTGAGATGTATGATGCGTGGCAAGGTACGGGAATACTGCCCGCGTGGGTATCTGGGTAGCTTGAAACTCACTGACTTCGATAGGGCAATCCCAATTCCTGACGACCCCGGTCCTGGCAAAACCACTACAGTTTAACAACCTGTCATTAGATAGCGATGCGTACGGTGATGATCTTGCCACCCAAAGAATTGGCGATAGCGACTCGAGATTGATGGAGATGCTTGCTGCACAAGCAGCACATCGAGATGGCTCTGCAAGCGAGGACGAGAACGCAGTGGCTTCAGACGACAAGCTATCAGATGGGGAGAAGAGGGACATCCTGCAGAAAGTCCTCAATATGGCCGCTAGCAATGGAGATGTCGAGCGGATACAGCGGATCCTGAATGGGAAAGCAAAGGGATTTGTGGATATAAATGCGCCGGACGAGGAGGGTACCGCGCCTCTGATTTATGCGAGTTGCTTTGTGGGTATCAATCTATGAAAAGCATACGAGTTCTGCTAATAATTTTTTAGGGGCACGAGGCTGTTGTTAATGCCCTCGTCGACGCAGGCGCAAATGTCGACCAGCAGGATCGGAACCAATGGAGTGCGCTTATGTGGGCTATGACGAATCGGCACAAGGGCATTGCAAAATCACTCTTGGACCATGGTGCATCTCCGGAGGTCAAATCCTCTTCTGGACGTACGGCATTTGATTTTGTTGCCCCTGACAGCGAAATCTCGGGCTATTTGCACGATAGTGGATATCATATTGGAAGTGTTGGAGTCACAGATGATTTTTATAACCCAGGATTCTCGCAAGATCGATTCGAGGAGGAAATGGCTGAAAATGAGTTGAGACGACGCATGATGATGGAAAGTGCTCGAGACTTGGAAGTTGACTTGGGGAACGTCGGTATAGATGATCAACCAGAGGTACGTATACAGTGAAAATATAGGAGATACATGGCACTGATATCCTGCAGTCACCGGGAGAGCTCGAAGAAGAAGCACAAGAATTTGATTGGACTAGATGTCTACATGACCAGATGTTTGTGTTCCAGGAAAGCGAATTGGGCCGGATTCTGGATATCATCATTACCAACATGACACCTCAGCGATCTCCATCACAAAAGCCTGTTCCCGCCAACATGATATTCCTCAGTGCTCGATATGCCCACTACCATGCGGACCAAATGCTCCTTGCTCAACTGCTCACCACTGCTATGGATAAGATCAACGATGTTGTGGAAAAGAATCAATGGGACATGACCATTCTTGCGTTTTGGATCTCTAATGCGACGCTGCTTTTGCATTATCTTAAAAAGGATACAGGTTTATCCGAATCGACCACAGAGTTCCAACTGCAACTGGCGGAACTCATCAACGAAATCTTCATCTTGATCATAAGAGATGCAGAACGCAGAATGGACAAGGTTTTAGACTCCGCAATGCTGGATCATGAAACTATCCCGGGCTTTGAAGATATTGCGTTCCAGCATGAATGGAAAATTTTCAAGAGGAAGAACACTGTGAAAGAAGAACCTGCTGAGAAACGGTTTCGGCCGCCTTCCCCAAAGCAGAGAGCCAAACCATCACCACGAAACGTAACATCACTTCTCTCTTCAACACTTTTCGTGCTGGATTTATACGACATACATTCCGTCATAACCTCTCAAATATTAGCCCAGCTGCTCTACTGGCTTGGGGCGGAACTGTTCAATCGTATTATGTCGAATCGCAAATATCTTGCGCGAACAAAGGCAATGCAGATCCGAATGAATGTTTCGAGTCTCGAAGAATGGGCCCGGCTGAACAATAGGCAACCGGAACATTATGAGCATGGCTCCATGACCTCAACAGGCGAAGTCACAGTTGACGCGGCGCGAAGGCATCTTGCGCCTCTGATCCAGTTGCTGCAATGGTTACAGTGCTTCTCATCACTTGGAATGGATGATCTGGAGGCGCTAGTTGGCACTCTGCAGCAACTTACACGGCTTACACCACAGCAGCTCATTCATTCCGTGAAGCATTACCGGCCAGAAGTCGGAGAGAAAGGTCTCCCCAAAAGTGCCATGAAGTATTTGATCAATTTGCAAAGAGAGGCACAGCTGCGAAAGGAGCGGCAGAGGATCTCTGCTGCATCACCGAACACAACGCCAGTTAAGAAGGCCGCGAACGGGCAAGCGCCTGCAACTCCCGATTCAAATGCAACTACGTTGAAACCTGAGGAGCAGCTACCCGAGGATGAAGATGATGCACCGGAGCACCTTCTTCTGGACCCAGCTCTCATGCTCCCGTTCTCACTGCCCACGAGCACAGATATGCTTATTAGTTATGGCGCTGGGTTTGGGGGTCTAAACCGCGAGCGTGAGCGGAAATATATCCCCACCGTCCCGCCAGAATTCCTAGCAAAGCTCGATCTGAATGGAGGGCGTGCACAATCGACGTACCAAGAACGAGATTGGGCGAACGAAGATATTTAAAGGGCGGGGAATATGTGCGAGACTTGGGAACTGGCCGGCAAAAGATGATACCTCGCATTTTGGAAGGAAGCATTGCGCGGCGTTGGGAGGGAACTGAGCGATCTGCTCTTGGACGTCAATTATGAGGATGGTGTTAACTCTCGAGTAACTCGGGATAGTCCATGTCACGTACACTACCTAGGTACGGAATAGAATAGTATTTGTGTAGAAAATAAATCGTCTCTGTTCCTCAGGGTATCAGAGGTTTCGCCGTATGCAAAGCACTTTCCATCTCAGAAGTTGTTTTCGCTCCGTTCGGTAGCTGGCATGCCAGATTACCAGTACGTGACACGAGAGAAATAACACCTCGTAGATTGCTGTAAGTCGCGATGGCATTGGGCACAAAGAAAGGGCTGACCACTTGCGGCATGCGGGTACCCCCGCCCCTACGAAGATAAAGAGTACTTGGGTTTCTGAAAATTACAGATGTGCTTTCAGGCATTTGTTAGCACTAAAAAGTGCTACCTCCGTAGAGCATGTAGGAAGATCTAGGCTTTATCGAATATGCCTATTGTCCACCGACAATTTGTTCGATCTTTTCGCGAGATAACCGCCTTCGTTTGAGCGTAGTCTCTCCAACAAAGAAGTCTAGAAGGCCACATAATTACATTGCTAGTCTCTCATCTATCGATCTGGAAAAAAGAGCTGAGAATCGTGATTTCCTCGATATAGACTCGCGTGGAGTCATTGGCATAGAGGACGATGGATCCATAGCTTGCAGGTTCTTGAACTTCTGGTGCTGGAGAGGAAGGCTGGAGATAGTAGGGCAATGAAGTAGACCGACGCAGACGCAGCGACAGTACCTTTTGAGTATTTACAATAGAGACTTGAAACACAAAGCGAAGAGTAGGGGATAGCGCAGATCTATATATAACATTTTCACTTACTGGATACCAGGCGTAGTCAGAAAAGGGGCGCTTCGACATCCGTTAGAAGCTTTCTGTCCACCTTGAGCTAACTTGAAGATAATAGTACCCAAACAAAGCAGATTTCTTGATTAGGCTAAGAAAAGGAGTTTAAAAAGGGTATCTTGCGATGGGTATATAACTATCTAGGTACTTATGTGGTGTACCCATAGAGCGTCTAGGCTGTATAGAGAACAATATAGGGGGGCGATACTAGACGTATAAATTGCGATTTGCCGACTTTCAAAAAGAAATAACAAGCGATTGCTCCGATCGATACACCACGCTTGAGCACCTCAGTGGTCGCGATGGCCCCGATAAATAAATAAATGTACGAGTAGGGAGCATGCATGTAAGATCTGGGCTATTTGGCGTATGTACCTAGGTACCTTCGTACATACCTCGCCTCCTGCTCTCTTTGTACTCCTATTTGCCTGCAAGGTACTCGCACCCCGCAAGATTCGACCTGGGGGAGGGAGGTTTATATATCCACGTCTCTATTGCCTCCTATTGTCTCCCACAAGGTTTCGATCACCACTATATACCTGCGTACCTACGGACCCCGCTATGAGCATAAACATCGGGATCCATGCTCTGCCCCAGACGGAGTATCCCCCCTCCAAGCTACCAGCGACTACGACGTACGCTCGGGACCAGCGCCGTTCAGTGCGCCAGCTAAGCAAGGATATATAAGATTGGCGTCCATCTGGAGGACATCATGAAAGAATGGCGCCCCCCTGGAACAGCAGCGCGTCACTCCAAGGCCATCTCATCTTTGCCACAGAGGTCCACCAAGGCGGAATTAGACTTGGTCGCGCTGCGGTACGGGGAGACCGTTGCTGCGAAGCCGCCAATACCGATTACTACTCCCTTCACGCCGCCAGCGCCAGCGCCAGCGCCAGCAACCGTACCTAACGTCGGTATCAATCCTCATTCTGCGCGGCGCAAACCCCCTAGAGCAACACCCGACGAAAAGGATACCACGAAGAGAGATTCCGTTCTTGCGCCCGTGACACCATTATCGTCCAGGGCAACAGAAGCTTCGATCAGAACAGTTGAGGATGATGCGCTGGGCATTGCGATAAATTTCGATTCCCCACTGGTAGCTTCCATTTCCAACGTCGCAGAGACCGCACCACAAATTCATACTGGGCAACGCGCTCGGACGACGAATGCCACCCCTTCCAGCATACAGCGGGAAAGGACAAATTCGAGGAAGAGTACCGCGTCGAAGGTTGCGTCCTCCTCTTCAATATCAACAAACGAGGAGTTTGCGCCAATTACAACCCATATACCGACCGATAGCCTGCTGGATGGCGGGTTCCTAGATCATATTACATTTTCAAGAAGAGGGAGCGTTATGTTTAGGGGAAGGAAGGCCGTGAATGGGCATGCGCGCCAAAACGGGGGACCGAGGTAGGTTTAAGGACACAATCACCCACGAGCTTCACTGACGGGCAGTCCAGACAACCAAGCGTCTCCATGGTAGCCTCGCCGACTATCAAAGTGTTATCCGAAGATGTCGAAAAGGAGTCGCAGAAGGTCAGGTCGATGTATGAGCAGGAGCCAACTTTAGACTGGCGAGATGGTATAATTCCAGCAGATGCGGATCTTGATATCGAGGAGGAAATAATAGTAGTAGAGGGGGGGCCAAGGTTTGTTATTTTTAACATTTTAAGGGGGAATTTTAGCTCACTATTACAGCGCGAATGACCTTCTAACACCAAATGGAAATGGCGACGCCCAGCGCCCTAGCAGCGGTATATCAATAAGCAGCGAAATTAGGGAGCATGAACGAGCTGGAGGCATTGAAGATTGGGAGGATGTCAACGGAGGGGACGTGGATCGATATGGTTTCATTAATATGCGCTGTATTTCAAGACCTGGGACTCCGGAGCCGAGGCCACTTCAAAGAATTCCTACAGTGCTCCAATTGGCATCCGAGACGCCCAGAAAAAAGAGGTTTGGCAGTTCTTCCTTAGCTGCCGTTTCTGGCAAAGCAGGGCTTTCTCCAAATAGGAAAGTATCTGCTAGGTCTCTGAACACCCAGGTATCGGCCCAATCTACAAGAACCATTGGTCGAGCTCAATTGCGCGCCGCTGCGAATCGGTTGCCTGGCAATAAGGATAGGCGCTGGATGGACGAAGCAGGCGATATGCTCACGTTACCCCCAGGTCTAGCAGATATCGCTGAAGACGAAGAAGGTGGTAAGGCGTCAGAGGGTTTAAAGAAAAAGGAATGGGATCGTACCGAAAAGTGGAGGAAAATGGCCAAGGTGGTCAAGACAGGCAAAGATGGAGAGGGGATGGAATTCGAATTTGACACGCGGAATTCGAAGTTGATTGAACGCACATGGAAGGGTATACCTGATCGGTGGAGAGCCGCAGCCTGGCATTCATTCTTGAGCGCCTCTGCAAAAAAGAGGAAGGACAGTGCGACTGATGAGCAGATTATCCTGGATTTTGATAGGCTGCAGCATCAGAGCTCAGCAGATGACGTTCAAATTGATATCGATGTTCCGAGGACAATCAATAGCCACATCATGTTCCGAAGGCGGTATCGAGGGGGCCAGCGTCTACTGTTCCGGGTTCTTCATGCTATATCCTTGTATTTCCCAGAGACTGGATATGTTCAGGGGATGGCGTCGCTAGCAGCGACTCTACTCTGTTATTATGACGAAGAAATGGCCTTTGTCATGGTAGTAAGGATGTGGTCACTTCGAGGTCTTGACAAGCTATATGAGACCGGGTTTCCAGGTTTGATGGCAGCGCTCGACGAGTTCCAGAAACAATGGCTGGATGGTAGTGAGGTAGCTCGCAAGCTCGTAAGTCACTTCTGCTTCGTGGCTCGATTCAAGACTAACGTCAATCCCAGGCCGAGCTTTGTATTGAACCTACTGCCTATGGTACGAGGTGGTACCTCACTCTGTTCAATTACTCAATTCCCTTTCCAGCCCAGCTACGTGTCTGGGACGTCTTCATGCTTCTTGGCGATCCAGAGCCCACGATTTCACCAACGGAGGACCGGCCTTTTGCTGGGAGTTTGGATGTTCTTCACGCCACCAGCGCAGCTCTTATTGACGGCACAAGAGAGATACTTCTCGACAGTGATTTCGAGAATGCGATGAAAGTTCTTACGAGTTGGGTGCCGGTCAAGGACGAGGAGCTTCTAATGAAGGTCGCAAAGGCGGAATGGAAACTCCATCGATCGAAGAAGAAACGCCGAGGTTGAGCTTCTTACAAACTGGCAGCGGGAATGATACCCATGGCGCCTCCACGAATCCCGATTTGGCAACTCATATGCAGGCTTCTCTTGCTAATGAGATTTTATTATTCACTTCTGGAATCCGGGCACGGAGAATATGGTGAGCCTTTGATCAGATATCTGCTGAATATCGCTTTTGTCTTTACAGCATTATACCATTACGCGGTCACGGTCAGTTTTGCAGCTTTTGCTCTAATGTTTAGATGTATATTACTGGGATTTTGCCTTCTTTTGCCTTCTCTTCAAACTATACCACGGGTTCACTTCTATTTTGTTTTTCGAGGGGCCTAGAAATAGCAGCTTGTCTAAAGGTCATAACTTTTAAAGGCAGCAGCATAGTGTTACATATAATGAGATTGCGGAAAACATGCTCAAAAACTACAAACTTTGTTCTTTTTTAATCTTACACACCGGAATGCACGTCCCAATCCTTCTTGACCCTGATTACGGGCTCCTTCCTTGTTGATTCCATGTAAGTATCTCTCTCATGTTCTCCATCAATAGTAGTGCCGCTGATATCGTTCTGAGTCGTGCACAGGTCCGTGAGGGAGTACCCGTCACCAGGTATGCGTACGAAATTCTTGGCCTTGGAATGGTCACTGCGGACGCCTCTAGTTGACGAACTAGCTGTCCAAAGCTGTTTCGTGGATCCTGATCCTTTAGTCGACTTTCCTGATCTGGCGTAGCTGAATAGTTGGCTGTTGCTAGCTTTCGAGGCTACCGGCTGCAGCATTGGCAAGCATGCGTTGATGACACCGAGGGTTGGCTCGAGAACGGTCCACATAGTGTCCCAAACAATGTTGTACGAGACATCCGAATAATCTAGTTCCTGGATTGCGACAACTCTCAGGATGGAGATGATGCAGATGCTATTACGGGGACGTCAACAGTTAGGGGGACTGGCTTTGGTATGTTTGCAGGAGCGAGGTTGTACCTACCCGAATCCTAGTCCGAAGATGAATGTCAACGCAACCTTTCTCGAGGTTTTCATTTGGAGGCCCCATAGCATGGGCATAGGAAGGAACACGATGGCGAAGTCGACAAGTAAGTTAATGATGGCGGTAGACAGATAATATTTCGGTACGTCCGCACAAACCCCATCTACGATGGTCTTGTCCCAGTTGAATGCTATAGGACGGCAGATCGAGAGGGCTGTCGCTACGGTAGCAATACCGTACCCGATCGTGAGGATGCGGAGCACCCATGCGGCATAATACAATGTGCGATTTGGGAATGTTTTGGTGTAGAAATCGAGGATCGACAGCTTCACAAAAGTGTTGGCGCAAGGCCACAGGACCGTGGCTACCAGGAAAGTCTGTCACGTTGGTTAGGAGGCTATCCAGGAGGCGAAAGTTGCGATCCACCACTTACCTTGCCTAGGACAACACTCTCCTCGAGGGTCAATCTAATAACGTGCTGAGAGAACCCTCCCTTTATGGTGGCTGCAAGAATTAGTCAGAAAGTTGGGCTTTCAAACATGGCAAGTTGGATTTACATATCAAAACATTGACATTAAACGCCATCGTGAAGACCTACATCACTCGTTAGGGCTGATGTATATCCAGAAAAGGGATCGCAACCAAGTCTTACCAGCGCAACCAAAATATAATAGTCATTAGCAGCCAGAGCGGTATTCTTCATTCGCCGCGCCCAGAGCCGCAACCCGACGAAGACCGGAGGCAGCGTAAGAAAGATCACCGTGGCGCACAGTATCCCGATAGGCCTAGATTGATCGGGGTCCGTTATGGGCGCCATTTCTTTTTTCAACAACGCACGCCTTTGCGATACCCGATAGTCAGTTGAGAGAATCAAAAGGATTGGGGAAAAATAAGGTTAATCAACGACCTGGGAGGACTATGTCAATTATGCTGCCTCGTGGCATTGTTCAACCTCCCTTCTGCATGGTCATCAAAGGGCATATCGTGGGCATATTATTGCATCAGCTTGCTCGCTGCTCGCTGCTTGCCCACCACCGGCTATTACACCGTAACATTGAGCAGATTTCAAAGGATTGAGATCCTAACGGACGGCTGGTGTTCTCCCCTGCTGAGGTGTGGTTCCAGTTGCATGTAATATTGTCTCTACTGCACGGACAGCCGTTGGGTTGGAGGGTTCTGCCAAGATCATCTCGCCCCATGGAATGCTATGCAGCTCTTAGCAAAGTTGTTCTAGGGCTTTCCGCAAACCCCAGGGCGGTGATCGGAGCGACTACTACCGTAGAGCGTTACCTTATAATCCTTCACCTGGGGCTACTTACTGTAGCTATTCCAGCCCCGATTACGAAGGAGGCCCTGTTACCAAGTCTGAAGTAAAGATATTCAGTTCCTACAACTGGCATGTCTAGGAGGGCATTATTCGCATAGGCTGCTTCTGCGCTCTTAAAGGTATTCCTAGGTACCTTGCTCACTCTTTTGCTTCACACCTGCCTACCTCTATATACTAATGAAATCCTCCTAGTGGAGACTATAAATACCTTTGCTGTCGGCGTCTCCCAGCAGACAACCTACCTGACCCTCGTGCAACTTCACGCGCCGATTTCCCTGTGGAGGTGTAGGCAGGCACTGTAGGCGGTTGTCAGGTTATTATTCGGGCCTAGGACTATAGCCATTTATTGCTACTTATCTCCTCGTTTCAATTATATAGGGGGAGAGGACGATCATCCCCTCCCTGACCTAGTAGCACAGTACTGCCTAATAGTTGATCCTAATCGCCCAGAAGACGGACAGGTCACTAGTGCGAGGCGAGGAGTCGAGCTACTTGGCGTGGCATTCTTCCTTATCTAATATGTGCAAGCATACTTCGCAAGCGTCGCTTCGCATATATCAAATTCATTCTCAGTGCGTAGTACTTCGTAGGAAGTAGCCAGTTGTGTTAGATCTTGCGCAGTGGATTTTAACTCGCATGCGAAGTGACACAGCCTTTCGACGTAGCGAGAAGCTGTGCCTCTCTCCTACATGATGCACCGAAGGCATCACCTCCACGTTCCTCACAGTCCAACATACGTCATTCGTAAGTACGAACGAATGCCAGTCCTGCCTTAGCAACGTGGTTACTGGCAGAGGACGACAGAAGGAGTGCATTCGAACCCCGCCATCGACTCCCTACGTTGCATCTCCAGTCTAATCTCACTCGCCAAGGCCATGGATCTTAATTGAACTTCCAAACCAAGGATAGCGCCCACGCAGACGGCTCGTGTCTGTGCCACAACAAGGGCTTCAAGGTTGCTGGTTACCGGCATGAAGTTGGGTTGGCGATCACGAAATGGGAATTGGGTGTGTATTGATAAGTGTACTTCGGAGATTCAATGCAATATCTAGCCACGTAAGGTATGATAGGTTATATGGGGGGGCGGTACAAGGGCAACACTAATGCACACTAGAACTAAACGCCTCGGCGCGGCCCGGGGGTCCAGCCGTGCTGCCGTCATGGCGGAGTGATAAACTCCGAGCTGAGAGCCACTAATTGGTACAGGACAGTAAGAGGGGTCTGGTTTTCAGAAGATGGACGAGCAGTTACTCGGTTCGTCAAAAGGGGTACGAAGCACGAGCACCAAGCAGACCACAAAGGGACTCTGTGCCACCTTCCCAACCTCATTCCAGCACTATAACACAACCTTAACTTTACGGAGTACTCCCGCAATTTTCTTCGTACGTACTACTCGGATACGTACGAGGAATTACCCGACCCCACAGTTATCGGACTCCAGGGTACGAGTAACGAACACAAACTCCCGAAAGATACCCAACAGCAGCTTTGTTAACCCTGCCCTCAGAAAACGCACCGATACTACCCCGTTTGTCCCTGCATTGTAGGCGGCTCACTTCAACGGCTTTTGGCCTATGGTGATAACCCGCTCTAAGTTGAACGCGGTGTTCCCACGATTCTTGCCGACCTCCTCGACCAGCGCTCTTGCAACATCCCCCTGTCCACCTCCCAGCCCATCTAGAATATTAGCACTGATCTCCTGGCTCGCAACCATCCATGTATCGAGCAGTAGTGTTGCGATTTCTGTTGAGAATTTATGCCGGTCGACAATGACGTTTGAGAGACCATTTTCAGCGAACGTTTGGTGTAGGCGGGTGATCCAGCTGCAAAGGTAAAGTGGTTTTGGTTAGCAATGGATGTCGAGAACTTTTGATAAGTGAATGAGAGCTGGGGCAGAAAGATAGAAATACGAACCCGCTGCTAATGAAACTTGGGCCGGGCCTCGTTTTCCCTAGCGTCGAGGTGTATTCTCGAAGTTCATTGAGCTCTTCGTTGGTTTGAGATGGAGCGGAGGGAATCCTTATGACCTCCCAGGTGGCGACATCCCATTCACCCCACGATATGTATCCTCCGGGCTCTACCGTACGCGGTTGCTGTCAGCCAACCCGCTACCAACAGGAAACATGGATTCGGTATGCAGCACTTACTTAACATTTTTATCAAATTCTTCAACATCGGCACGGGATTCCCATCCCTTATGAGTGTAATAAACAGTTGTACATGAATCACATCATATTTCTCTAGCAACTCCTCGGGGGGTTCTGAAAAGGCATCATGTGTAACCCACGCTATATTCTGAGGTAGCCACTCTTTTGGCGGGCATTGTCCGAAACTGATGTCTAGGCCATCGAGTTGCACTGTTGGGGGGAGAGTACGAGCGAGCTCAATAAGCCAGATGCTTTTGGACTGTCAGCCTCTGCGTGCTAAGAGAGACTGCGAAAATGGATAATGACATACCCAGTTCCAACACCAATTTCAGCAATTTTGAGATCTTTTGAAGTGGTGGGTATACTGGGATGGAGGAGGTAGTTTAAACCATCTTTCCACAGGTAGTGTTGAAGGGCTATCCTTGTGTTGGCGGTAAACCCGCGAGAGAGCATGTAGCCAGGCTTGGCTGTTGGAGTGCTACTACTTGCCATCTTGTTTTTAGCACGCAGTGAATACAATGTGAGATGATTAAAGTAAATGAGAGAATTGGCAGGTGAGATTGAGGGAGTTGAGGTATACCGAAGATAAGAATCGGCATTTTCAAAGAAGGGCCATGGAAGAAGGATTGACGGCCCGGCATGTGGTAGTATGCAACCTACTACCGAGTAGTCTCTGCTCAGGAGTGTGGTGGAAGTGGGCGGACGGCTCAGCTGTTTCGATACTTAACCAGGTTTGGCTAGCTCACTGCAGGTACCTTACATTCCTCCTAGAACCGCTAAGTCTTATTACCCCTGATATACGCAGTATCTAATATCTGCGGCGGCAGTATTTGCTTTCGGTGGTGGGGCTGAGCAAGTGAGGGATTGCGTTATTATTACAACCTTGAAGCACTGGGAAGGATTGCGTAAGGAACATAGTGAGATATTCTCGGAAACACCGTGAGTGAGCGGCGGATATAATTTTGACATGGTTATTTCCTCGCTCAAGATATTCATATCTGGCAGATCATTGCCAGCATGTTACAGCTACGCCGCGAGTGTCAATTAGCCACTGGCACATTACATGTGTCTGCCACCTCGGCCAACAGAAAATCTGAGAATACACCTGCTTAGAATTTCTCCCCAGCTGCTCTTCTCAGTGCCTCCGCCGTCCATTCCGGATAGCTAATCATAAGACAATGACCGCCCTCCTTACAATGTTCAATCACATCAAATGCAGTTGGTTCAACCATTTGAGCCCCCTTGATCATCATGTCCACCACCATAGGCGAGAAAGAGCTCTGATCAGTATCGCCCACAAGGAAAGTGGACGGGATATCTTGCCAGGCTGCGTAGGTTGCTGTGCTGGAATAGACACCAAGACTCTGAGGGACAAGCTGGGCGGCTAGCTCATCTCCTCTTTCAGAAGAGATATCGTTGTAGAAGATTTTCTTGGCATCCTCAGCTGAGACGTTGACAACATCGTTCTATAAAAGTATATTTAGTATTTTGATGAACGGTCAGATGAGCAAGTTCCTCACCTCAAGATCCAACTTCATCCACTCAGGCATCTGGGAATAATCTCCCTTGGCTGCTGGCCGGAAGCCTGCTGGCGTTGCGAATCCATTGATGACCACATATCGGATGACACCTCCCTTCAAGCCCTTGGCTTCACGCTCCTTCTTTCCAAGACCTTTGGGGGCCTCGCCGCCAGGAAGGCCGGTGTATGAATGCACGACAAGGACAACCTCTTTGTCTTTTGAGACCAGCTCAGTCAGGCAGTCTCGGATGGTAGAGACATCGCCATCGAAGTCCTGGTGAGGTGGCGAAGCACCAGCGGAGGCCAGTGGCAAGCTCACAGTGGGGTAGCCATGCTTGGACAGAGACGCGGCAACAGGCGCGTAGATTTCGGGCTTGTGCCACGCTCCGGGCACCAGAACAATAGTTGGTTTGGACATTCTCAGGTTGATTGAGGGTCTCCTTGGTGAGTGAAGATCTTAGGTTGAGTTAGAGTGGTAATAATGAGAGAGGATTGAAAGATGGAACAAGTCCAGGAAACCTACCAGTCATATGGGGTAGCCATGCGGATTTACAAAACGTCTTAGTCCCGATATCACCAACATAATAGAGTGCTACATGGAATAGGTACCGTCAGATACACGCCCTGCTAAACCCACCCCTCTCTATGTTGTGGCTAGGGAGTACATGTCGGTGTCATTGTAGCACGGCATTAAATTGGATAACAAGTCAGGGGCAAGAGTCAAGGCTTTGCTTACTGTACCAAGAATACTGGTGCAGGCTACCTAGCGGTACGCCTTCGAGGAATCGAGACCCGCCCTTTTCTTTTGAATCATGATCTAGACGAAGTATAGAGGTACAGTATGTCGTCCACCAGCATCATTGAGCCGGCTGGTTGTTAGCGGTGGATTGGACATGGCAACGTCTTTCTCGGCTGCTGGGCAGAGCAGGCCCGACATGCACGCGGCTCAGGCGTTTCACTAAGCGTTGTTTTTATATTAAACCTGCCGCTCCCAGCAACCCTGTGGGCCAACCGACCTCACCAAAGATTTAACATGGATCTTTCGCCAATTTCTATCGCCTTCCGACACTCCGTTCACCCACCGCACGGCGGAGCCCTTTTGGGACTTCCTCCGTAGGATCGAAGCATCGCGGGGCATCCGTCGATCATTCGAGTCTGCCCATCCCTATTCGAGATATCGTCCTACTGTATCAAGTCGCCTGGTCAGTAAATTGTACGTGGAAGAGGCGCAATGGCGTGGCGTAGCTTCAACACCCGGCTGCGTTCGTACCTGAGTTCCATAGAAGCCCACGATTCCCACCAGATATCACATCGTATCGCAGGGCAGGCCACAGAAACGACGAGGATCTCAATCTCAGTGCGATCGGTTCGCAGCCCCTGTACTTCGTATCTATGGAGTAGACGATAAGTCATATCGAGGGCCATGCAAATGCGGCTAAGGACCCGACAGGCGCTGACGAAATATATTCATAATGGTTTTTATTATTGCTTGTCGTAAAATACCGAGTAATAAAAAACTGTTTGGGGGCTTTTGAAATACGAAGGTGGCGATTTTCTGGACATTGGTACATGACTTTTGCTACTGGACTACCCCAACATTTGAGACCTGACTCTGGACTTTCAAACCTTCCGAAATGGCGGACAATACGGAGCAAGGCACTGTGGTGAATGAAACTACCCCTGTGACGAAGGTTGCAGATGAGACTCCTGCGACGGAAACTGCCACTGTGAAGGACGAGTACATCCTGTCCAGAGGTTATGGTTCAAACATAAGGTCCTTACTATTATCATTGCACTCTCGCTCAGAGCTGACACTCAGCTCCCAGAGTGAACATCCAACATTATCTTTGGAAAGATGGAGGCTACCTCCTGCACCCAAGCATCCCCACCAATGCAGAGAATCTTAGGGTCGCCGAGATTGGTGTTGGAACTGGGTAATATTGCGCCTTGATAGGCTTCTAAATACTTCAGAACTGATTTTCCTGTATAGCATCTGGCTTACTGAGCTTTCCCGAATTCTACCCGCTTCAGCACAATTAGATGGCTTCGACGTCAGTCACGAACAATGCCCCCCAAAAGAATTTATGCCTTCAAATGTTTCCCTGTACATCCACGACTGTCTTTCGGAGCCTCCCAACCATCTGCATGAACAGTACGACATCATCCACATCCAAATGTTCAACTCTGTTGTCAAGGACAATGACCCTGAACCGGTCATTCGTAACATGATAAAGATGCTCAGTGCGTTTTGCCCCTCGTTGGGCCTTTAGCCCCTAACTAATGAGAAAATTTAAAAAAAATCAGAACCAGGAGGCTACATTTCATGGGGCGAATTTGATTTTGCATCCTGGAAAACCATTAGCAGCACAGGAGGCGAGCCCAGCAGTGACCTCGACAAGCTTCTGTTTTATAATGCGACAGTGGGGAATACAAAGCCAGTGAACTTCCTCGCGACACAGTAAGCCTCGTGACTCATGGAACCGCTTCAAACCTATACTAACAGGATATTCCACAGCTGGCCCCAGCGCCTCCCCCAAATATATGCCGACCATGGGCTTACCGAAATTGTCACGGATCGCAACCCCTTTTCCCCAGAAGTCACAACTTACATGCTGGATACATTTATGGTGGCGGCTGAAGAAATCAGTTATAATGTGCTAGATCGTATTGGTGGTGGACAGGGCGACGTTGCGAGGGGTTTGATTGAGAAGGTTACACAGAATAGGAGGAACATGAGCATTCAATTAGATAGACTAGTTACTGTGGGCAGGAAGATAGGGGCCTCGGACTCCTAAGTCTCGATGTTAATTTGAAATATTATCAGAATCTTGTCATCTACTCTTGCTGATAATTGAAACACTGTGGATGTTTATGAGCTAGACTCAGGAACAGTAAGGATTCTATCGTCACGGCTGTTTTGAGCCAAGTCATATTTAGGAGTGATCCCTCAAAACGCGAGCTCTTGTTCTATCTAAATCTATCCTGTAAACCGTATATAGGCAATGCCTTTCGACTTCAACTAATGCTAACTACTTTCTCTGTTAACCTGGCAACCAAAGGCAAGGTGTACAGACTAACGATCCATACATTGTAAATCCGAAATGTCATCCTGTCCTCCTGGACCGACCTCTTTAACAAGTACCTGAAAATAATGATTGTCGCCAGGGCGACTGGCGCAATGAAGCCTTCGACGCCCAGCTGCCAGAACGTTGGGCAGAACCAAGACCAGATCCCAACCAAAATAGCAATGGACCACCGAGCTGGCGAGTCTCCAATCACCAGAGGGACCGTCCACCGGTTGCGAAGACTATCCCCTGCCTGATCGTGCATGTCTTGCGATTGAATGGTAGTCAGGACGACCAACCCAATTATAAGAAGCCATCCATATGCTTCGGGCCGCAGAAAAGTAATAGAACGGTCTGATCCAACATGCAACGCCCCGGAGATGAAACATATATATCCACAACCATTTATGAAATTTCGGATGAAGAAATTGCTGTCGGCTCCCTTGAGATCGTTATACCAATACCCGAGGCCGATTAGCCCAATACACTGCCAGACCCCTCCCACTACAAGACTCGAGAAGAGTGCCAGCAGATATAACACCAACATCCACTTTGTCGCTTGTTCCGGCGTCAACCGTTTTGATGGCAGCGGCCTCCACCCCTTATTTTCACGGTCCTCCTCAACGCTGTCTGGCTGCCGTTGATTGTTGATTGAGAACGGTAGGAGGTTGATCCAGACCCAAAACGCAATGATTGGGAGACGTATTGCAATTCCAATCATGAATGGCGACGCGTTGGTCGTTAGTACTGGGCCCGATAGAAGGCTAACCAAACCGAACACCGTACTTGGGCCAACTATTGTCTTCAGGTCGCTGCGAGTGAAGAGCCATATCGTGTAAATGTGGTATAAGGGAGGGTTGTTGTGCTCGGCACGAGCTTTCGTCTGGAAATATGTTAGTCTAGGAAATTCTGAAATTTTTAAATGTTATCGATCGTACACCCAGTTATCTTACCTGTTGGGTCATTGCAAGATGTATCTTATATATACGACGGAGGGACTCCGAGGAAGTGTATATGTCTTACAGCCCGGTCTTCAGCACACAGCAAGGTAATCGAAAATGAAGACAGCCCGTCCCAAAGTGAACCCTGGCACTAAGGTTGTATTTCTTGCAGAGAAAGGTAAGAAATGCAGTGCATTTACCCTTTCAGCAAAAGTCCATCAGGGGAGGAATTTCCTGAATACGGCGGAAAATCAAGTAGTCTGTTATCGATGGGAAGTGTAACCTCTCGATATCATGGTACTTTTCCTTTGATCTGTACATAAGGCTATTTGTCCGGCACGGGAGCATCACTTGCTTCCCTCGCCTCTGACTATAGTTATAATTATAGAGAAATTTTACCTCCATCCCTGTGAACGAGCACTCAAGGCTCAAGCGATGGCAAACCGGCACTGCGCCAACAGAGAGGATCAACTATGGCTCAAGGGCCAAGACGAACACCTAGTCAAATTAGGATTCGGGAATAACGTCGAGTGTTTACAGATAATGCCGTATACTAAATTGGGCATATCACTCGGTGGGAGCGATGGAGCTGCTGTGTTTAGCCGGAGCAAATAAACCTCGAAATAGCAAATCAATGGATAGCACGGCCAAAGGATATCAAGTTGCCAGACCAGTAGTATGGCGGCTAGAAGACGACTTTTTGGAAGGATTGTAGGCCTATCTCATTAATAGTTAGACGCCTCCGGAGCTGGCCACGCTGGGGCTGCACATGTTACTCGAGTAGCCCGGGATATGTACTTTACGAAGTCAAGGATGGCTGGGACCCTTTGGAGACGGTTGGGGAACCTTGGGGGTACGAGTCGGCTACGCATACCCAGCCACGTTACCGTGCAGTACCAACCCCCGTGCGGGATAACTCTGTCGACGTTGCATGCAACTTTGTACGTCGTCAGCACGCACCTACTTCGTACTTCGTACAGAACGTACATCCATCTCGGGAATCTCGATAACCGGGAAGAAGGCGAGGTACATCTGCAGTTATGTACTATACCGCCGCCCGCATAGCCCTAAACCCGCATCCGGACTAGTCGTCAGCCCGCAGACAATCATTTACTGACGTGCCGGCGGCGGCTTCACGGCAATATCTCAGGAGGCACGTACACGTATATCTTCACCTTGTATGGTATCGAGCTACTAGCAACGGCCGAGCCAAAGGCAGGTAGAGCGATCGATGCTCGGTGTCGCCATCATTAGCCGGAGATAGAGCAGCATGCTTGGCGGAAGCGCGAAGGACACCACAGTCCAACCAAGGCCCGCCTTGTCGGGCATACCCATGGGCCCTGAAATTGGCGCCCCAGAGAAAAGTCCCCAGTGGTCCAAACCTCAAATCCTTCCATATCATTGATTTTCAATATTCCCACGTACTTATTCTTTATAGTTTGATGCTGATACAGCTTTAAAATAGTTGGCTGAGCTGCGGCAAGGTCCTGACCGTTACGCTAGCCCAGTCCCCTCGGAAAATTAGGATGCTGGCACCTCGCCGTAGACATCAAAACTCGGCTTACTTCTAGTCATAGCTTGGCCTATCAAAATACGGGTATTGTTGTCCACCGCAAAGCTCAGTGGCTAAGTACAGTATGCTATGTAGGAGCATTGCCATTTCCATTTCCATTTTCTATCTTCTCGCTCACCTATGATAAAAGCTTTCTGTTCGGCATCTTCTTATGCACAGTAATCGTCCCCAGAACAAGGATTGTATATCCAATATGCTTTCTTTAGTTTCTCCTACCAGCTGGTCCACATCTTACCAGATTGCCGCTACCGGTGTTGCAACTGGCATAGCCTCCCACCTTATATTTTTCATCCGAGGAGAGCATCATGTGAGAGCTCCGATCATTGCCAGAGTATATCTCCTTCTACTGGCCGTAGTATCATTCTACGGAGTTAAGACCCTCGGATCGTCTGAAGGGTCTAGGGCGGCTGCCATCTTGGTCGGGAGTTATGTCGTCTCCCTTATCACCAGCATCGTCATCTATCGTAAGGCATTCCATAGCCTTCGAGCCTTTCCTGGCCCTTGGATGGCTGGTGTGAGCAAGTTATGGCATGTATTTCATGTGCTCGACTCTCACAACCATCTTTTCTTGGATAAGATACACGATGAATATGGCAAAATTGTTCGCACTGGTATGTGGATTTGAACTAGTTGAATCGATTTTATTGATGCTAATAATTATGACTTGCCTTAGGTCCGACCGAGCTCACGATCTTCTCTCCCGAGGTTCTGAAGGTTATGGACGGCCCTGGTAATAACTGTACCAAGGCAGTCTGGTACGACATCTTGCTTCCACTGACAGCGTTGAACACAACTCGGGATAAGGCGCATCATGATCAACGCCGTAGAGTCTGGAACCAAGGATTTACAAAGAAAGGTTCGTGAAGGCAAATTTTGCACTTAACCAAGAGTTCTCTTATGTTCGTTCGTTTTCAAATCTAACACATTCCACAACAGCTTTGGCCGATTACGAAGACCGTGTCAATTCGTATGGTCAGCAACTCGAGAGCCATATCGCAGCTACTGCTGGAAAGCCCGTAAATGTGTCTAAATGGTTCTATTTCCTCACCTTCGATGTCATGGGGGACTTTGCCTTCGCAAGATCTTTTAAGATGCTTGAAAACGAAAAGTGGCACTATGCCGTACTTATGTTGCGTCGAGCCCTCACTTTACTCGGACCTTTTAGTGCAGTACCATGGTTGATCCAATTAGCCTTGAGTATACCTATAATTCCAATTGTACGAGACTGGAGGACGATGATTCAGTGGTGTTCTGACCGCATGACTGAGCGAATTGAAGTAAGCATACAATGACTGAGGCTCTTACTATTCTTGGCTGACATGATGGCTCCAGGTCGAGGTTGACAAACCAGACGTATGCTTATCCAAACGAATACAATTTTATCGCAGCTGACACTAGTAGATATCATCGTGTTTAATCAACGCATCCAAGGAGAATAATAGCATAGAACAGGACAGGTTCTTGCTGGATGGTGACTCGGTGGCTCTGATCGTAGCCGGAAGGTAGAATCTCTTTCAGAAAAGCCTCCGCAGAATTCTTAATTTATGCTGATACCTGATAGCGACACTGTTGCCTCGACCTTGATTTATCTATTCTACCGCCTCGCCCTAGACCCCTCTCATGCAGAAAAGCTACGACAGGAGGCGCTCGGCGTCGACATCTATGATCCGCGAGCATTACAAGGTCTCGACCATCTTAACGGCGTTATCAACGAAATCCTGCGCCTCCATCCGTCCGTCCCAACAGGTGGGTATCGCGAGACCCCTCCAGAAGGAGTCATGATTGCAGGCCAATATATTCCCGGTAACATCACAATCGTAGCCCCACGCTACACCATCGGCCGCTGTCAGTTCCCACGCTCCCTCCGATTCGTATTTACATGTTAGACTGACTCCATTTAGTGCCGACCTCCTTCGTGCAGCCCAACGACTTTGTCCCCGAACGCTGGTACTCGAAGCCGGAGATGATTCTTGACCGTCGCGCATTCAACCCTTTCTCCATAGGGCGCTATACCTGCGTGGGCAAGGACCTTGCGATCGCAGAGCTCCGCTTCGTTACCACTCTACTAGTCTCGCAGTATAATATCGCCTTCGCGCCGGGAGAGAATGGAGAGCGGTGTTGGAAGGAGATGAGGGATCAGTTTACGGCTGCGCCGGGGAAGTTAGAGCTTGTCTTTACGCCACGAGGGAAAGTATGAGGCCGCTGAAGTGGGGCCAAAAATATCTAAGCGCTTTGTTTTTAACTGAATCTCTCGTTGTACGGCACCTTGTACTATTTTCGCAATGACTCTAGACAACTGAAAACATAGATTTGTTTTGTTTTGGAAGATGTGAGCCTTGAGAATAATATTGAGTTTAAGCAACAACTATACCTTAGGTCTTGAAAAGTAAGCAGCCTTGTCTTCTTAGTTCGATATCTGATTTATCCAGCCTTGCCGATGATCTTGATGCTGTTTCGGGAATGTTTACCAACACTCTAGCATTGGCTGATGATGGTAAGAAGATCCAGAGTATTATTGACTGGCATATCTCCTGTACTACAACTGGTACTTCTCGCAGGTTATCATTAGAGTAGCCTATAATACAGATACTACTCTGGGTCCCCTGATTTTCTGTTTCTTGTACAATGTCTTGGGAACTGTCAGGGCTTTGAGCACTGAGTTCATGATCTGATGGAGGTTCACATCCAGTGGCTGTTCAAGGACACTGTGCACGATGCAGTAGTTCAAGATCTTTTTAGTTCATACCCTCTTTTCACTACTTTTCCCCTCTTCAACATTCATGATTTTGTGTGCAAACAGCTTCACTGAGCAGTGTCACAACAGCGGATTTACAAACGACAAGTAGTTCAATAAGTTGGCCTTCTAAATGAGAAAGACTAAAGAAAATTACACTTAACAGTTATTTTCACGTGTTGCGACCATTTCTAGAAGCTATTAACCACCCACGGTCCTTAGTCCGAGGTTGTTAAAAATTGCTCCGAGGCAAATTCACTGGAACGCTGATGGGCTCGCTGCTCTATATATTTTGAAATAAGCCAGGGCCGTCAAGAAATAACCCGGTCGCTTAGCTCAGTTGGTTAGAGCGGTTAGTTTCCCTCACAGTTTACCAATAAAATCTAAACTAATATCTTCTAGTGGTGCTAATATTAACTTGTTAATAAAGAAACGCCAAGGTCGCGAGTTCGACCCTCGTAGTGATCAATTTCTTTTTTAATCTTTTGAATTAATTGTCCTTGAAGTTTTTTTTTTCAATCTTAGCCGTATTGGCCTACGGCTAGTCGGAAATCATAACAGTAATGTTTGTGGGTGTTTGTCCTTGCGATGGGTACTAATTGTGGAGCTAATATATTAGCGGCATTGGGTGGATCATAGAAGTTGAGCAAAATGTTCGAAATCACGGAATGGGAACCGACGCAAGTGAGCTGCAAAGAAAACAGGCACAGAGCATGGGGTTAGAAGAGGGTTCGTACTGCGGAGGTTATAAAGTATAACCTCGGGTTTATTCAGGGTTTATTAAAGCCATCACATGCCTGAGATCACTAGGGAGGACGTTAAGCTCGTCTTTAACAACATGATTTTAGGCCAGGACAAAACTCGTAGGGAGAAACACTTATCCATCTGAAGGGCGTGGCAGAAAGGAAAGTTACTACGATTGATGTTGGCGCATGATTAACATCCTGACCGGAACTATGAATCATGTAAACATTCCCGAGCTGAAAACCCAAATCCATCGAATTCTAGACAAGACAGGTGAAAAGCATTTTCCATCCTAATATCTCGGATGCCTGTATAACGCCATCACTCCCCGGACGCAAAGTTACAAATTATGAGGCGTCTTGATGTGGTCCTACCTTCGCCGGACATTTACATTGGTGGTCCTGACGCTGGTCTTAAGCGGTTCGTTCCATTTTGCGTAGACTTCGAAACCCGTCGAGACTTTGCACCGTTTCCTACTATTGACTTCTTCCCAGACGATGCGCGGCTGCGATGGCCTGAAGTACTCGACTTGCCTGTGTCCGAATTGTGCCGCAAGGGGGGTTCGTAAGGTGCCGCTGGTTCACCCCGTTTTGGGAGCAGGCCAAACTCAGGTAATCGACCGGCGAGTCTTCGACTTTCCCGGCCCTTTGGCTGTAGAACTTGGGGCTCTGCGTGAAGGGCATCAGCACTCTCATCTGTGTTGGGATGCTGTGGTTGCTGGAGAAACTGGCGGGAGTGAAGCAACTCTAGGGGGGGATTCCAGGAAGCTTCTCCCTCCGCAATTGCCTTCTTATTTGCCTCGATCTTCGGGCCCTGCCTTTCCAACCATTCTGCAGCTTCCCATATGTTGTCCTCGTCCAATGAACGAACCATGTCCCTCCGCTGTTCATACCAGTCCTCTCCGTAATGTTTCTGACCACAAGCCAATATTTTCTCCTCATCATACGAGTATGGCCCTGGCGACCATGGCACTCTTGAATCATCGGTTAAAGCGGATAAAGGTGTAGGGTATCTATTGTCGCTGGCATTAGACGATATGGATATATCGTCACCAGTTTCGATCGGTTGTAGGACGGTCGAGGGCATGGTAGTCGGCACGGCACCGATAACCTCTACCTCACCTTGAAGCGCCATCCTCTCTGCTCGTTGTTCTGCTTTCTTTTCTCGCTCTATCCTGTCAAGTATTTTCACAAATTTATGGTCTTGTTTATAGTCCTCCGGATGCGCGAAAGCCAGGCGATACTCATACCATTCTTCTCCAAAATGTTTCCTACCCCAAACCACGTGTGCCTTGCTGTTCCATGGTTTTGGTTCTGGCGTCCACGGCCTATATCCTGGCGGATGCGTCCTGGATGGGTTCTGAATCTCCTTCATCTCCTCTATCTTTTCGCGTTCCATCTGCTGCATAGTTCGCTGGCGTTCGTGATATTTGTCTTTATCATTTTCGCGGAACATTGCCTGCCGTTGCTCAAACCAAGAGTCAACATACTGCTTCCGACCCCAACCCAAATATTTCTTATCATTTAGTTCTCGTTCTGGTGGCCATAGTCTGTATTCGGGCAATTCGGTCGCGATGTGCTCGCTGTCGTCACTGTCAGGCAATGGAGATCCAGGATTATCTGACTCCATCGAACTGAGAGCCTAAACTAGCGGAGCAGCTGATACTGAAGCGGTATTGTCCGGCAGTGGCTGGGAGCTTGAAGCTATAGTGTGAAATATACGTAGGATATATGTGAAGAGTCGCCGTTCGTGGTGGGCAATTTCGATGCTTGATGGTGCGAGAATGGACGGTGCGGAAGGAAAGATAAGATGAGAGAGACAAAGGGGATAATGGTGAATGTACAAAGGACCAGCATTCTGCCCTCAGCAGACCGCTCTCAATCAAGCCTAACAAGAGCCTTGATTTTGCCAATCAGCCAGCCAACGCCTAAGTTCCCTCTGATAATCGCCAGGTGAAGGGGAAGGAGAGTCCAAGGGAGAGTCGCGTTCCAACTCTACCTCCAACAATATCCAAGCGGCAAAACTCTGCGCCCTGCCTAACCAGCTATTATCAAAAGATTTCACAAGCTCTCTAAAATCTTTGCAAAGTGCTCATGTGAGAACACTTTCTGGGTCTAGATGGCCCATCATCCAAGATCTTACCGGACAAAGTCATATACCACTACCAGAGAGCACCGATCGGTAACTTCGGCCTATACCCCTCCTCCCTCATCCATCCTTCAACCTAACTGACTTCTTGCTATTATATAAGACACTTTCAAAATAGTCAAAATTGGACACGGTCTACTATCTCCATCAAGGGAATACTCATGCCTGGGAAATCGTTCAGGACCCTGCAAACTGCGGACGAAAAGGAGTGGGTCCGCTCTTTCACCTTGCCACGGGTGTCTAACCACAATGGCGGCGCCTTTGTGGTCTGAAGATCTAGTTGTTTGGGAAGAGAGCTCGCCGCTAATCTTCAGCATGAAAGAGTGAAATTGTACTTTTATCGGTGGAGCCAGGTAGCTGAAGTTGTTGAAGTTATGAGATGAGGGAGAGAAGTAAGGATTCTGTAGAATACACTGATAGACAAATGCCTTGTGCTATGCTGTGTTTAAATAGGTCTGTACGCAGCTCTCATTCGCGTTCGGTGGCGGTAGACCTACAAAGTACTAATGAAAATGTGACGCACCTTACTTATGGCCGAAAAATTCATGTCCAAAACTAAACCCTACCGGAAAAGCTCCCAAAAATTCCGAATTCTGCCGATACTGTACAGAGTATGTACAGAAATCTGCTTAGTAGGGGTCATCTCAATGTCACAAGAGATATAATACTCCTTGAACCAGTGTTTCGGACTGCAGATCTTCGGCTAATGGAAGTTTATCCAAGGACGTTAGATAGATAATAAATGATTGTAGTCCCGGGGTTAAACAGGACATGGGATAATAAAAATGGAGAAAAGAAGGTTACCATGGCGCTTCCTAGAAATGCTATGCAAGATAAAATCGGCTATGCTATAGGAGTCTCGGACTGGGGCGACAGCTTCTTGAGAATCCACCAATTCGAAGGTCGGCATCAGAACTCAGTCCAACGGAAGCTGATGGAGATGGAGATGGAGATGGAGCATAAAGTGTATGTAGCAATCAATTGCTAGACAAAAGGAAGACAGAATTCCGAATCAGCAAGGCTCTACATGTCGGAGAGCGTGTAGACATTATTCCGTTGTAGGTATAAAAGGAGAGCTGGAATAGTATATAATGGTGTTTACTTATTTGATCGAAACGGAGTTGTTGGGAGTCTAATGCAGGAATTGCAGGCTGGGAATCAGTATCCCGGCTTTCTGCACGTGTGGTGATATGAAGGTGATGCAACGCTGTGAGAAGCGTATAAACGATGACAAATATTTCCTCGCGCTATTTAGGAAGATATGGATATTGTGAGTCCCAAGACATGTCTGGACCTTGATGTTGCTATCATCGTTGCTGATGATTATTCTTGGCTGTCCAATGGCCATGGCCATGAGACTATTTTGTTAGGAAATTTTATATCCAGGTAACATTATGGGTACAACTCACCTATCCCAAGGATATAAATTGATCCACACTGGCACGCGGTTTTGATGCTCGTTATACTAGAATAATCTTGACGTCCCCTCGATAATAATAAGACTAGACTGAGGAGCTCCTTGTTGTGGATGCACCCCTAGTTCTTGTGACTACTTGAGAAACCTAGAAAAACGGCTCACTATTTCTGTACCGGGCGAAAGAAATCGCAGAGACAAAGCAACGACATCAAACTAGACAGCAGGAAGGAATCTCAACACTTGAGAGGAATCATCCGAAATGAGATACGCGACGGGGCCGAGTTTGGCATTATAAAAACGTGAGAGAAGATTATCGAAGTAGAGCTTTTCCACGATGTAGTAATGCCCATTGGCATCCAAGAAATCAACGGCAATGATCTCGTCTATAACAGGCTTTGGCGATAGATGGGCAATTATAGAAAGGGCATCTTGAAGATTCTGAACCTAGCTGGGCCTATGAGGGAGGCGATTGTGTGTAATACGAACGGATTGAAACTTATGTGTGAAGTTACGCCCATCGTTGAAAAACTGCAGATGAGTTAGCGGAAATATAATTACTGCTCACATACGTTGATTCATCAGCTCTAGCTCTATGAAGGCATTGGTTCCAGCAGCTTATGAGGATCCAAGCTGACTGAAGGTCCCAATACGTTCCACTTAATTAGGGGCAGATTGAACAACTTGGTTTCCTAGGGAGATATCTCTTTTGGCCTCTCACCACCTACAAAGAGGCTGGGATTCGTTGGCGCTTGCCATGAGAGAATTTCGGAGGTTGGCAGACAAACAAAGACGCTATGGAATCTCTTACATTGCCGAGTTAGCACAAACGCATTTGTTGGCGACGTCTCGCGCGACATAATTGCTGCAAGGGTATTCTTGATCACACTGTAAGATAAATGTTTTGGTTGGCGTTGATTACAAACGGTAGGTTCTGAGGCCGTGAAGGCTGGCAGCAAATAACACCAGACAAGAGCAAAGAACCTCCTGCTTTCTGTGATAACACTCGGTGCAGCTGGTTATGACCCTCCTTCTTTTTACTGATGGGCGAGGGGCAGTTTCCGATAGACTGGGCTCTTGCATTATGATCTCAATGATGGTACTGGATAGGTAGACCGAGGATATATGCGAAAGGTGTCAATCCCTAAAATGTCCAGGAGTGATGCGAAATAGAAACCAACAAAAGCTTCTGCTAATAAGCGCCCTAGGCGACCAGCTAGGTTACTATGAGCCACGGGACCATATATAGGATACCTTACCTACTAAGAGTGTCAGAATATGCTTCAGTGTTGTGATGTTACGCTTGGTGAAGGTGGTTTAAGCACAGCCTAGGTACCTGTATATAAGCACTGCCAGCCTATCCATGTAATACTAGCGACCCAATGCTTGTTTGCTTCTAATACTGTAAGCAATAAAGAAGCTCAAGTAGTAAGGATAAAGTAGACCAAGTCAAGTTTTGAGTAACCTACGTAATAAATCAGAGCCATTAACCTAGGTAGTTAAAAGGTTGGTGCTGTACGAGTACTACAGTGTGCTGCATCGCTAATAATCGAGGTTCACGATCCAGAGTCCCGCTACCACCATTCTACGACGGGCCCGAGCTCCCATTTAATTCTATTCCACGTCCTTTTCCTTTTCCAATTATAATTACAATTTCTTTTCCAATTCCAATTACAATCCCAGCTCCTGATCTGGAATAATCGAGATTGTCTTGCGTCTTGTGTCTATCCGTCTGCAGGCCCCGGACACGAAGCGCGCCACGGCGTCGTCCGTAATACCTCAAGAGATGAAGGCAGGTCCTTCATTTCCCCAGAGGCTACTGTACAATCAGCCATCAGAAACGCCTCATCAACACCAAGGGGACACGCGGGCCCCGCAGCTTGGTAGCGTACCGTGCACTGGCCCGTGGGACCATGGATGGCATGGAACCGTGGCTATCATGTCTGTGCTGCGGAACGGTCGAGATGCTGTGTATCCAACCGTGGAGATGATTGAACCAGCGCCATGATTCCCTCCTTTGCACGCACTGGACGAGTACTGTGCTCCTCCACGCCTCCATGCCATGCCTGCCATGCCACGAGGTACGGTACGGTGCGATGCGGTACGAAGTACTACAGTGCGTAGCCTCCGGGTCTTGCAGCAAAGCAAAGCAAAGCAGAGCAAAGCAGAGCAGAGCACAAGTACAAACGGACCGAGTGAGTAGCTCCTCTGGACAGTTTGCTATGCCGAACCCGACATAATAATAACATCATTTGATAGAATTCGACTAGGCATAGCACACACAATCCACACAAGGAAGAACCCGGCGGACGCGGCTCCATGACTACCCTCGAATAGCTGTAGCGGGCTGGCTCCACTCGCACACATCAATTTATGTCCCATCACGAGCGTCGTCCGTCGGCGCGCAAGCAGGCTGGAATCGCTGCTGGACTCGACTCGAACTGGACACGCCACGCCCACAAGCCCTTGCGTGAAGTTGGTTCTTTCGTCGCTTTTTCGTCGATGCAACTGTTCCCTGCGGATACTGCATCGAGCCCCTCTCAGCCCCTCTATTACCTCGCGCCACTCGCAAGACGGTCCTGTTCCAGTAAACAAAGATGACCGGTTTGTGATTTGCAGGCCTGCAGGGAGGGGTTATTTCTGCGCGAGATTGTTTGAGATGTTGGGGATGCCACCAGCCGACGGGTATCCCGCCTTCCTTTAGGCTTTGGCCCACGAGGAAATTTACTTTTTGATCAGCCACAAAGTGCCACACTTCCTTTGATGCCGGCCCAGACGTGGCTTGCTTGTGTTTCTCCTGCTGGTTCGGTTCGCCGGCTAGATTCTAATTGGGATACCGGGGGAGCCAGCGTGGGCCAATGGCCGCTGCGGTTGGAGATCGTCTGGTGTTTCAACTTTCAAAAGCCTGGAAGCCGCAGGATTCCAATGACCAGATCCGCCTAGTCCCAGAACAGTCCGAGGGGCAGATCCTGGACAGAGTCATTCATGGCCGTTTGTGGACCTGTATGAAGTACCTGGCTGTACCGAGGAGTACTGGTGCCGGCGCTCGCAGGAACGATTCTAGGCCAATTTATGCCCCGTCAGAACACGTTGCCAGCCAGAGAGAAAGTGAAAGCAGATGTGCTCCCCGAGCCAGGCAGCCCGGGAGACACAGTCAGAGCACCGAAGACTGTCGATTGCTTCGCACATAGGGCCGGAGTGAACAGCTAGGTAGGCCCACCGGCGCTGAGAGACCTGATGCTGTGATGATATGGCTGAATCCTTCATACGGGAGAGGATGCCTTCCAAAACACTGAGCTTCCCATGCTGCTTCCTCGGAACGGTACACTATTTTGCTGCTGACTCTGTTCGGGAGTACCGCAGGACATGCAGAGTCCCAACTTCCGAGGGCCGTTGGACAGCCTCCAAGAGTCCAATCCAACTGCTCACCGGCCGGTCACCTCCGCACAACCATGTCCACACGCGCCGGACTCCACGCACGACAAGATTCAAGAGTTCTCTTTACAAAGCTTACACAACAGATCCGCCAGTGCGAGAAGTGCCCGTACTATGTTGCAGCAGGAAGGAGTAAGTACTCCATACTCCGTATGAAGTACTGTACCAGTGCCAGCCCAAACGAAAAGCTTCAGACATTCAGCCCTCTGTTAGCCCTAGTCTCCAGTCCCTAGAACCCAGAACCGAGAATACAGTACCCAGCCACCCCCCCTGAACCCAGTTGCCCATCACCCAGTTGCCCATCACCCATGCCCCGCTACTCGAGGACTGCCCGCTTTCTGTATCCCACGGGCTTTACTCCACAGCGGTCTCCATCAGGCATTAGCTGTCTCATTACGGACTATGGAGTACTGCCACTGACATTTCGGATCCGCCCCATCTCTAATCGTTTTATATGAGGACCCCCGTCCATCAGCACTCTGGATGGTACTTGGTTCACAAACACCCCCCCGCCTAGCAGCTTTAAACGGTGGAACTGTTCTCGAAAGTGCGTGGTATTGCAGGATTCTACCCTCGACTCTGGACTTCCGCTCTGAGTATCTTGCAACGGACCCTTTCGGGAAAATGCCGTATATGGATACATGCCTAGATGACTGCTGTTGCTAATATCTGCCACCCGTACCCTGTTCCTCTCCACAGCTACTCCTCCGTATTATACAATTAATCTCTCAAGTGGAAGGGATCCATTCTCTCCAGTCACCAACCGCCCATAGTACCAGTTGTACGATCTGCTGGGCGCCGACTGGCTCGTTTCCGCGCCCACATGCCCCCCTCTGGTCTCATCACAGTCTTATCGATCTCGGTCGTCTACCTCGCGGCTTGGTAGCCTTTGCCATTTCTTCAGATACACCACTCATCCGGGAAGAGATCTTCCATGCAGTTAAAGCACCACTCGACATCCCGTTCCAGAGCCGTCAGTACTGGCCTCTTGATTTGCTAGCATCGTTCAAGCGCCCCAGGACCACGGACCGGCACCACCATATCTAAACCTGGTTTCACCCGGAGGATCTTCATAGACGCTTTCGGTAGCTATACAACGAAGTCTATCATAACGCACGGTACCTACTGGAGAGGAGTGTTAACCGCATTTGGAGTGCTTTTCCTCTGACATAAAAGACCTTCCACCCATTCGCCTACATCTACCGCCGACACTCCACATTTTACTTCAAGGTTACTTCTACCTTTCACTACTTCATGTTTCTCTTTCTAGGTTCAAAAATTCCCCCATAGATATGTTGCTCACGATAAAGCAGCCAGCACATCAGGGCTACAAGTCTTTCCATGACTATACTCCGCCTACACCGCCGTCCACGTCCTGCTTCTCTCCGGTGGTGGGTTCGACCGGGTCATCCCTTCCTTCCATATCCTCCACCAGCAAACATCACCACCTACCTGTCAGTAAGTCGATAGGACCGTCGATGTCGACACCCCATAGGGGCTTGCCTCCGCCGGCGGCCATGACATTGCCACCTCAGCCTTCCTCGATCAGCCAGCCAGTATTAAGCCAACCCCTCTTAAGCCAGACTCAATTGCCTCAGCCCATGGGACAACTACCTGGTCCTCCACAGCAATGGCAAGGCGCGGAAGAATCAATGAGGAACTGGCTGCATGCAAAAGCCGAAGAAGACAAGCGGAAGCAAGAAGAAGAGAAGACGCGGCAGGAATCACTGCGGTTAGAACAAAGAAAAATCGAGCAAGACATGTTGAGAACGTCGCTAGCGGGAGGTATCCCGCCCTATATGATTCCAATGGTGTTTGCGGGGATGGGGGGCGGAAATCTTCCAAATGCCAGCTTGGAGTGGGCACAACATTACATGGCACAGGCACACCACCTTCAGCAGCAGCCGCAACAAATTCCGCAGCAACCGCAACTTCTACCTTCCCAAGTGCAGACTTCGCCCGAGCAGATCCAGCGGCGGAACTCTCGAGGACACGGACAGCCTCCTGCTACGCAGCAAAATCCAGTTCCAATGACTTTGCCTTCCACCCCAATAGGCCCTTCAGGATCTCAGCAACCCGCGAGCTTTCTGCCGAGCTATCCATTATCACCAGCGTCACGATCTCGACAAAACACGCAAGCGCAGACAACGATTGTGCGGCCGTCCCCAACGTCTCAGCTTCCTAGGCTGAATACGGGAGAACTGCACATCCAACCACCACCGCCAGGACCCGGCATGCAAATATTACCTGGCCAGCCAAGCCACCCATTGCAACAAACGCAGTCCGTCCAGCAGCAAGAGTCGCAAACTTCCCCATCTATCTACTTTCACCATTGGCAACCGCCCACCTCACAGGCAGGAACGAGTGGTGGCAATCAGCCGGCAACTCCTTCAGGCAAGCCTCGATAGTTTCTCTGTATCAACAGAACGCCGACTAATGGATAAGCCAGATAACACCTCATCCCCAAAGAAACGGAAGGCGACGGGACCCCAACAACCAGCACCGCCACCTACGTCGCAACCACAATACACCTCACCCCAATTCTCCCAGGTGACTTCCTCCGTCTCCAACACGCCGCCAAGCCGACGTCGTGGGCATTCAAGGCAGCGGAGCGATATGTCAAGCCGAGGGCTCGATTCCTATGGCCGACCTACGAGCCGCCATCGCCATACTGAGAGCAGCTTCAGCCTACCAAGTCTAACATCACCCCGCCAGATATCTGATCAGGGACCCGAGACCATGTCGCAGGCGGGGCCACGACGAAGATCGGGAGGCTCGAATCCCGTTTCTGCGCTGCTCGAAGAGAGTGACTCGCGGCCACAGTCGCAACAGCAGTCGGCGGTGGCGCATGAGATGAGGCACGAGGAACGACACACGACGTCGGAAAGTGAAAATTCGGGAAGACCAAACGCTATCAAGCGAGATGATGGGCAAGATTAGAGGAGTTTCAGACAGAGTCCTGGCGTCCTAGATGGCCCCTGCCCTGCCCTGTACGCGAGATGAATAAGCCGACAACGACAGCGAACTTTTCGGATCAGGTTCAGCTATGGACGGACGCGTTATGAAGGTGGATGCGTTATTTCGATGATTAAATGATACCCATTAATGCGCGTTTGCCGCTGGAGGTCCAGGTTTAAATTGCTTTTCATCAAAAACAAAAGGACGCCACAGAGGCGCTTGTACAACTTGTATTTTACTGTCATGGGCAGGCGAGGCCCTATTGTACGACTACCACATATCGAATTAAGTCGGGGGAGCGGAGGAAGAAGGGGGGGAAGGCATGTCCTGTCCTACGTGAGGCCATCTCGGGCGGAGCTTCATGGGCTCTTTATTTGTCTGCGGCACTCTTGGATCATGGATTCTGGTGGTACAATTCTTGCAAATACTTTTTATGGTGGTTTTCGAGGGAAAAGGTCGGTCGGCAGGGTGCGGTTTAGCAAGGTAGGGAACGGTACGGCACGAAAAGAGATATCTAGATGATTGATGATAGCGGTGCGAACTTTTTGAACGAAATGGACAGCAGAGGCGGGAAGAAAATCTGGGACGCAAGGGACGGAAAAAGGTTCTCACTACATATACATTGTTCCTGTACTGCATGTACGGTATGAAAAATGTTTCGCCATGGCGACCAGATAAGCCAACTCAAGAAATTAACTACGATTTGGATCGCAACACGACCTCGGGAAGGCCTATCGAGACCAAAAAAAAAACATTTATAGAGTCAAATCCTTGAGAAGAGATGGGATCATGATATGCCTCCGTTGCGGTTGTCCTACACATGACATGCTGGGATAATAATAACGCATCGCTGTCCCTTCCTCGGCCCCTGAGGCCTGCTCCACCATGGCCTTGATGGCACGCTGTTCGCAAAACGGAGTTTACCAAAGGACACACGTTTGTCTTACCAAGGGCTTGCGCCAACCACCACCGCCACAACGTCGATCAAACACGCCCCCTGAAGACGTCCCAAAGGAGAAAGAGTCGTTGATCCCCCGGTCTTAAGAGCCGCGCTATTGGAACGCACGGCCTTCGGGCCCGGTGTTTCATGTTTAGACAGGAAAAAAGATGAGATGAGATGAGATGTGATGATACAGTATGAGCTGATGACGACCACCATGGTACCCATACTCGTCCGTAAGAAGTAGATCTACTGTACTGTGCTAGATCGAGAGATAAGATACTCCACTCGCCGGACCGTGTTTTGTGTTTGCCCAAACTAGGCGCAATCGCTGCCACGGGCATGGCTTATCCCCGAAAGAGATATCGGTTAGTGTCCCGTGCAGCCTAGTAGATAATGTAGGGCAATTATCGGAGACGGCGATGGTTAAGGAGTCGAAATGAAAAGGATTGAGATGCGCCATGTGAACACCATGGCGAGGGGAGATATCTCTCTGAATTGCGATGTTTTCCCGGGAAAGTGGCTGGGAACTTCAACATCTGCGGGCCCGGGACAATGCGATGCTACGTACGGCGTATACGTACGGGACACTTCGCACAGTACAAGTACGTACATCATTAAGGGAGCACGAAGTATTTCCATATTTCCATATTACCGGATATGGAATGGGTCTCTGGAAGGGGAAGCTGCATCCCGGGTTCAATGCTTCCCGGTTCCTGAATCAAGACTTCGACAAAGCCACAGGGTGTCAGTGGCGGGAGACTGGAGCCCGGAGGACTTACCAACTCTGTCAGGTAGGACAAGACGCATCCCACTTGCCCGGACCCGGATTTTGAGCCATAAAAGGGCTGATGCAGATGCAGATGCGGATATTGCAACTGACTGCGGGATGGAGAGCTAAGGAAAGTTCGCGCCCTAGAATGGGACCAAATGCTGCCGAATATGGAGTAGAAACAAACATGTATCGCCCAGAAAGGAAAGTGGATTTCCACGCCTGATTACCACAAGACGGAACTCTCCTCCGGATCGCCCTCGGCGACACGCTGTCGCAGGTAGAAACAGAGAACGCATGTAATCGGCCTTGCAGGCGCCACATATTGCAGCTTTTCAGCCACACGCACGAGTCTGCATACAGGAGGACTCTTTTGCACATGACAGAGTATCCGTTCATGTGCTACGTACATGTAAAGTACATATATGTACTGTACGTTGTACCTACGTACTCAGTCTCGGAAAGGCAATGCACCGCAATTTACTAGGAGTACATGGCCAGATACCAGGAACGGCGACAGCTCCTGCGCGGGTTTGAGATTGAGATTGTTCAAAATCCTAAGGGGACATTTGCCCGATTGGTGCACAGGCTGTTTCAAATAAACCGGAACTGGATTTTGGCCGAATTGGTGACCAACCCACGATAAAATCCCTCGACTTCCTAGTTTCCAGTATCTTATATTTGTTTATATTATGACGATGGGTGTTGGCATGTTCTGGTACCTGCGCGGCCAGGGCGGGGTTAGGTACGGATCGCGGCCAGGCATTTGCAACATTTCTGATCACATCATGGCTCGTGTGCAATAAAGTCCAAATATAGTGGATATGCAGGTACGGACCAGAGGTGCAGCCTGCTGTAAGGCTGCAGACCCAAGTGGAATCAGGCTGAATGCGTGATGTTTTGCATGGCGGAATTACGATGCAGTCCGAGAAAGCTCCAGACTGGAATTCCAGGTCGCCGAAAACATCGTCAGGCTACCTCCGGACGGTGTACAGCATTTGAGCTCGGTTTCAGATGTTGAATATGCTGCAAGTCATACTCCCTATTCAAAGCGCAGGGGATTATATACCCCTGCGTCAAGGCTCAGAATGACCAACCAACAGCGTCTGTAGGACCTGATCAGCGAGATTGTTAAAATGGATTGAATATTAATTGATCTTCATCCATGTTGGCTGCTAGGAAGTCGATTTGCGCGATCAAAACTGCTTTTCATTCAAGGGGATGGATACTAGCGTACATACTCGGAAATACCTGACGTCTTGACGAACTGGTTCTCGACCGGTTGGAAACCAGTATAATCATCGAGGTGATGAATAATACCGACAATGGTGACCATCCACTAAGTAGTGGGTGAGGATAAGCTCATCTTTAATACCGCAAATTGAAATCCTCCTTTTATGACTAAGCGGGTGCTATAGCTCTAGCTCTTTTATAGATTCGAAGTCCTGCACGGCTTCTCGAACATAAGACCTGGAAGCCCTAGGGTGATGGAGCTGCTTAGTTCTTAGGTGGTGTTTTGTTCTTGATATGGTTCTCTTTGTTGTCAAGAGTAGCTTCCTTGACTAGTTTCCTTCCAATCCCAACCAAATTCCATTCCAATATTGTGTCGAATAATCTGTTCCTGCTCCGCGTATCTTATGGGGAAGGGTTGCGCTCACCCTGAACATTAAACCTCCATTGTGCTCTATCTCCTTGTCCTCCTTCGCATTCCCAGCCCTTCTCGCATGCTACAATAATAATGGCAAGGGGTATCGAGTTGCAACTTTGAGCACTTTAAGTTTCTAATTGAATTTATTCCGGTGGGTTTTACGGGTATGACCAAACGGGTCCCGAATCAACAGCGCTAGGGACCTCTTAAGAAATCTGTAAGGCACCTTGCCGTATCACTGTTGAGATGGTATAGAGTCCGAATGCCTAGCGTTGGTGGTCGCGCAAGCAGGCCTTTCATAACTATTTCAATTTCTCAACGGTATCCGGTTTACTACCACATACGTTGACAATTGAAATAGTTTAGTATGAGTCACTTGTCACAAAGCTCGTCGTAAAATGCATTCGATTCCTAATATTAACAAAATCCGTCGTTGCAGTTTATTATATCCTTTACTCCATCTGGTATTTCCCCCCTTGCTTCGAATGTTCCATATGTATAAACCCCATGCTGCCATGCGTCATAATCATTAAAAGCAAGTGGAGACTTATACGAGCAAACTAAGGGCTAGAAACCGTTCTCCCTACGCCCATGCTATGAACAATGAGATTTCAGCGTACATCGCACAAATATGTAAATCAAAAAGTACGTCTCCCGATGCCGTGCTATGCCATGTAGCTATGCCATGTAGCTAAGACACGTACTCACAAACTCCTATAACACATGTCATATCTGTTAAGAGGCGGAACGCAACTCTCCATCAACTTCCAAAACCGTAAAAAAACAAAACCGGCTCCCTTCACCGCTCTAAAGGGCGACGGTGTCATTATGCTTACTTTTTCTTTGCAAGATCGTCCAGCGAATTGTATGCTGAAGTGAGATTCCGACCAGCTTGGGGCCGCTATTGGTGGTGTTGAATTTGCCACTGCTTGGCTGATCTCGCACGACGGGTTTTGCTTCTTTAGGGTCCCATCGACTGGGGAATTGCCCTACCCCCCCACTTTCGACGTCTACATTTGCCCTTCTTCTTCGACATTAGTCCGCAATGGCACATTATTCTGGGGGCGACTCGTCATTTGCAATTGATGTCCGCTCGGCAGAATTAGGCTCAAGGGCGCCAAGTTCAAACGCACTGCCTACGGCATTGTGATTGGATGATGAAATTGAAATCTTTTGATCTCCATCCGCTGAGTTCTGCATCCTTGATGAGAGGTTGCGCTTCAAGGGTCGCACTGTGACCGATGAGGAAGAGGTACTGAGAGTGCCCGTCTGTGGATTGTTGGGTAATGACCGGTCTGGTGATGTGGAGGCTAATGTTCCAGAAGACTTGTCGTTTTCAATGTTTGTAATTCTATCAACACCCTGTAGAGCTTTGTCGATTACCTTCCTAGAAGATTCCCGAAGGTTGAGTGTCATAGATGGGGGCTAGAAATAGTGTTAATTATGTTCTGAACACACGAGGGAAGCTTTTCTTTAACTGACATTTTGGAGATACTGATTCAATTTCTTCTGTAGTATCCCAATCCTCACTGGCTTGGCAAGGTAATCGTTCATACCAGCTTCCAAGCATTTCTCGCGATCTCCTTGAATAGCGGAAGCAGTCATGGCAATAATCAAGACCTTCCGAACCGCTTCCAATGGGTCTTGCCGTATTAGTTTTGTTGCTTCATATCCATCAAGAACTGGCATTTGAACATCCATTAGGACGATATGATAAGGTCGAGCTTGTTTGGCCATCTTCCTCAGACCTTCCACAGCCTCCAATCCATTGTCATAGGCGTCAATATGCTTGTAGCCAAGCTTCTCCATGAATTGGATCGCAATCTTCTGATTGATCGGGTTATCTTCCGCAACGCAAATTTGCAAATCTTCTTGAGCAACATGACGGGAGTCAGAATAAACAGTGGATGGATTTGCCGCCGGAGGCTCAACAGGCCTTGGTACTGATTCGCGTCGCAGACCGATGCCATTCCGGTCACTTCCACGATCCGCAGCAAAGCCTGAGCGCACCTTTTCGAAAGTAACCGTGAACCATGCAGTTGTTCCCATATTCTCAGCGCTTTCGAGTTTTATCCTTCCTCCCATCATGGACTCAATGAGCGACTTGCAAATACTAAGACCCAGACCGCTTCCGCCATACTTCCGTGCTGTGCTAGCATCCGCCTGACTAAATGGTTTGAATAGCTTTGATAGTTTCTGAGCTGGGATACCGATGCCGGTGTCTTTAACCCAGAAAGTCAAGGTGGCATTTTCATCCGTCTGGGCATCACACCGAGCACCAACTGTAATGGATCCTGTCTCCGTAAACTTCATACTATTTCCCAAAAGATTCCCCAAAACCTGGTGTAAGCGGACTGGATCTCCATATATGAGCAAGTCGGGAAGGTTAATATCTTGCAGAATGTCGATATTCTTCAGCCGTTTCTTGTCGCGGTAGCTATAGGAGACAGACCGCACAATCTCGCGGATCATTTCATCGGGTTTGAAAGATTCGATGCAAAGTTCCATCTTGTCGGCTTCCATCTTAGAGAAGTCAAGGATGTCATTGATAACAGTGAGCAGCAGATCAGCCGAGACACGGATTGAATCCGCCATCTCAGCTTGCTCTTTAGTCAAAACGCAGTCTCTAAGGAGTTCTGAGTTTCCAATAACACCATTCAGTGGAGTTCGAAGCTCATGGGAAACGTTAGCCAAGAAGATGGATTTCGCTTTGGCAGCCTCTTCCGCTAGCTTCACACTTGCGAGCGCAGCAGCTTCGGCATTCTTAGCCTTGGTCTCAGCTTCTTGAGCCTTAAGCAACGCCTTTTTCTGCATATCAATCATAGATGTGTTGAAGGCGGAGACTTTCTTGACTTCTTTTAATGTCAGCGCGTTGGAGTAGCTGATTCCGATTTGGTTTACAAGCAGCTGTAAAACAGTGAGGTTTCGATCAGTGAACGCGCCTGGCTCTCCTTCGAGATAGAGAACCCCCAGAAGTGGCTTGTTGCCATGAACAATCGGAAGAGCGATCACAGATTTGCCACCTGGGTTCCGGGCAGACCAAGCTTCAGTAACATTGCTGAAACGTTCATCATGCAGTATATCTGACAAGAACGCCGTCTCTCGGAAGCGTGTGCAATACAGAATAACGCCTTCGGCCACTAATGATGTCTCGCTCAAAGGAATCCCAGGAATATGAGCTGTAGCCCCTCCCTCAGGATCGCCACTAGCTGCGATGCACCACCCGGGAGTGGGGTCATCTTCCTCCACAACTATAGCCGCCGTGGATGCCAGGCCACCACAGTTCTGCAGGATGATTTCGCACATCGTCTTCAAAAGCTGATCCACCTGTAAGACGCTGGAGATAACTTGAGAGCTCTCGAGAATCGAGGTCAGGTCCAACATATCCAAGGCTGGTAATCCTGAGCCAGCGTCAGGACGAGACGATACTTGCCATGCTCCAATCCTATCGCCCTTGCTCTCAGAGACATCAGCACAGGTTTGCTGACGTTCGTCATCCTCGTCGCCTTCAAGGGTTCGATATTGAACAGGTGCTGAATCCCCAGCAAAATCTGTCTGGCAACTAACATCAACTGCCCGTAGGTTTTGAGTGGGGCCCAGCAACAGTAGATTATGTTCATCCTCAATATGTTTTACGACTCCTATGGCGCCAAGTTGTCGATAAAGTTGAATCGCCTCCCGCAAGGATGCCTTCGCAGCCCGACGAGATCCTGCTCGAAGAAAGAACTCTCCATACAGATGGTTGCCAAGTGCTTCTTCGAGGGTAAATCCATTGGCTGCCGCAATATCTAAGCACTCCTCGTAACTGCTTAAAGCCTTTCCATGATCTCCCTCCATCTCGGCGATCTGGGCAGCAAGCAGGTTTGACCAAGCTAGATAAGTAACTTCATTAATGGATTCCCAATCCCTAATTTTTTGCTTCAAGTACTTGACTTGTTTTACTACCTCAGCGGTCTGTTGAGGAAGCTCATCGTTTGACGGCGGAGTATCGGCCACTGAACTTGAGACGAGGTTTGGTTTCCCATCTCCCAAGAAATGAAGAGGGTTCTGCAATTTACTCCACATTAAACTGCAGAGGGATAGTCCATGAAACAACATGAGATGTCGGGTGTTTTTTGCAGACCAGACGAGGTCAATATTTTGAAGACACGAGGTCCCCAAGTCGATAGCCCGGCCGTAGTGACCATACAAAAATAGGGGCACCATTTCCATCCCCTCGTAGAAAAGTAGCGACCGGTCGTGAGGCTTGCTAACTCTCTTCAACCAGGTTTTGTAATTTGCGGGGTTATGCATTTCATCACTCATAACCTCATCAGGGCTTTCTATAGCGGTCTTTCCTTGCAAGGCGCGACAAACCTGCCGAGTTGCAACAGCCATAGTTCCGCCTCTGGTGTCCATAATCCAATTCTGCGCTTCCTCGCAGCCGTATCGGACGAAATTTTCTAGGTCGATAACGTTCTCGGATGCGAAAAACCTGAGATTGGAAACAATCCCAAAGTTGAGAATGGTTGATATTCTATCACCAGCTTGTATGGAGTACTCCAGAGCGCCTTCCAATTGCGCCAAAGATGCCCGGAAATCGAGATGAATATGCCCCACAAAGAGCGGGTATATGGTGCCGCCTCGTCCCATGGTATAGGGGTCTCGACATCTTTCCATCATTTCTAGCGAGAGCTTACCCATCTCAGTCGCAAAACCGATCATATTAAATCGGCTTATTGCTATCGTTGCAAGATGCAAGAAGCCCATACCGGCTTGGGGGAAAAACCCGCAAGTGAACTGGGTATTGACCATGACTAGCGACATCTGAAAAAATACCAATCTATTCGTCCAGAAGGCTGCACTGATTGTCTCGACAAGGACTGCACCAACAGCAGCCAGATTTGGGTCGTTCATTACAGGCCGGGATAGGAGAGTTTCCGGGTCAATAGATTGAATCTTCAGCGAGAGCCGCTCAAATTCTCGATCGCATTTCTCGAAAGTAGGTTTATCATCCACGTCTATATTCAGCGCGGCGAGGCATTGCTTCAAAGCTTGAAAGGCAGCTGGTAAATCTCCCTCTTGGGTAAGGATCCTGGATTGCAAAACCCAAGCTGGAGCTTTATCGACGGGCGTCCTAGCATTGGCAAATACAATGGCCAGGAGACGTTTTGCTTCACTGTACCGGCCTAGGTACAGGTCGCATTCAGCAGCTCTGGTGTGTAACTGAAGGGTTTCGTCGTAGTACACATCGGGCATATCATCACTCCACGGATCCGGTTGGAGAAGGGCAAAACAACTAGCATAGTATGCTGCAGCTGTAGGGCGGGCACCACTTTCTGCTGTAGCTTGAGCACAATCGAAAAGTAACTTCCTAAAAGCATGCCTGTGTAGAACACGTTGGTTGATAATATCCGGGCATTTGCATATGTGTGCAGCGGTATCGTCCCGTGATCTCTGTTCCGAAGAATAATATTTGAGAAGCGTCTGAGTGATGATGAAGTGCATCTTTGGTGCATTGCATTCTCCAAGAGATTGTGCGGCTTGACTGTAACGATCATGTGCAAACCGAAACCGGTCGTCTTGTTGTGTAGCAATGATAATGTAGGCTTGGATGGCCGCTTGAAGTCCCTCAACTGCATCTTCCTGTGAGTGAGATAAAGAGTAAGGTTGGAAGTCATCTGGTGTCCGGGCCGCGTCGTCATAATCGAATTCCCCACTTATAAGTCTCTGGATTAGTTCGAACGAAAACGATGCCCCTAGTATTGATGCCCATGCCAATATTGACTTCGAGGCTGGTGGTAACTCATTTAGTCGGCTTGTAATGAACTCGCTGTTGAGAGTGTCATGATAATTTTCCGTTTGAAATTGCTTGAAGATCTTGTCGAGGCTAAAGCACCAGCAGCTCTGCTTATAGTCGTACCATATACATTGTTTCCGGTGACACGTATCAAGCATTTCTCTCATGAAAAACGGGTTCCCGGCAGTTTTAGATTGAATAACTGCTGCTAAAGGAACAACTTCTTCCTTAGGTCGACAAAGGGTGGCGGCAACGAATGTGACAATATCATCCTCGCTGAGTGGTCTTAATACTACTCGGGTGATACCAATGCCGTTGGTTTTTATGTATTCTGGATACTGAGTTAGCATGGCTAATAAGGATAGGGATTTGGCGTGCAAACTGGTACCCTCTGTATTCGGAGGTTCAATTATCCCCTTGATCCTTTCTGGAAGAAATTCATCAGGTCGGTAAGTTATTAATAACACCATCTTCATTCGCGCAACCACAATTTGGGTAATTAAATCGAGCGACTCATCATCTGCGAATTGCAGATCATCCAAGCAGAAACAGATAAATTTGTGTTGTGTGAAAACTCTCAACACGTCGAGAACGGTGTTCATCAAACGCATCGATTTTGTTGCAGTGCCAGCACGAAGATAGTCCTGGGAGTTCTGCGAATCGCGAGGGAGGCTATATAAACTGCCGTGGGAACTAGACCCCGATGAATCAGATTGTCCTATGTTGGGCCGTAGGCTCTTGTTATATCCCTGAGGGGTTGGACTGGAGTGATTAGACACCACGGATCCCGACCATGGCCCGAGCAAAAATTCCGGGAGCTCCAGAGCTTTATGCAGCATGGGCCACGATGGCCTGGCATACTGCTTTAGGACCTGATGGAAAGGTGTATCCGTGTCGCTCTCAGAGAAGACTTGCTTGAATAGACTCGACAACAATTTGAGAACTGGGCCAAAAGGGGTTTTCTTGGCACGGTCAAACTTTGAACTTGCAAAGTAGCCCCTTCGACGTGCCTCAACCTGAACAGATTGTATTAGGCAGCTTTTACCTAGTCCAGCGGCCCCCGAGATACTGACAACCTCGCAGCGTCCTTTTGGGCGGAATTTCTGAGGATTTCGATGACTGGCTAAATTTCCAATGCTGTCTGGGCTGGTTATTCTTGTGACGCTACTGCCTTTTGAATTCATGTTATCTGCGATGCCATTAAGGGAGCTGTTCTTCTCCCATGGTTTCAGCACGCTGCCTGGTTGGCGGTTTGATGATTCTGGGATATTACAGGAATTCTGCACTGAGTTCGTTGTGGAGCGGGCGGCACTGGATCCGGTATTATGATATGCTCTTAGTTCCCCAGGGATGGCCCCGTTGGTACTTGATTTCCCCATAGAGTTCGAAAACCCATCAGTTGAGCTGGTGTTGTCCTCGCTTGTAACTTCTAAAAGTGCTCCTCCGTCGGCAACCCCAAGGCGCGATTCAGATATGTGAGATGAAGAAGATATGGTATGGATGTCCTGCTTCTGGCTGATAATATGCCGCTTGGAAACCTTATCAATAACCTTCACCACCTCTGCGTGTTCTTCACTTCTTCCTATCATTGCCGTCGGTAGGATAAAATAAGAGGAAACATCCTTAGTCGCGATTTGCCAATGCTGAAGTGTCTCCGAATCTCCGGCTTCTAGGAGTCTTCGGACCTCCACAAGGTCATGCCTCAAGCCGCTAGCAGAATGATATCGATCGCCGATAATCTTCGCCGTCATCTTCTGAATAATTTTTCCAATGACATCCGGAATATTGAATCTCACACTTGACACAGTGGGTAGTCGTCTGCCAAGCACCCCTTGAATAATATCCATAGGCGTTTCTCCCTCAAAGGCTGGCTCCTGCGTGAGCATTGTCCAGAATAGAATTCCGAGAGAGTATATGTCGGTTCGGCTATCTGGTTCTGCAGGCATGCGGCCTGTCTGCTCAGGGCTCATGTAAGAGAGCTTTGTTTTGGCGCCGAGCTCTTGCGAAAGGGCAGACCAGCCCGTACTGGTGAGTCCATGCTCAAAAGTTCGCAATCCGGAGCCAAAATTGATTATCCTGACTTTGGATGTCTCCGCATTCATGTGAAAAGCATCGCCTCGAATTTCCCCGTGTACGATACGCTGTTTATGGTGGAGAATTTCCAGACACTCGGCTGTGCCACTATATAGTTGAAAAGTTAGCAATTCTTCTACTAGTAAAGCAAGGCTGCAGGGTTTAGATCATGACTTGAGATCCAATCATCCTTACATCGCGAAATCTAGAAATGTTTCAAGTGGGACCTGCTCCCTCGGGATGAAATCTTCATGATAAGATTCAAGCCTATCTCCAACCTTCCGTCCCCGGTACCAAGCCAGGCCGTAATCAATGACTTGGGTCAGGTAGTTGGGCCCTGGATTTTCGAATATACAGACAATCACCGGCCCCACGTCCCCTTGCTGTCCCGGTAGCCTCGCTATGTCTATTGGCTTGACGATATGGTTTCCGTGCGGGTCTGCCGACTTTATCAGGTTCTTGCAAATATGGTATGTTCGTTCTTCCCGTAGCGCGTGGGTAGAAATGCGCGCGAGAACTTCAATCTCTTCCGGCTCCGGTTCCGATTCCACGGCCTCATCACGAAGTGTAGATGTACTATTTTCGCTGCTGCTCTCACTCGCAGGTCTATTATAATTATATCCACTCGCGTCAAGCTGACCCTGTGCTTGCAAGTTCCGCTCTGATGGAACTCTCGATCGACGCTTCGTTTTACGCTTCGTAGTCGGCTGGTTGGTGATTATTTTTCTACCAAAGACTTGCCTACACGAAGACCATATCAGTAAAGGAATAGGAATAGATTTCCTTTCGGGCGGCCTTACCAGTTGTCATAGCTGGTATGGTAGAGTCTTGACTCATCCCATATGTAGCCGGAAATCTGCTGCAGCCGCTCAAAGAGTCGCGGGGGCGGATCATCCCCTAAGACCACCGTGCCGTCCATGGTGCAAGCTTTGCAGTCAGCTCATCTCATATCACTCTACATCACCCTCCCCATGGTACGGCTGAAGGTCGGGTGTGTTCCAAAGCTTCACAAAACTTGGGTCCTCGGTCTCTTATCTACCCCAGGAGTTTGGACGAGAAGATGGGATTAGGCCTGGGTATCTGGTCTGCCAATGAATCTGTGAATGATCCTAAATCGCCGTCGGGATCTGGGACCAGACCTGAATCAATCAGTTGAAGATTTGGTAGTATCGTACGAATGCCATATCGAGTGCCTTGCTTGTGGTGATAATGGAACGCAGAAGCGCAAATAATCAAGCCTAACATGTAAGGCTGCAATACGTATGAACCCCTGCTCGGCACGAACCACATTCGGAGGATTGTTGTGGCCATGACGTAACTAGCTGCTCGCTTGCGCTTGGGGAGAGACAGTCCCGGCTTCTTAATGAGACGATCTCATGCGACAACAACTGCTTCTTGCAACTTCATTCTTCTAGACCGCACTCTAGAATGGCCGAAAACAGCATATGGCGAGGCACGCTAATACCGACGATCAGATTTCAACGAGACTGCTTGATGCAGCAAACCACAAAGATGCAAACACATGTTGACATGGCAGAAAGGCAATAGCAATAGTGATATCCTTCGAGTTTATTCTACGGCGCATAGCAACAATTATCAAGCCGTGCGAGCCAAGTGGCGGCGAGTGCTATGTACGAGAGACACGATCAACTGTTCTATACAAGTACCTAGGTGCCCAGGTACGGACCAGGATATTGAAAATGCCGGAATGCGGAAGTCGATTTTGTGTCCGCGCCTGGCGATCGATGGTGCTTCTAGATGCCCGCTATGGTATCAATTTCTCTAGGAATGCCATCTCCACATCTCCACCCTCTTACCCCCCTATGGCTTGGGACGGATTTGGCTCTATCACCATAATGCCAACCCCCCTCTACGGGCACCGCATGTGCCTCTCGTTACATTCCAACTTTTCTGTAAGAAACTTTCCCCCATGCAGCTTACTTCCTTCCAACGGGTAGATACCAAACCTGCCATTGGTCTCCTTTACCGTTGCCATGGGTCTTATCGCCGTGCCCCCACCAATCCACTTCTCGCCGCTTCCGTCCTGTAGGGAATGCCCGCTTTCCACGCAATTCGCAGGCAATATATACTCGCCCCCGCCCCAAAGTTGGAGTTCGAAGGGAGCTTGGTCGGGGACGGGAACCATATCAAATTTCCTGGTGGCTGTCACAAGCCGAGGAATCAAAACTTTGAACGGGACTTCGATGGTCTGCGGTAGGCAAGGGAGGCTCAAAATATGACTCGCTGATAAAGCGGAAGCATCCGTCCCAGCCGCCTAGAATTATCAGACCGATAAACCCTGTGTGATTATGAATCGATTTGATATTGGTGGATCGTTCCCTGCTTTCATCTCCACTCCCAGCTCGCTGCACCAAATACTCAATCAAACATGGCCTTGGGATAGGACGAATGCTTGCGATATCAGGTGGTACACTGGCAAAATCACCGGGATATAATGAGCGCGCGGGGTCATTAGTCCAGACATTGAGCTTGCCTTCAAGCCAGAAAGATGCATCGTAGCCTCCTTTGTGGCAGTGGAAGCCAATAAGGTGGGCGAATGTTCTCCCTGTGCCCATGTCGGGAAACGCATTGTTTGTTTCCTTTCCTACTACCAAAAGCCTCATTATTGAATTGGAGGTGGGAATTATCCATAATTCGCCAGCATAGACAGGTAAGGCTTTACTTGGGCTACCTTGTAGTTTCCCCAGAGGAGTTATACGCATTCAATAGGCGACATGTCGCGGTGCAAAATTGCCGATCCTTGGATCTTTGGGATATGGGTTAATATGGAAGTAGCTTACTCCTTTGGGGGTTCGAAGGTACCTGCTTGATTCCTATTCTTTATATGCTGAAGCTGAAGTGGGTATGTCCTAACCTTGATTGCCGTGTATCGTGCCGAAACATCTCGTAGGCCGGCTACTGTGGATATAGCTCACAAGCACGGCGCGGGCCGTGCATATAAAAAGGTACCATATGCTATGTATCTATTTTACAAAATGCCCCCAACATTCTAAAAGCATGCTCGTTGCTAGTGGCGCTAGAATACTCGCAAGCCCCTCAAGCATTTCATAAAGCAGCATTTTTTTTCTTCAAATCTGGGCATTGGATTGGTAAGACTTTATCATCAATACTTAGACTCGGGGACCGAAAAGCCCCGCATGTGGGGTGGGCGCCCCATACACCAGGACCGCAACTCTGAACCCCTCAGCAGTTTACCTACCTTACCTATTCAATAATGAACTTAAATAAGGCACTCCAACATTCCCTTTAACGGCGACTATTTACTAGCATTCTACTCCAGGCTAAAAGAAGCTGGACAGTTGTATCACGTAGGTTATCCCCCTTTACAACTCGATAAAGGCACATCTTCTAACAGAACTTCACGGCAGATAACCAATCATCAAATATACAACCAAATCTCTCTAATTCTCAAAGACATTAGACCTCAGTAAACCTCCAACCATGGACCAAATCCGCACCCTCCAAGAAAAAGTTGGTCCATCTATTTTTTCTGTCCTCGGCCCAACCTTCAAAATCTACAGCCCCCTCCTCGTCGCAAACAAAGAGAGGATTCTCGCAATTCCCCCAAAAACCGAGTCCTACGGTTCTCATCCCCGCCAGGCGCTGGATGTCTACCTAGCTTCGGATTCCTCAAAAACCACAACTCCCATCCTCGTATTCTTCTATGGCGGGGGCTTTACGACCGGCGAGAAGATCACTCAAACTATCGACGATGGGTTATTATATCACAATCTAGGCACATTCTTTGCCTCCCACGGAGTCACGACTATCATCCCAGATTATCGACTCGTAAATGTTGCTTCAAAGGGTCACGACGCCGTGTTCCCCTCCGGTGGGGACGATGTATCCTTGGTACTCAAATGGGTCGCCAAAACATTTGCTGGAGAAGGAGGCAAGAGAGATGTTTTTATCATGGGCAACTCAGCTGGAGGAGTGCACATTTCCACGTTCCTGTTTGAGTCGCAGTATTTGGAGCAGAGGAAATCCTACATTGGAGGCGATGCGGGGATTACCCTGAAAGGTGCGATTGAGCTATCTGCCCCGTTTCATTTTGGGCAATCGGTGGATGAGAATGCAGAAATGCTGGCGGGTTATTTTGGCACCGTGGCAGACGCTGGGAAACACTGTCCTTACGTGCTGCTCAAGGAAATGGGCCAAAGGGGTGAGTCGAGGGAGGACGTTGCCGTGCCGAAGATCCTAACGCTGGTTGGGGAATGGGAACCTGAACAGATTCCACGGGGGTCTGACCAATTCGTGGAACTCTGGAAAAAGACATGGGGAGAAGGGATTGAATCTGGGGTTATTGCTGGGCATAATCATATTAGTCCCCCATGTGGTCTCATGGCTGGAGAGCCCGCGGGAGAAAAATGGGGCGAGGATGTTGTGAAATGGATCAGGGGTTGAAGTAGCTGAATATCTTCCATTTTTATTTAGATATATCTATCAACGCCTATAGTATCAAGCCGGGGGTATCAATTCGCAATCAGGAACTCCGAATAATAGCTTTTACATCCCATTTCCTCCTATAAAGTCTCAAATGAATCATTCAGATATACCACAAAGCTCTCACTGATCCGCTTCACAGGCACAGCATTTGTCCTGTTAAGACTTATGAATTGCCTCCTAATCCGCTGCAGGGCCGGCAAGCCCACCGGATTAGCAGGCAATTCAACAATCAACTCCTCGCCACCACCCTCTCCCACGCCAACTTCTCCGCCACCTTCTCCTGGGTGATCTTTCGCCCACTCCAGAATCTTATTCAGAATCCCCTGCGTACTCCGATCCAACTCATAGAGATAATCCTCACTACTAGGCGCCTTCAAAACAGTCGCCTGGTTCGGCTTCACGACCTTCTTCCCGCCCTCGGCATCGGACCCAACAAGCTCGTCCCAGATGGCATCGCAAGGCGGGGTTGGATCATCCCACAGAACCGTAAATAATGGACTATCCCACCTGGCCATCGCATTCGGCTCCTCATACCTAAATACCAAATTCTCCCAGCACCCACTCTCATATGGCAATTCCTCCTCACTCCGCGTATCATCCTCACCACTTGAAGAAGCCGTCTTGGCCGCTGCCAACCTCTCATCATTAACGCCCCTCGCCTGCGACACCGGCGTCCCAACATGAACCACACAATGCGTTGTCCTAACGGCCTTAGCCTCGCAATAAAGCTGGTACCGCCATCCTTTGATATAATTCGCCCCATCTAGGATCACAATATCCCTATTGCTTAGCAGCCGCTTGACAGCCCCGTAGATCGTCGCACGCGCATCTTTTTCCGAAGCATTGTTAGACCGCTCGTGTTGATCTTTCGACTCTAGATTGTAGACTTCCCGGGGGATCGACAGTGTGTGGTCGGATACGAGGTGCACGCGCTGCGTGGACGCGGGGTGGCTCTCAGGGAGAGAGGATATGCGCTCTTTGATGTATGTGTGGATTTGGCGGGCACGATGCGTTTTCCCAGACGTGGGGTAGCCGGTGAGAATTATTAACTGAGAGGAAGAGAGTTAGCACTATTTCCGGGTTTGGTTTTGGAAAACCTTGCGACTCACAGGCATGACTGTCGTGGATGGGAGTTGGAGATAATCTGTTTGAGATTTGGTGGGGTGTAATAAGTTTATGTCTAGGTTTGCTCCGTTGGGTTCGGCGATAAGATTTCACGTGCATTTATAAAGGTTCTTGGCCAAAGTAAAAGTCAACAAGCCACAGTATTAGCTGAGTATAAGACCTGTACAAAAGATTGTATAAAATATAAATTAATCCCTAAGGAAGCATGGCAAGGGATTATTATGAAGGATGATAATATATCAACGCAGCCTTTTGACATCAAACCCGAAGATAATAAACTTATTAAGAAAATATAAACCCAAACTATGACTGATATTGTAAGTAGTCAATTTTGTATATTAAAACATAGACACTAATAAAGTAGTCTAACTATATCTCAAGGGCAGCTTTTTATCCCGAGAACATTAAATCTTTATGCCTCCTAAATTTCCTCCGCCAAACTCCAACAAACACCGTATAATGCTATTTGCCCACGTAGTGTAGACATGACCGCCACATATTCAAACTAGATATCTTGATTATAATCTGTGAAATCCTCCTTCCGGATGCCTCCACGATCGCACATACTTCTAAAGATGCCACCTCGTTCATACAGGGCGAACGGGGTGTCTAACTCGGCAATGCGTCCCTGCTCCATGACGCAAATGCGATCATAATTGATGATCGTCTTCAACCTATGCGCAATACAAAGGAGTGTCTTGCCCTTGAATCCGGTTGCGATTGTGCGTTGGATCTTTTCGTCGGTTTCCATGTCAACACTGGATGTGGCCTCGTCGCATATGATGATTTGTGAGCCGCGGACAAGCGCACGAGCGAGAGCCATGAGTTGCCGCTGCCCAAGTGAGAAGTTCAGGCCATCATCTTCAACGATGCCGTCGAGATGGATACGGCCGGGCGACTTGTCATCAAGGCTCGCGTCTTCGGAAACAAGATCCGATTGCCGAAGAGCAGACCATAGTTCAAGATCAGTGTGCTCACTGAACGGATCAAGGTTACTTCGGATGGTGCCTTTAAATAGTGTTGGATCCTGTGGAATGATAGCCAGTCGAGACCGGAGATCCTGAAGCCCAATCGTGCTGATATCCAGGCCATCGATAGTGATGGAACCCCCGGAGAGTTCGACAAGTCTAAAAAGCGTCGACATAATACTGGACTTTCCAGCTCCTGTACGGCCGACAACGCCGATACGTTCTCCCCCTGTGACGTGCATATCCAAGCCTGAGAGGACAAGTGGAAGGCCTTCTCTGTAGCGCATTTGCACATTGTCGAAAATAATTTCCCCACGTTCTGGCCATGACTTCCGCACTTCCACAGTATGGAGGGGTGCTTCCTCTTCAAGCTGTGTGCCGTAATAATGAATGCGCTCGGTTGCATTCATACCATTCTCAACCTCTGCCAACTGCCTGACTGTAAATTGAATCATCTGAACGATGGATAGGATATAACTCAAAACAAGACCCGCAATTGACGGAGAGACCGAAAACCGAGAGGTTACCACTAATATACCAGTCACGAAAACCAGCAAATTACCAATGATATCTAATCTCGTCGACAGCCAACGCTGATTAGCGAATGTAAGGAAGTACGCACTATTCATATCGTCGATGGAGTCTCGAATATTCTTAACAAATCGATCCTTGAGTCCATATGCGCGGATACAAGCGGTGCCGGAAAGACCTTCGCTAAATTTCGCAAAAACGTGGGAGCGAAGAACCGCTTCGAATCGTTTCATCTCGCGAGCTGACGCCCTATAGTAGCCAGCCGAGAAGACGAATAAGAAGAATAGAGGCACAAGGGCGATGGTGAAATAATGGAAGTATGCAATGATCAGACCGAAGACCGATAAAATCATCGCTAGAGTCAAGAAATACATCCTGATGGCATCAGTCAAGTTGTTGTCCATGACGTCGACATCGCGGGAAAAACGGTTGGTAATTCTACCAAGAGGTGTCGTATCGAAGAAAGACATCGGGGCTCGAAGCGCTCGAGTAATGGCTCTATTAAGCATCGTCTTGCTTGCAATTGTTCCGAACATTGTGAGAGATATGGAGAATGCGAAAAGGAGAACCGCTTGGATTCCACCTAGAGCGCCGTACACGCCAATATAGACTCCTTTAGAATACCCGAATTCTAACCCGGTTGTTAGTTCGTGGATAAAAGGACGGGAGAGTATAAAAACATACTGTTTGATGTCCACCATGATAGCCACAGACTGGTTGCAATATTGGCGCCTTGGGCGAGTAACAAGAACATGACCACGATGGCCGCGTTGAAAACGCTACCAGAAGCACGTATATAGTCAACGTATACAGACCAAGGTACGCTCTTAACAGCCCGCTCTTCAGCTTGCATTAACGGAACGCCACCACGCTTCTTCTTGACCGTCTTCTTCTCTTCTTCGATTTCATCTTCACTGTCATCCTCTTGGGCCTCTTGCTTCTCCTCGACAGCGGTGGTTTCCATCAAGAGCTGGAAGCCGGGGTGATTCTTCATGAGGTTGTCGAAGGTATCGACAGCATAAATCCTACCTTCCTCCATCCAGATGATTCGGTCACAGCGGCTCAGGACCCAGAGCTGATGGGTTGCCAATACCCTAGACTTATTCTTCAACAAACCAAGGATCGCACTGTCGAAGATGTGCCGGCCGACGTGAGCATCGACTGCGGATAACGGATCATCCATGAGGATAAAATCAGCATCGAAGTAAATCGCGCGGGCAATATTGAGTCGTTGCTTTTGCCCTCCTGATACGGTAATACCACGTTCCCCAATTTCAGTAGCATCCCCTTGAGGAAGCATATCAAGATCCGGCTGTAGTGCGCAAGCATCGATTACTTGCTTGTACCAGTCTTTGTCCATTTCTTTCCCGAAGATAATATTTTCCCGGACAGTTGCATTCTGAATCCACGCGTATTGCGGGCAAAAGGCTCGACTAGCGCCGAGCACCATATCCCCCTTCGATTTCCGCATGTCACCAGCGAGTGCGGCGAGGAGAGAGCTCTTACCGCTTCCGACACCGCCTATCACGGCTACAAGCTCGTTACGGCCGATTGAAAAGTTCAAATTTTGTAGCTTGAACGGCTCCCTTGCGTCGGTAAGAGTGCTTGCATCGTCTGGTGTACTGTCGCCCGACGGTACAGCGTCTTGAGAATTCTTATCTTTCATCGCACGTTTTTCGGCCTTCTCGGCCTTGACCTCTTCCTTGGTCGGCTTCTTCCCTACCATAGGCGCAGCATCTGGATCTTGCGTAGCAGTTCGCTCCCAGGTAAAATCGGCGTGTTCGACATCTACAGCGTTCTTCGCATCCATATCAATCTTGGCCTCATCGTCTTGTTCTTCGCAAAGGAGATATTCTTGAATGCGCTGAACAGACGACCAAGCATCAGTTACCTGCCCAATTACCAAAGGGAGTAAGTTGAGCGGCATTCGAAGCGAATTGAATAGGGCAAGAGATGAGAAAACATGCGCCGGGTTTAAGTCGTGGTTGGTAAGGGAGTAGGTAACAAATGCAAGCATCGACGCGAAGATGGGTAGAGACATTGAAACGGCGTTGATCGCATTCCTAATGGCCAGCAGAACCTGAATGGCCGAAATTTCTTGATCTCGAATGTCGCCAAGTCGTTTGAGAAAAGCGCTCTCCCAGCCAAAGAACTTGACAAACCTCACTGCTTGCAAGATCTCCTGCGTCAAGCTGACCCGCTGATCAGTCACCTTGTTGATCGCTCTTCGTCGTACAAATAAGGACTTGACGGCTTCTGTAAGGAGAGGTAATCCGATGACAAGCAATGCAAAGCCAGCCAGAGCGCTATACGTAAGGTTGATTACCAGTAGCACCAGTGTGACAATGCAAGCAATGGGGGCAGTCCAAATCATGTGAAATAAGCCAGATGCGAGATCGACACGATAGGTATCGACAGACATCAAGTTGACGACCCTGCCGTTTGCCCATCCTGTCCCATCACCAGCTATACCGCGGCCCGCATCCGCACCCACTGGTGGTTCACCCTTCTTGGTTTTCTTGGATTTCTTCTTCTGTTCGACTCCGCCTCTGTTGGCTTTCTCAGGCTCGTCGCCTTCGTCGATTTCTCGTCCCCCAGCCTTGGCTCGTCCCGAGATGCTCATCGCCTTCTCAAAAATCACCGAGATGAGCACTGCTCTTGATTGTCCTCCGATCATCATGCCTCGATAGATGAAATGATTAGTCCCGAGACTTTGGCACATCTGCATGAATGTGATTCCGAGCACAATCCCAATCCCACGTCCGATTGGTGGTGCTGGGTCTCCATTCCGCTGAGCAATATATGCCTCTGTCGCAAACTGGATAAGATACCGGAGGGTAAAGGGCGAAACAACCATGAATATATTGGCGAAGAATTGGCAAATGCCACCGATCCAGAACTCGAGCTGGAAGGTTTCGTGCAATGACCACAACAAGGGGTATTTATCTCCCCTAGCCACTCTTTTCTTGAACGAGGCCTGCAGTTTTAAGGTCATGCGTTCCGCCGTCCGATTAGGATTGACAGTCCATATATCCTTTAGTTCGAGTGGCCGTTTGTAGCCAACCTACTGACATTAGCATAGGTTTCATAGCATGACAAATAAAGTGGAAGACATACGACCATGAGAGGCGCTACCCATTGAAAGTATACGAGACTGAAAAAACCCGCGGTGTATTCTCTCGACATAGTCCTTTGCTGTGGCACTGGCGGTATCCCGCCCCACCTCAGAGGATTGAGCTGCTTGTACCATGGCTTAGGTTCAACAGGCCGGTCTACGTGAGAGTCTGTCCTCGTCACACCACTGGTATTGGTCGCGTAGCTCTTGGTCGGTTGGATAGCATGTTCGCTCGCCTTCTCCTCGTTATCAGCAACACCAGCGTCAGATTTGCCGAGGCGCGATGGGTCTTGGTCGGCAGTGGTCTCTACGTAGCCCTTCTCATCATTATCGATAGCAACCGCATGGTCGCCACTGGGAGCGGCATTTTCAACCACTCCAGCAGCAGGATCTGGGGGCGCAGAGGCCTTCTCTGGCGCAGAATGGGCCATGCTATGGACTGCAGCGAAGGAGCACGGAGGTGAAGCGATCCATCGACGTACGCTACCAGCGGGGAGGCTGCTGGTATGTATAAATATTATATTAATGACTACCCCAGCCCGGCGGGGCAATCAGAGCTCCGTGCCGCCGCTCATGGATACCTTATGGACATGGATGCCCGAGAAGGGAGAGGGCATCCGCCAGAACAGCAGCACTTGCTAGTAGCTACGAAGCAATGGGCATATTGCCTGGTTTGGCGTCCTACCTGGTGGCGACTAGGGGCCATGAAGCACCAAGGGTCGGAACTCGGAACCTAACATCTGCCAGTTACGAAGTACGAAAGTGTTTTCGAGGGCCCCGGAGTTAGTGGCTTTTGTTGTGGCTTTCAGCGCCGATTGCAAGTACTTCGTACGTAGTAGAATTGCTACATGTACATGTACGTACGCCAATTACAAATCCGAAAGGACAAAGTAGCAGGGTCCTCTTCCTCTTCCTCGAGTAATATTACTATTAGCTTTCTAGAAAACCTACGGTGCTAGGTACATGTATGTACTCCGTACTACGGGGTAGACTATTACTACGGAGGCTATACGATACCTAGTCTCGGGCACCTCGTACGGAGTAGGTTTGTGAACTCTGAAAGCCATCAGTGACTCAGTATCATCAATGGAGTCATTGTGCTACGTACTCCGTATATCAACACTGACCCGCTGCTTTGACCCTCCTTAAGCTTAACATTTCAGCTTTGATCTATGACTCTTTACATGCAAGATGAGCATGACTTTCAAACCCCCTAGCCTTGCTAGAATCAGAATCTCGGACTCGCACGCAAGCAGCGCCGTCAACTACTAGGACCCGAGCCGATTTAATCCTGTTGGAAACGGGCTAGAGCGTTCCCTCCGGTGGATAGACTCCGCCGATTGGGTATCAAAAGCAAAATCTGAACACTCACTTATACAGTACCTATAGACCTACCTACTTCGTACTTCACTTCGTACAACAGCAACGGAGAAAACCGCTTGGTGCGCGATGCGGGACAGGCCCAAAAGCTTGTTCGACCTTGGCTCGTAAGCAGCAGTCCGGGGATTTTGCAATGTATCAGGCTCATGACTTGCGTCGTCCCGTAAGCACCGACTTACCGGACTTTATTGCTACTGAGAACCTAAAATCCTCATTATTCTCACGCTGCGCGAAGGAAGCCTCATAATAATAAACGAATGCGAAGTGCGAAGTGCGAAGTGCGAAGTGCGAAGTTTTGTTTTATCTCAGACCGCTACTCCACAGTATTAGTAATTGATTGCTGACAAACAGTGGTACGCACACTCTCTACCTAAATTGCAGGGCGGAGGAACTCCTCGGTGGTAACGGCGTCGGAAGTTTTGTTAACTCCATGCTATATTATTACGAGGTTCTGGGAACCACATTGGGTTTGCTCTGATTACCAACCCCCAAGACACTCCCGTTGCTATTTCTTTGTCCGTCGTCATTTGGGTCGCTTATCGAGTACATCGCGTTCTATAATTTGATCTTACTGTTTCAACGCTATTAGCTGAACTTTTACGGAGTAGCAGCTGTACGGTCGAATCTTTCTTGTATTTCTTGTGGTAGCAGTCAATCTGTTTTTGATCTTCAATCGCTAGCCAGATATCTCCTCCTATACTCCTCCAGCCTCTTTAGATCATTCTCATCCCCTTTGCCCTTTAACACCGCGATCAGATCGTCCAACGTGACGATACTCGCCGTTGGCACACCAAATTCCGACCTGATCTGCCCTATAGCGCTCATTCTCGGCTCTCCATCATCAACCCCCTCCTCCTTTTCTCTTGGCCCGGGCATTTTCTCTACCCGATCCAGCGCAACTACGAGCCCCACCACCTTGCCCCCCTCCTTAGCGACCAGGTTTATTGTCTCCCTCATAGCGGTGCCCGCCGTGATCACATCGTCTATAACTAGCACATTTTTCCCTTTTAACCCGGCACCTACGATATTTCCGCCTTCACCATGATCTTTGGCCTCTTTGCGGTTGAAGCTGTAGGAGACGGGCGACCATGTTTCCGGGTCAAGACGGTAGAGTTCGAGTAATGTTGAGCAAGCGATTGGGATCCCTTTATAAGCCGGACTGCAAGTTTTGCAGTCAGCAACCTCTCCAAGGTAGCAATTGTTTAGGTTATGCGCAAATGTCCTAGGGGTAGCATTTGTTGCTACCCCTAAAAATGCGTGTCTTACGACTCCGCCAACGAGAAAACAAAGGCTCGAGAACTCTTACCCGAAGAGGATGTCCGGTTTTGGGATAGAAGGATTGGACGCGAGGAAGGAGATGATTGTGTGGGCGTAGGCAGTGGAGATCGCGGAGAGGAGGGCGGAGGTGTGGAAGGAGCCGGCGTTGAAGAAGTAAGGCGATTCTGCGGGGTTATGATTATCAGTAATCGTAGATATAGAGTGGGAATCAGGGCACGTACTTCGACCGGATTTGAGGGTGAAGGTACCGAAGGTAAGGACGTTGGCGGAGAGGCAGGATTCTAGGAATGCGGTTTTGAAGGCCGGTATCGAGGAGCCGGTAGGCTGGGTTGAGGTGGCCATCGTAGTAAGTCGAGCCGAATTCTTAGATTGTAGTTATAACCTGCGAAGATGGTGTTTGAAATTTCTATGGCGTACACAAATTGATTGTACCTAGGTACTCCGTAGCGGGGTAGCTCGCTTTCCCGCTAAGCCTAATACAACCATGGTGGGCTGGCTGGAGGGTCCAGGTTCTCCGTTTCAGAACAGACGTCAGGAAAACACAATGGCCGTGCTATCAAAACTCTATACGAAGATCTACTATCAATGCACAATTAAAAGGATCTACGGACTCGGTACTTAAGTATCTGAATATAGAAAACCCCATCACACCGACTTGATTGGCCAGCAGAAGCCTGAAGAGAGCAAACCAACGAGACGAAGATGAGATCCAACAACAAGATGCCATGTTTTTTTGGTTTTCGAGATCATGCAAGGAACGAAACTCCACCTCCAAGCACCGTGGATTCCGAGAAAACTTTCCTGAGAATCCCTGGCTCTTCTTCTGGGGAACTGAGGAAACTATTGATTGACAATTGGCTGTCCAAGAATGCCCACCAGGTTCCCGCAACTGCTGATTATTTCACCACCGAACATCTTCGAATGAACCATGTTCAGAATCCGGTTGAGGTTAGGTTTGCCGAATCCTTGACCCCACGGCTGCGACGTGGAGCCTTGAGTGAATTCAAAAATACGGTTGCGATCCTTCAAACCCGAACGTCGATACGGACAGTCGTCAAACTGCCTCGGCAGCCTTCCGAAACCTGTATCTAGGTAAACAAGGCCTTAAACGAGACTAAATCTCTTCCGGATCGGGTTCCGAAGACTTGTGGTGGGACTTTGCTTCGGTCACGATCCACTTATTGATGTCCTTCGAAACAATGTCTCTGCCGGGCTGGAAAGAACGTTTGTCACTGAAATCAACCTGTCACAGCCTATAGGCTAGTTCGCAGTACGAAAGGAGTCGGAGGGTGAGTTGGCCGTGACTAGTGCTTGATTAGAGCGGCGATACTGACTCCCGAACTTGTCCGAACCGAAGTCGGTAGATTTATATGTGAGTCTGCCACGAAAGCCTACCACGAAAGTCAGCCCCAATTCGTTTTTCGGTGCTTCCGTTTCAGTCTCCGGACATACTCTCTTGCTCACTAGGCCTTATATACCCCCTGTTCTTCCAACAGTTACATCTATGGTTATGCCGCATTTGCATGGAAGTCAGAGGCAGCCCTCTGATTGCTACTATATAAGCAGCCATAGTAAACCCGTGTGACACATTCGTTTCAAGTAAAGGACCACCGGAATGCTAAGACGAAGCTGCTAAGGAAAGTCACGAGTCCCATGCATATCATAATATGGCAGAAGGGCCGTCTGTCACTGCCTCTGGATTGTAGTGAATGTTGTCTTGGAAGGCTCCCCGGGCCCGAAGTAACACTGCTCTCATGACTTTCTTCCATCGTGCCCAGGCTTGATAGTTCATTTCCAATTGGGGACACTTGCACCACAGCTTGCGACTATCCAGGTTCAGTTCCGACAGATATGACCCCCCCATACGCAGAATTGATATTAACAAATCCACAATTCGGACAATCGAGTCCAAAGAGCGTAAAATAGAACTCTTTCGTGCAACGCTCACACTGCACCAAGCCCGACCTAAACCTACACGTTGGAAGCTCTGCTGGCCCATGCACGACATTGTCGTAGCTGCATATGCGGCCACTTCTGAGGCAGTTGGTGCAGAAGGGTCGAGTCTCGTCGCATCTCACTCTGGCCCCTTACAGTCTAAGGTTATATAGCTATATTCACCTCAAAGCTTATACGACGCGATCTGGTTCCTCCAATATAGTGGGGTATGGGAGAATGGGGAGTCCATACTATCGCATCCTCCTCGAACTTTGGGCCTTGACGTTCGCAGGCGTGCTACTCTTCTCTCGGTTCCTTGTGACATATCCGTAATCGACGGCAAATATAGTGTTATTTAAGATAAATCGGCTAGAGCCTATCCTAAATTACGACTACAGGCGGAATACAAATATATTATAGTGTTGATGTTTCGAATGTTGAGATATGTCGTCGATGAGGCCATGCTTACCCCTCTCTGCTATAACTTGAGTCGAAGGCAGAGTCTTGAGCATGCTGACGAGTTAGCTGGATCATGCTTAGGGGATCCTCTTTTGTCCCCCTCGCGAATCGATTATAGCTTACGAATTATGTATGTAGGTTCATGCTGTCTAAATATAAATCCTGCTTATGTCTATTGGCGTGGAACGCAGCCACCTCTTTAATCCTTCCTAGATGTCGTAATGGTATCCGATCTAGTTCCCTCAATCACGTTGTTGTCGATCCTACAGCAGAGTGACATGACTGTAAGACCATCATACAAAAGAAAGGTGTACGTAGCCTCGCTTTTTTTTAAATTATTCAAGAAGGCCCAAGTCAGAACTGCAAGGGGGCCCTTAAATACTGGGAGGATTTATGTGATAATTTGTAAAAGGCGTTTTTTAATCGCTACAAAAACGCGGATAAAAAGAAGTTAATAAACTTGTCGATGCTTTTTTAAATTTATATCTTTTTTATTATAGCTTGTTGTCTGTACTAAAGCTTCGCTCTAAATATTAACTAAAATTTTCTTAGTATCTTCTTAAAGTGCAGATCTAATAGTTTCCTAAAACACGGTTATAGTATGATGAGGAGAAAATTATAAAAATGAGTTACTAAGTTAAAGAAATTGTAATTAATAGTATAGCTAGACTCTAAAGGGTAGAAGCACCTACGATTTGCTCTAGTAACTAAGACTAGAGATGTAAAAACTTGTAAATAATTGTTAGATTAATCTAGGTTATACCTTGACACTTGTATTGATTAAGAATTTAAGGGGTAGCCTCCCTTATACTTGACTTAATCAATCACTCTTTCAACTGGATTTAACAGTAATCTAGTAGCTGGTTTTATAGATACGGAGGATTAATGCCACGTTCAGATACAATTCACCGTCGCTAGAACTAGTGCCGAAAATCTCACATGTACTAAACTGAACGGAACGCTGAAAACCTGAGTTCTGAATAGCTAAATATCAAACTGACGAGATACAATGGATTAAGTCCCAAAAATTGCTTCATAAGACCACTCCACAGCACCAATTTTATACATCCTACCAGCCACAACCTTCCAACATCGCTTGTACATGTAAACCCTCTGTAGCTGTAGTTCCATCATAGTGGCCCTAGCCCACACACCATACTCTCCGCACGACATAACGAGCTCACGATTCAGTCCAAGCCTAGGTGGAACATGTAGTTAGAGCTGTGAGCGCGTTGTCGATCAATGTAACTGCGCCGTTAAGTGCGCAGAGTGTGCCACGATTGCTTGCTGCCTCGGCGACTGATATAGAAGTATAAGCCAAGACGTTTCCTTGCAGCTTTGTAGCCGCCAAGATGGTTGCTGATGAGCCCACTTGGAAGTAGACGTTGCACGCCTGTGCGCCATTCTGAAGTATCACACTGGCATTTGCAGAGGTTGCGAAAGTGGTAGCGATTTGGAAGATGAATTGACCGGTGGGGTTGGTCGCGCCATTCAATGTGAGGATGGTTGAGAGAGTGGCGGCTGAGGAGGGGAAAGTGTACACGCCCGGACCAAGCGTCAATCCTCCAAGATCTGATGACGGTAGAGCTTGAGTGGCTACCAGACCCTTCGCGTTATTGTACGCTGTGAGACAAGCTGCCTCGGCATCGCAGGCTGCAGTCCCCGCAGGAGATGTTATTCCAGTACACTCTCCGGGAGGGAAACCAACGACGGCAGTGCCAGGGCAGGTTCCACAGTTGCCAGTGATGAGAGTGTCACCGGTGCTGGTAAGGGTCGTGGATGCAATTGCACCAAAGGGCCCAGCCAGTCCCATCAAGACTGGCACTGAGCGCTTCACAGGAGGATGTGCAAGGGCACTGGCGCTGAGTTCTAAAGTGCTGAGCGCGAAAAGGCCGATCTTGCAAGCACTGAACATATTGCACCTCATAATGATAGTAGATAACAGAGTAATTTGGTCAACGACAGGAGGAGGTAAATAGTTCGTAGAATGTAGATGTTGATAGTTTGATAAAGTTTCTCGGGGGGATTGCTCTCTTTATAGATAAATGTGGCAGCATACGGTAAACCCATATCTCAACAATTCAAGCTGGTTAGCTTGACCAGATACTAGACGGGCATCCGCTTGACCCTGATAGTACAGACGATGCATCTATAACCAGAGGGCTTCAGAATGGCTTTTGGAGTGCGTCATCGGACTCTATGTCTTGGTAGGGTAGATGAGGTTGCACGACAGCGGGGTCCGGCCTTCCTTTTTAAAGGCCGATTTGTCCAGTGGTTCCTTCCTGGCCAGGCGTGGTCTTACAAAAAAAAAGCCGTTTGATCTGAGTTTTGTGGTTGGCTAAAATAAACGGATGGAGCCGTGGAATGCCTCCTGCCTAGGTACTCGAGAACCAAGTAAGACCTGACGGCAGAAGAGGTAGCATCACATAAAGCTCCGGACACACAGAAAAGGATCATTGGACTGGAGTGTTCAACGTGAGACAATCCACACATCAATTTTCCCTTAACCACTCCGGTTAAACCCCATTTTATGGTCCTTGCTTGGCTATGGTAAAATGCCGCAGACGGAGATGGTCAAACCGGTAACAGATCGAGACCCTGTTTATGGTATGGAGCGCTAGCATTTGTCAAGTTCTGGCCTAGCCAGTGCTCGCTTTGATAGGTATTTAGGTGCCGATACACGCGCGGCTCCTCTCATTGCCAATGGTAAGGCTTGGTGTGCTGATAGTTCTATATTTAGATCAATTTGCAACCATTATCGAATTCTCAAAATCTGGATCTGGCGGCCTGGAACCTAGAGCTGAAAATAGGATTAATAGAACCGACTGCAAGTCTGCACGTAAGTGTCCTTAGTTAATTAGATGCGAAGTGCAGGACGATACCTCTGGATATTTGTAATCTATAAGAGGCTCTCCGCCTGCCATAATCCCATTATAATGTATAGAACATAGAGCCTCTCATGCCTGTTGCAATTAGTATGAAACCAGACTTCAAAATTGACAGAGATATGTGGAATAAAACCGAATGGAGGCCACTCTGTCAATGGGGTTTCATTATGTACTATTACGTAGGTGGAGGGCAATAATTTTCATAGTCATAGCGTAATCACCACACATCAGCCTGTAGGATTTTTGAACCTTGCACACTAAAGTCCGCGGTCCGAGCCGCTCCCCGAGGCCAGGACATGGAAAAGTGTCTTCCAATTGTTCGAGGAACGGGATGATTATTTCTGGGGTAAGTCCAGTTATAATGCTGGCAAGTATAAAGCTGCCAGCTTTGGGGGACGAAAAGCCACGACCTGTACAAGGAGCTCGAAGTTGGCACTCTTGATGATTGGAGTAAGGATGTCCAGGATTGGGTGATATCGGGCACTGACAAGGTTACAGTGAACCCCGGGTCCCCGAAATACAACCCTAAATCAAGTATTCTTGCAGTACAGCTGTGGCTTGAGACGAAAACGGGCAACGAGGCTCCGAGGCAAATTCGACAGAAGCACCAGGAGACGGGTTAACTGCCTTGTTTTCTGTGCCTTAATTTAGTCTTAATATATTAACATTTACCTATAGATGACAATCCTTTATTTAAACATCGATTAATTCAGTACGAATACTAATAGCTACTTGGTGGTGAATGCTTGGTCTCATCGTAAAGCTGAACATGGTTGACAACGCCCTCAACAGACGCCTCGTAAAAGAAGTCCATCTGCACGTCAAACGGAGGACTATTGCGATCTTGAAAAATCGCAAAAACAATGAAACTACCTCCTACTTCCGTTGACATATCTTTCCCCTTTGTTTCATTTTGATAGCACATAAACCTATAGTCCCTCAAGCTTCGGCCATCTCCACGAACATGATTTGCTACAACGCAATGGCCAGTTCCATCGGCCCTTCGATATCCCATTGCAAATGGCCGACGCTTGTGCTGGTGAATCCATTTGTTTAGCATACGCATCGCGAATATTTGTTGATCATATGGGTTGTTGTGGTATCCATGTCGTGGGGGAGGAAAGACCACCAACCGGAGGCTACCAATCCTCTTAAGAATTTGTTCCATCTCCCCGATCTTGACCCCTTGTGGTTGGTTGGGTGGACTCCGTACATTCAATATGCGTGGTAGTGATTCCCAAGGTCTGCCAAAAAGAAATCCGATGGATACGAAAACACAGTTGTTTCGCAGCCGCCTGGGATTCCAATAAGATCCTGGTGCCTCATAATGATTAGGCTGGCTCCAATTTTCTTTTAGCAGACCGATGCTATCCTAAAATGTGTCTTTATATGGTGGAATCTATATAATTTTCTTTTGAGACGAGTTCAGCTAGTGCGAATGCTGCCTATCGACAAGAGCCTCCATCAATCTTTTTGTCTATGGATCCAGTCAGCGGTGCAGCTTTAGTGATCACACTTATTGACGTGGTCATAAAGACATTCAAACTAATCAAGAGCCTCACGCAATCCTACGAAAATGCCCCAGCAGAAATTCAAGATCTTCGACATCGACTGGAGGGGTTGACAAGCCACCTGCTTTTGCTTCGCCAGGTGCAAAAGATAGTTTCTACTGAGCAAAACGCCCTTGATCTTGATTCAATTGAACTTGACCACCTCAAACGGTCTTTGGACTCAACCCGAGTCATATTCGCCGAAATATTTTCTTTCCTAAAGATAAAGACCTCAAAACTTGGATGCTCTGCTCGTATTAGATGGGCAGTCTGTGATGCATCGAAAGTTAAAGCTTGGGAATTACGGCTCCACCGTCACGAAGAACTTCTTCAAACCACTTTGCTCCTGCTCAACAGATCAGAACACTAGTAAATTAAATATTATCGGCTCACACGTTTTCAGTCGATACTCAAGTCTCTTCGAAGATGAATTCAATGCAGCGAAGGAGGCCCTTAGGCTGCAGACTTATCAACTTAACACACTCATGTCCAAAAGTGGGGCACTGGCTCGCTTCTCCTGGGCTCGAAGCGTTTTCGGACCAGACTGGGAATTGCCATATGTTGCAAGAGTGAATGGATCCATATCTTGTTCCGAGGGCTCTTGCCACCAATCATATGGGGTTTCATTGAGGCTTCATGCGCTTTTCTGCCTCAAGGCTGTCTGCTTTGAGATGAGATTAAAGCGGCAATCTCTCTTCTCTTTCGAAATTTCCGCAATTGGAACAGGTGTAGTACTCAAGAATGTCATCCCAGCGGACTCTATTATTATGGTTGCCTCTCAGTCAGGGAACACATCAGTTGTATGAAATCTTCTAAATGAGCGAAAGGCAAGCGTGAACGATATCACACCTGACAACTTTTCGCCTCTCTCTGTATGTCCAAGCATGATCGAACCTAAGATCTAAATCTGTTAACACCTAGCTAGTATGCAATCGCTGGTGGTTCTCTAGATGTTCTGTCATTTCTAGTCAGTAAAGGTGCCGACACCAGGAAAACCTTCGGTCGCTCTCAAACGTATGAAGATCAAACCCCATATATTATTTGTGTCTAATTTAAATCAGAGATCCGCTAGATTGGGCATTGGCACATCGTCAGTACGCTGTTGCGCGATGGCTATTGGAAAATGGCGCGGATGTCCATCATATCAGTGCGAGGGGATGGACGCCATTATTCAGTCTATTTGGAGCACAACCATGCCACAGCGGTCCGTGTGGAGAGTTTCTGGAATTATTTTCAGCGGCATGTTTCGATGACTTCAACGCTCAAGACCGAGACGGGTGGACTATCATGCATCGTGCAGCTGCGTTTGGAAATGCAGAGCACATCAAGTGTTGATTAATAGGATCCAAATTGGTACACTTAATACAGGTATTTGATTGGTCAGAATGGGTCATGGAATGGGGTAATTGAATTGATTAAGGAGCCTAATACTATGGGGTGAAAGCTTCACATATATAGGCAAATGAATGTATGGGGTCAGGTGATCAATCAGGTGACTCAAGGAAATAATACCGATGGTATCCGAATGGCTTCCCAGGGCCTCCRTCATCATGTGCCATACTAATTAGTATGGGATGCGATGATATCCGTGTATTCGGCTCATCGCGGGTACACATATCTCATTTCTCCYTTGTGGTGGAGAAGTGCCAAGTGGGGTGCCTAAGTGGCTTGACCAGCCGGCCAGGGGAACTCCCATAACTCCCATATTCTAACATCAAGTCACTGATCTCGAGAAAGGCATCCCTAAGTCTTCGAACAACGAACCTAAGGTGGACGCCGATTTTCTGTGCGGTTAAGTTTGGCAATATGTCGACTTTCAAGGAACTTGTCAAACACCAGCCATCCCTTCTCGCGGCCGTTGATGTACGCAACTGGACGCTTCTACATCTAGCAATTGACTCCAAGCAGTTAGATATCATGCGGCTACTTATTAAGCTGGGGGCTGATCCTCATGCCCGAACTTCCCCTACGACATTCTTTATACCAATATATCTGAGAGGGCTTTCGCTCTCGCCTGGAGATATTGCTAGAACTCATGGACGTCCCGTCGTTCAAGCCTACTTGGATGCCTTAGCATCAAACGGATTAGAGTTTCGCGCTGTGTGTGAGGAAAAAGATGACTCGTATGACATTTTCTGGCCCGCTTTCGAGCAATTAGAGGGAAATTTTCTATTGTCGCCCTGTTCCACATAAGTTCCACTATATTTCCTTCTAAACGGTCTTTTGTAATCAAAATAGCGGGTTTGGGGTTATAGCTGTAGTGGCCTTAGTCTTGCTGAGAGGCCATCTATTCCCTAAACTCCTGCGCTACAAGCCCATATATCTAATTTGGAAGGTTCATCCCAGAAAGAGCCGATCCCAACCTTATTCACACAAAGATCTCATTACCGCCATTATGCGTTCCACTTCCAACTAAGCTCGCCTGGTGTTAATGGACACACACCAGGTCCCCTGAACAACTCGATCAACTTCTCCTCATCTACATCCTTAAAACCAATACGTCTGCAATACTCCCTAACACCCCCGTAATTATTCGTCAAATAGTTTGCCATTGCCTCTATCCAGCGCGGCGGACAACCGGCAAAATCTTCGGACAGGCCAATAGACTTAATTTCCACCATCCGGCTCTCATGCTCGGGAAGCAGTTCTTCTTCGCTCAGGATGTAGTCGTGCGAGATGGCCGCAATGGGTACTTGGAGCAGGAGAAGAATGATGGCGACAATGAGGCCGGTACGGTCTTTGCCTTGGGTGCAATGGACAAGGATGGGGTGGTTTTTCGGGTTGGCAAAAGCACTTAGAGTCTATGAAAGCGGTAACTTAGTCCGGCTTGGAATACATGGTCTAATTTAAGGGGGAAGGTAAAATGGCCGGCCCATGGGGTATAAAGCCTGGGGGGGGGAATGTACTTCTGCAATTTCAGAACCGCAGTGGTCAATGGTATCGAAACCTAGGCCGATGAGCCCGCGGGGTTGCATGACCTGGCTGCCAATGATGCGAATTGCTTCCATACGATAACCGAAGAGCATTAGTACGATAAGCTTTCTGGAAGAGTTCAATGATAAGCCGAATGAGTAAGTGTAATGGGTAAGGGGGAAATTACATGAAATTCCAGAAGGATAGCTGCCAGAGGAGACTGCGCTCGAAGCGCCGGCCATTGATGTTGATAAAAACATGGTTCATGCCCTGCAGCTGGGATGGCTCTTCTATTGTTGATTTGGACTCTATTAAGCGTTTCTTTTTTCGATTAGCGTGTTCGGTGCTACTCAGGTTAGCGATAAACATTAATGACAGGGCATATATGCAACTTACGATGTACGTAGGTCGACAATAGTCTTGATACCAAATTCCTCATGCAATTGCTTCCGGTCTGATATTGTCGCATCGTCTACGAGAATCAGTATGTTACAACCTCGACATCATATCGGGCGATAAGTTACCGGGACGCGCGGAACGAAATATTTTCCCCTCGGCCACATATCTGAACATGGATTAGATCAAGACCAACATCAACACCAACATTTCTGGAAGAAAGACACGAGGTACCAAGCCAGACGTACTTCTTGCCAAGGAAGTCATTGATAGTCTTCCCCACATCCCGGAAATTCAGAATGTTCTCAAACGATTCAAAAGATGATTGAGACGACGAGTCTGCACTCTTGATCTCGATTTCTATGCCATCTTTCTTACCGGGCATCTTGACAACGGGCAGCCGGGACCCGATGCGTGCTAATTCGAGCGCTAGAGAAGACACAGTACAATGAGTGACTATGATATCTTGTGCATGGAAGGGATTAAGGATTAAGCAGCTTCTAAAGAGGATGCGGAGAAATGGGGTGCGACGGACACTAGAATCGCAGTGGGGGCCAGCTGAAACAGGAGTCGCTCTGGGTCAGGAGGCCACGCGAAGAAAAATCAAATAAATCCTTGGCGCAGCTCCTTATTGTCCAGTTGCCGCCGTGGCTCTGGGAAGGAATCCCACGAGCCATGTCGAGCAATCTTTAAGCGCCTGTAATCCGCCTTGCACTCGCCATAGTAGGAAGGCTTGCAGATTATCCCGCTTATTGCTTTATTTTTAGATTCGAAAATTCAGAGTGCAATTCTGCGCCAGTAATAGGTTTTGTATTTTGAAGCCTGTTAAGTTTCGAGGGCTGTTATAGAAACAATACAATACTTTTACTGTTAGAATGCGCTCCAGGGAGTTTTGTCCCCACTGATCTCTGTTGCATCTAGAGTGGGGACTCTTGGGCTTGCCGCGCCCCGATGCACACACCATTATCTAACAGTATTCTTCCCACGGTATTTTCATAGCCTCCTGCGTAGGCAATATGTAATGGAGTGCTACCCTCATTCATCCTCGAATTGACATCCGCTCCAAATTTTAACAACATCTCAACTGCGTCTACTAGTCCATAGCCAGCAGCTCGATGTAAAGGTACCGCGCCAAAATTGTCTTTGCCAGGTGTGGTCACCCCAGTTTCGACGAGGTATTGTATACCGGCTCCACAGGAAAAGTGCGGTTCCTCACCAGCAAGCCCCATAGGCAAGGAGTCCACAAGCAACAATTAAGAACGAGGGATTAAAAGATTGTTTCACCGGAGACTCAGATCTAGTACAAGGCCACAAGGAGATACAAGCCAGTCTAGTCCGCAAGGTGAAGGCAATAGTTTGACCGAGGGGCGCAGTGTTTTCTGGCCGCAAGATTACCTTCCTCAGGATTGCGTGGAATCGAGAATCTTGACTTGGGGATATGATTCCATGGTTACACAGTTCTTCAAGGGAGCCACAAACCAGAGCAACATCACAGCACATGTGAGGAACTTGCTCCATGCACTGAAAGTAGAAAGGGTAGACTGTGTAAGTTCTTGGTAAATGCTTCCATTGGCTGGTACCAGCTAATTGTGACACAGCAAGGAAGGAAGATTATTTTTGTTGCCCATTCTCTAGGAGGTGAGTGTTCAGATGATCATCGCATATCAATCGGCTAATATATTCCAGGCATCATGGGGCGTCGGTATTACAAGAGGATATGTACCACCAGACGGCGATATGTTAGGCCTCGAAGGAGGGACACAAGGGCGCAGTTGAGGAGCTTCTCGTTGCCGGAGCAGACTCCAAGGGCCAGACACTACTGCATTTGGCTACGAGGAGTGGGTCTGAGGAAGCGGTGTCTGCTTTCTCACAATCTGCCAAAGCATGTGTTGCACGCACCGCATTCTTGAACTGTAATGGTAGTGGATTGTTATATTCACTACATATTACGAGTCCTTGATAGACCCGATTACTCAAAAGTGATTGGAACCCAGAGGAATGAGAAATGTCCCATATTTGCAATCTGGCAGACTTTCCCGAGCCCAATTCAAAATCCTTCGCATCAAAATCCTACTAAGTGTTATTGTTGGACTGCTCAGTAGTCACAATCTCCTCTAAAGAATCCTCAGGAGAGCGGGCGCACTTCAGGGTAAGACTAGAGGGTAACTTCATATCCATGATGGCTTTGATCAACTCTTGGGCATCGCTCAAGGTGGATGGTGAGAGATTCGGGGTATTCTGTGAGCAGCTTTCCGGGGGGTCGCTCGCTACGGCTCGTGTAGCCTGACCAATAATGACGGGCGAGGAGACGAGCTTGAAGCTTCTTTAGAGAGATGGAGGGTGTCAGAGAGATGGGATTGAAAGCCGAAGTGCCAGGTCCTGGTGGTCCAACATACCACAAACAAGGTGCAGGACACTATCATCAGCAATAATGCTGGGAATATACCATCGGTAATCACAAGCAAGACGTGAGAGCGCCTCTGGAACAGAGAAGGATCTCAACTACACTACATCACCGAAAAGTCGGAGAGGAAGGTTTGATCTGCGATCGGCGAAAGATTCACTCCACAACAAGCAAGAAAAAGGATTCGATCGTCAGCAAGAACATTGGCAGATATATCATCGATAACCACAAGCATTATCAACCCGTCTCGACTACCCGCTAATTATCAATTTCCTAGAAATGAAGATATTCTCTATCATCTGACTGCATCGCAGTATTAACTCTTTGCACATTCTCGCCTCATATCATGTATGTTGATCGAAATAAGTACATGCTTCTAGATTTTCCATATCTCATAGTTATAGCGGCATAGTTGATTTGTTGTCAAGTCCTACTGTTGAGTTTCGGCGATGCCGAAATCAGGGGGATTGGGGTATACGCTACATGTGGCAAATATGACTCACTTTTACTTGTATATAACAAGGACATCTCCTCCACTTCTATTACTAGAATCAATCAACTCTTTCTACCTGTTTCAGTGCTTCCGAAAATACTGACACTTACTCGCTCAGTTTCTTACTTTGTTTAAACAATTATTCAAAGTATATTTATCCACCCAGCCGAGTCACATATAGGTTGTACCTCGAATTGGAATCTACTTGATGAGTTCTGAGTTGAAAAGCCCCAGCATGTACCTGGTCCTGGGGAATCGATGGTATTCCACCAACAAACCGAATTACTAATTCGGAGTTCAAAAGTCAGCGATGGGTTTCTCACAATGAAAATCACTACAGGAAAGTTTTTGATAATATGGTAGAGCGAATGTGTATCCTGGGAGGAGGGGCAGACGAGAGGAACTTAACATACCAGCCAGTTGAGTTGTTGTGGAAGTTATACCCGGCGCAGCGGTTGATGCAAGTGTTCAAGTCATTTGTAGGAGTGCTGACGACGTTGGCTCCGGTAGTAACAAGATCCAAAAGCTCCGTGCTTTCAGACCACAGATACGGTTCTTATGAACCTCCGAGCTGTACCCATCATCAGGATAGGGTGGTGTTGGGTCCTGCTTGTCGATATACTGCAAACCTGCCTCCGGAACCATTTCAGGAGCAGAGTACCAAGAGTCCGGTGTGGAGTTCATCCCAGCGGCGTAACCCAAGTATGGTAAGGCTGGACTTTCGTTCGCGTAGTATGTAAACGAATAAACGGTTGAGAGCAACAGGGAGTAAAATTTGGAGAACTGTATGGACGTATATTTGGAGGATGGGACGAGATAAAGTCTGCCAGCAGATGATCATATATGAAAATTGAGGCACAGTTGTCTTTAAGCTTCCTGCAGTTGGGTTTTAGGTATCACAGGTATCACTGGCCTACGGAGGTACAGCGGTTAAGTATGGTAGTAATTAGGGGTATGAAGACAGGGGATGTTTGACTCCTCTTTAAACTTCAAGGGGTAGTACTGTACGCCGCGCAATCTCTGTGTGCTTTGTTTACACTTGGCAGAAAAAACAACCCCTTTATGAAAGGTATCAACAAACTCACCCCTGTCCTCACACCCCTAATTACTACCATACTTAACCGCTGTACGGAGTACCTCCGTATAGATTCTTTGTTGGCATATCGAAGCAACAACAGAAGCCTTTCCGGATTAGCGAAGTTTCACTGCCCTGTAGATTCCATTCTGTGGTCGGCAAGCCGAAGCGACGGAAGCCAATTAAATTCCCGCGATTAGCCGCCCTGTACAGCCTATAAAGGCTTAGGTGGGCTTCAGGGCGGCTCGCTTACCAAGGTATTGCGGCGCAATGTAATCTTTCTATTCCTGTACTGTAGGTGCTTTCAAACACCAACATCTCTTTGGATTCCAACACCACCATCATTTCAACATGTCCGCAGAACATCAGCTATTTGGAACTCGTTTCCATGAAAACCTCACTGGGACTGTAACTGTGACTGTCGAGCTTCAACCTTCAAAGCCACCATGATGGCAGGTCCCATACGCCTGAACCGCAAGTACAGCATCCTCAGCTCCGCCATTTGTTTGGGTCTCGTCATCGTGGTGTACTACATGTACTGCGTGGGCGAGCTGCCAAAGTTCTTTTCCGGCAACTTCAATGAAGGAAGCCTTCGACAATCCAAACCATTGACAGAGACGAAAGATGACGAGATTGCCCTCAAATCGCCAAAGCCCCCAGCTGCTACTGCGAGTCTTCCGGTAGATTATTCGCCCTTAACATTCAGCGAAAGCCAGCAGAAATGCGAGCTATTCTTCACGCCGGCCTATCTCAAGCACATCGCGACCCATCAACTACCATACTGCGAATCGGAGTCGCTAAGCGCATTTCAGTGCTTCACAGCACCACGACTTACGATACCGATGACGGGAGGGTGGGGACAGACCGACCCTCTGTGCATCGCCCAAGGCGTGTCTTTTCGTCCGGAGCAGCAGACCGGCTCAGAGCAGGAATTTGGCATCCAATGCAAACTTCGGGATCTAGCAGCGGAGCGAGCCAACTCCTCAGATGTTGCAACTGAGCTCGAAGGCTTCCGTGACCGGCCTACAGACTGGGGATGGTATTGGGGTGATACAGGCGTGGGTGCTTCGTTGAAGACCTGGAAGTTTGAAAACAGCGGGGACATCGAAGGCTGTACACGGGAGAAGAGTGATAGCAAGGAGTGGGTGATGCTTATGCGACGGGATAGCACCGACACACACAACCTATGGCACAAGTTGATGGAGATTTTGCAAGTACGTTTTCGGAGCTATTCTTTCCCTTGCCTTTTTTCATCCTATTTCATTCCCCTCCACAAATGCCTGCGCAACGAATCTAACGATCACGTTCTATTAGGCGCGGCATAGTTTGGATGCAGTACGGATCGCTATCAATCCTGCCACCGGAACACCTTGGCTGTCCGACGAAGATGCCGCGCATGTTCAACTAGTCTTTGACGATGATCGGGAGGAGCTACTGGAACCACTCTGGGAGATTGTTACTGGGAAAAAGCCCATCCGCAAGAGCTCCTGGGAGCGAGCAGCTTGCTTTGGCAATGTGATCCTTCCGCTTCCTGGATGTGGCAGTCCTTTTTGGTCTAACCTACTGGACACTGGCTATCCTGAGGCCTGCCCCTCGCAGACGCTTTTGACGACATACGTCCACCGCATCTTTGAATTCTACGGCGTGGTCCAGCGCCCTGTCACCGAGATTCACAAACATCCGACTATTACAATCGTGGAGCGAAAAGAGAATAGGAAGTTTGTCGCACTCGACCGTTGGGTGAAAAGTCTGAAGGAACGCTACCCACAGTCTCCTATCAATGTGGTCGATTTCGCCAGTATTACAATTCAAGAGCAGATTAAACTTGCCCAGTCGACTGACATCCTCGTTGGCCATCACGGCGCTGCCATGACGCACATCATTTTCATGGCACCTGGAGCGACGGCTGTTGAGATTCTGCCTCGACATTTCGACCAGCATAGCTTCCGCTCTGCAGCTGCGATGCGTGGAGTTAATTATATCGCGGGCAGATGCATGCATAAAGAGGAGTATGAGAATGCTGTGAATGGCACACCGTTCCCGCAAGACTGGACACCTCCCACGCCCCAGGGATTCAATCATTGGCAGAATGAGGAGTGGACATATTTGATGGATGAGGATTTTCTGGGCTTGGTCGATGCTGCGGTCAGGAGTCAGATGAACAAACTTGGAAGCAGCGACTCATAAAAATACACGGTTCGGATATCATTGCATGAGCAATCAATGTAGTTACAGCTGTAACACCCTAGGACTTATGAAGCAGCACATTTATTTTTTCATTCGCTTCGAGAGCAGGGCACCAAAAGTGGTAGCCGAGCTTGGAAAAGGAGGTTGAATCACGTGATACGAATCATGAAATGTTGCACTTCCCTTCATCCACTACATGAGACTTTATCGGGCATCTTCCTTCATTACTCAGTATCTCCTTCCATGCAACGCAATATCGTTAGCTCTGAGTATGCATGAAATGAGCAGGAGCTGATCCCTAGTCTCCAACTCCAACTTCTCCAAGACCTTGATTTCCTCGATTCACTGCATATACGAAGTACGTGGCAGTGCCCACAGCACTGGTATCGCTGCATTGTCTGCTTCAGCTGTTTAAGACCAGGGACATTGGCATAGACAGGCCGTGCGTGCTATAGAGAAGAGAGGGTATATAATTAGCCGAGAACTAGTTAGCAGGACCCTAAAAACAGCGTCCTAAATCCCCTGTTTTCAGGGCCTTACTCACCGTTACACCGTGTAATAGTACTCGGTGGGGTGGTTGGTTGTGCCAATGCCAATGGACGTTGAACCATCTCGATTGTCGCTGAAGATTCCTCTTCTAACCTAAATGGATTGTTAGCAAAGTTTGATTACGCTCCGTCAGGGGGGCACTCACTTGGAATATTGGGTTATCTCAGGTCGAGTATCAACGGGCTTCGAGATGGGTTACTCCACATTATCGATTACTTCCCCTGGTAATTTCCTGTTTTCCAGAAGAAACGAGAAAATTTCAGCTCCGGCACTCTAGTAGCGAACTCTTTTGCCGCCCTCTCAACTCTCTCAGCCTCTTCCCTTTGACTCACTACAGCTTCATAGACCTTTTTATCCTCTCCTGATTGAGCGTCCGGAAGAGCGACGTCGCCTACTACGGGTTTGAAGACGAGACAGAAGAGGTTAGCCGTCATTTTCTTGTCAGCGAGCCCGAGCTCGACCTTCTTGTCCACGCGGCCAGGTCGTATAAACGCTTCATCGAGGTATGTGATGTGATTAGTAGTCATAATCAAGACCCAGCCTTCTTGTGATCCGACACTATCAATAACGTTCAAGAGAGCAGATAGAAACACCTTTCCAGAGACAGATTTGCTCTGTTGAGAAAGAGAGCCAGGCCGTGAGTCATTTGTTTCAGCGTCTCCGGATCGCTTCGAACTAACGGCGTCAATATCTTCTACGAGAATAACGCAACGACTTAGAAGTTTGGCGAATAGTTCCCGGAAGCAGTCTTCATTAATAGCAGAAAGGCTGAGGATGTAGATATCCAAACCAAAATATCCAGCGATGGATAAGCTCAAACTCGATTTTCCAGTCCCAGGGGGCCTATACAGCAGGTAACCCCTGCGATAGGGAAAACCGCGGTTGGAATACCATCGTCGAGCTGTTTGGTTGAGGAAGTTCCCGATATCTTTGAGTAACTCCTTTTTCACACTCTCGTTGAGAGCAACTGTCGAGATATGGCTTACATCCGACACCATGGACCTCGCCCAGGTGCCATTTTGGTGCTCATACAGAGAGGTTTTGCCCTGAATCAGCTTTGAATACTCGACGCAACACTCAGTAAGCAGTTGCCTAAGAATTCGTAGGGATCTGCTAAAGCAGGAAAGGGAGACCTCTTCTCGACTATTGAATTCTCCAGCCCGATGTTCACGCCGGAACACAATCAGATGGCCATGATACTGAATGAAAAAGCGTCCATTCCAGGGTGTGTAGAATATAGTCTTTCGCTTCGTATCTTCGTCATTTGAACGCCTAAGCTGTGTCGATGCAGAGGCCAAATCGGTGGTTGCGAGGGAGGAACGAACGTCCTAGGTGAAGCTCTGAGAAGATACCCATAACAGCAACATATCATAGACCTCTTCGCGATATCGCACATGAATAGTTGAAGCTACTGATTGTCAAAAACTGGGGTCTCTCCTTGTAAGAAGCGAGGGGGCACTCACTAAAATGAGTCTCGAGCCATCCCAACAAACGCTCCCAGATACGTCTGCAAACGAACACAACCAGCCCAAAGAAACACATCAGAGGAACATAGACGCTCAAGTCGATAGTGAGATACCCCTGGATAGCAGTAGACATACGGGTGAAGCCTGGGAACAATACCAAATCCAGGATCGAAGCTTGGGCGTCTGAGATTGAATGAACAAGTCGAGTATTTTCTGCCATAGTTGAAGAGTTTTGAGGAGCCATTGTCGATGAAGAAGCTAGTTGGTGTAGCTTCAATAGGAGTGATGTCGTATATAAGAAGCTCTAAAAGTTACTTGAAGAACTAGGAGGAATGAAGAAGGAGGTCAAAACTTGCCTCTATATACCCATCGATCTTCACAATCACAGTCTAATCCATCTTGGAAGTCCAACACCGGAGAGTCCATCACTCGTAGCTCATCGCAGGATGTATTAGCGCTTGGAAATAATCAAAATAGCTTCATCCATTCGCGGACCACCGAGACCATTCTTGCGCGGTCAATGCGGGACTGTCGACTAAGGAACGGCGAGGCGGTGGGTGGTATAGCATGATGTTGGTTCCTTGAATGGTCAAGACAGTTTCATTGATTCCAAGAAGAAATGTGGGGGATGCAAGACATGGAGTTTATGGCGTATCAATTGTTCCTCGATCCTTGAGAGCTCCTATTGAGTTAAGGATATACTGCCGAGACATTGTGGCTTGAATGCAGGGTATCGTCGATCGAATAAGATACAGTTGAACGAAAACCCGTGTGTACTACATTGTAGGAAAGATATATGCGACCTCCTAATCTGTCTATTGATGCCAAAGTGAAAAGACATGCATGCTCTAGACGAGCTTGTTATGTGAATGGTCTGGTCGAGGCAATCACCGGCTCCAATTCATTTGTCATTTCCAATCCCGGAACCCCTTACCTCTGCTGCGTAGACTGAATCTTAAGTAATACCTGCGCAGGAACCTTTTTCTCTGTAGGATCTCAAGATGATTATGGGCAGTGCATTCAAGTACAGAGCAACCAGTGCAGCTCTCAAGCATCATTCAGTCGTAAGTAATTTCTTTTTCGTTACTTAATTTTTTTCTATTCATCATTCACATAATGGCTAATGACTTGGCGTGATAAAAGGTCCGTACCTGACTAATCCGGTAGACAACGGCTTCACTTATATAGTCTCGAATGGCAATTGCGGGTACTTATATTATGGTGGGCAATTCAATTAGAAAGGATCACACTTGAAGCTAGCTGGTGTGATGGCACGGCGTCACGTGGTACCAAGCTCGTGGCTGTTTCAGCTCATCTCCTGTATTTAAAGGCCTTCTACCCCAGACCTCTCTTCTCTCCTTGCTTGATCTCTTCGCAATAGGACCCTCATTACTCGTAGCGTATCTTCCCTACTTGTGATGCTTCATGCCCTCAACGTTGGCCTTGGGGTTCCCTAGGACAATATTTATTTCTAAAAGAATCAAATGTCTCACATGCTGCATAAGCGCCCTTGTTTGTCAAATATTATATCCCGCCATACTAACAATACCACATCGTGCCTCATTTCCTTCACTTGATAGAATATCCATCAACATCACGTGATTAACCTCTATTACTAGGCCGGATAGTATAAACGTTATACTATGCTCTTTTATCTTCACTCGAGACTAAAAGCATGTTCCTCTACCAACACTTGGTAGCAGTCGATATACTTCCCAAAGGTGTTCCTGTCTTCCTGTTATAATTTCGAAGGTACAGAAAAGTGCACAAAGATATGATTCCGAGACCACAGATGGCAATGCCTGCACCAATACCAGCTTTTGCCCCCGGTATAAGTGAGCCCCGATGAATTTGTAGTATTCGACGACGATGCGGGGTTCGTTGCTGCTGCTGGGCTGGTCGACTGCTCTTCAACTACCCGGTCTGAAATCAATAACACCTTCTAATTTCAATAGTGATCAGAAAACTCTCCATCACGACTCCTGCCTACCGTTTACCTCACCTCGAGCAGTGTGAAGTGATTTGCTGATATTTGAAAGAGGTTGTTGTCAGAGATGCCAATACTGTGGAACAAACATTACCCGTCCCGTATATTTAGCTTGGCGAGTCATTCATCAACCCTTGATTTAGCGGGGTGAAGAATTCCAAGCTTTCGTCATCTCTCTGTTTCTACCTGTTCGACACTGAATGAGTCATTCCCGGTACACCATTCCCGCGCACATCGTTCACGAGCTAACGCTACCTACAATTGCATTAAATTCAACTAGCGTGTATGTTCAATCTCAAGTCCGACAGACAGTATAGTGATGGAATGCATTTTTGATACTAGTGCCTTGCGGAGCACATATCGTGACAGTATCACCAAACTTCCCGACAGCTCGGTTAACCGGAAGATCATTAATGACTCGACAATCGTGGAGCCGTGTCCGATTTGTCTGCAGAATGGAGATATCGGGGTAGAGATGGTGATGCTTCTGTGCGAATGTCCACATTGGGGGGCACGAATCCTGCATGGCCAAATCTGTTTTTGAGACAGGGGGTTGCCCAACTTGCAGAGCGCCTCAGTTCTCCTTCGATACTGTTGACCTCCTTTCGACAGCGTACACACACGGGGATATTGAAAAAGCGAGGCACTTACTTGAAAGTAGTACATATCACTCATCGCGAGATATCTTCGATAGAACGCCATTAATACGAGCAGCTCAGCACAGTGAGAGAGAGGTGATACACCTGCTCGTGGAACATGGGCCCTCGGTAACACAAGAGGACATGTACCACCAGACGGCAATATGCTGGGCCTCAAAGGAGGGGCATACGGACGCAATTGAGGAGCTTCTCCTTGCCGGAGCAGACATATCTTACTTGGACTCAGAGGGCCAGACACTTTTGCATTTGGCTGTGAAGAGCGGGTCTGAGGAAACAGCGGCTCTTCTGTTGGCAACGGGCGTGGCAGGATCTGCCACAGATTTGGAGGGTGTCACTGCCCTCCATCTAGCTGCAAGAGATGGCTCCAAGGAATTCATCAACTTGCTGATTGACAACGGTGCGGAAACTGCAGCAAAAGACAATCTTGGACGTACACCGTTGCATTACTGTGCGGAGCTAGGTTATGGCGCAGCGACCAAGCTGTTGGTCGACAGAGGTAGTTCATTGTCTGCAAAGGACAACGCGGGGCGGGGCGGACAGCTCGTGAGTTGGCCCAAGAGGCTGGAAGTCACCGCGCAGTGAGAGCCTTGGATGGCGAACCATTATCTATGAGTATAATACAAGGCCGTGCGGTTTTCCTCTAGGTAGTAAGTACATACATACACCCTATCCCCGGTCACGTTCTCTGATGTTGCCCTAGGCGTCGGGTGGGCTTCCGGAACATGGCAGGATGGATGATTCATTCATGGTTCTATAATACAGCTTCTGCTATGTTTTACTACTCTTAGTCTTCATACCTATTGTTTGCTAGCAGTTGCCATTTGCGTTTCGATGTCTAAAGTACGACAAGTGCTTCAAGTCTGTCACTAGCAGTCAGAAGCGAAGAGAAGAGCTAACAGCATGGATGAAGCACCGACTATACAGTATTCCGAGTTCCACGCCGTTGGTTGGCATACATGGTCCTATTCAGCCTCCGGAGCAAATGTTGGGAGCGCTTTCGAAGCCTGCGTTTGTCGTGCTTCGGTATACAGCCTGGCCCCAACAGTTGTTTGAGTACCTGGCGGATTTTGGTCTCGCGGATAGCGCCAGCGTTAAACATGGCTAGTCGATATAGTGCTATTAGGCGGAAGGATATGATCCGCTGCGCTTCCTCGTCAAAGGGAGACTGCTTCTTCTGCACTTCATATCTCTATTTCCAAAATTGCTTGAGCTGGTCAGTCTTTTGCTTAGAATTACTCTTTATTAAGCTTACATTTCTCTGGTGGGTAACATGATTTGGATGATATGGCTCCGTTATAGTACTCTCAGTCATCATCCCCGTCAGCGATTCATTATCTTCGCTAGCCTAGCGGCCACCGCTATACAATGCCATACTACTAGAAAGACTCCGTTCGGCAACAGGCTGACGGCTACACTGCTTAGGACTACCTCGCGGCAGTTCTCCCATAAATCTGCGGACCTGGCCTTAGTCACTTCGTACTCGTGCTTGACGGAAAGGCAGAGTTGGTGCAGCATGGAAGTTCAATATTAGATGTCAAGAAAAAGGTGGACAAGATACTCTGCAGAGCGGAGGGACTCCTATATATACTGATAGAAGAACGCAGCCCCGGTCAGTCATGAGTCCCAGTACGGGCTAGTTAACTAGATTCAGGCAATGTCTTCGTCGTGCAAGATTGAGAGCCATTGTGCGCACACGATTTATCAAAAACATCACGTCAGCAAAACAACAGAATGCAACAGTCCAAAATTGAAGTACATTAGCGATTTTAGGTAAGATGAAGGAGGGCGAACGAAATCCACCGCTGGAGTTTGCAAGCTACCATCTAGGCGTCAATGGTAGGCATGCTCATTGTCAGTCGCACCGGTCCCCTTGAAGTCGTTTTCAAAGATTGCCCCAACATCAAGGACTTTGTGCAGGTGATTCATAGCCAAGTCTACCTTTTCAAAGTCCGCCAAAGCATGTGCTGCACGCACCGCATTCTTGATCTGTGAAGGAAAACTTGTTAACAAAAAGGCATGAGTTTATTACAGAAGATAGCTTACTTGTCGACCATTCAGCTTGCGCTCTGCCAGATCTTGGAGCTCAGTGCCTTTGAAACCAACCACCCTGCCCTTTGCGTTTGGCTTGTTTAGGAAGCTTTCCCAAATGCTCTTTCTGGTATCAAACCCTAAAGAGCTATAAGCGAGCCCAATGTGTATTCTACTTTGTACAGCGCCGTCGAACTCTGTCACCTGATTGGTTGTGAGCATCATAATCCCGGTAAAATACTCAAGCTTGCGTAAGAAAACCGAAACTAGAGCGTTATGTTGAGAGTTGTCAGACCGTCGGCGGAGATATGAATCTGCCTCATCGAGGAGCAGCAAGGTGTTCCAATGGCTAGCTACATCAAAAATCTTTGACAGTTGCGTATCGAGGTCTGCTGATGAATTGTGACTGAGGTTTGCCGCAGAAACCTGTCTAGATTAGTTTCAGTAATAGCTAGGTCTACTTTGAACTCACTGTGAAAAGGGGCATGTGAAGGAGTTCTGCGAGCGCCTCTGCAGTCATTGTCTTTCCTACACCAGGTGGCCCACTATCGGGCGTGTTAGTTTTAGGCTTGCTCCTGATACTGGTCTACGTACTACAGAAGTATGATCAATCCAAGACCTTTTTCCTTGACGAAGTTGTCAAATGCGTGGGCATTTTCACGGCTCGAATGCTGGGTGGCCAGGGCTTGAATGAGCTCCTTCGAATTGGCTGGGATTTTGAGCTGACCGAAAATAGACTCATCCCAGCAGATTTCCGAAATATCTGCGACAGCGAACTCCACTTTGGAGAGGTTAGTGGGAATGTACAGAGTTTCTGGTGAAGTGATCTTACAGTACAACTTATTTTCTAGACTGTAACTTAGCACAGTAGGACTGCAGAGCAGAAAATCTTCCTTGCTCAACTCGTTGATGTTAACGCCCTTTTTCACAGCTGATTCGTCAAGCCGCGTGCTAGGCTCGTCGTCCAAATCATGCCAAATGCCGACACTTTTGGAGCTCTTGAAAATGCTCGGTCGAGCGTAGTTGGGATTGTCCTGTAGAAATTTGACCGAGTCTACCATAATTCTGCCTTTTATAGTGATTTTGCGAGGCTTCCCTTTCATCATCTGGAAAGCTGTTTCATCGTACTGCCGATGTTGAGTACCTCTCAAGGAGCAGAACCTCCGGTCACATTCGACAAGCATCTTTTTGACAGCCTCCTCTTCCTCGTGATAATAGAGTGGGAAGGCCTCGAGCGAGTTGACAGGTTTGGATCCAGCGAATTTCAAAATCGCCGTCTCAATCGGAACCTTTCCCAAAATCTTCCCGTCAAAGTCCAGATAGCTCCCTTTGATATGGAAGTATTCTACTCCGCTCTGGGTAGTTTCCTCTGCGGCAGACTCGTACTTGATGCACCTTGGCTTTTCCGTTCCCGGGCACGTGGTGTAGACTAACGTGTTTGCTTTGAAAAAAGCCCAGAGTAGGTCATAAGTGATCTCCTTGGCCTCGAGGAGTGCACCAAGTCGTTGCGTGAGGTCTGCGTAGGATGTCTTGATATGGTCGATGAGAAGGCTGATGTGTTCATAGCTTGCTCGGTCCTCAAGGTCAATTTTGTCGCGACATAACTCAATCTCAGGGAGGAAGTTGTAGAGAATGTTCCGCTGTATCTATAGAAGTGTAAGTTTCTGTTCATTTTACAACAAAAGAATGGATGCGTACAGAGAGCTTTTCCTCCAAAATGTTAATCCCGGGGACGTCACAGAGGACCTCCCTCAAAGCGTCTCGAAGCATGAACAACTTGACGTCAACAAAATAAGTATTCTCTTTACTATTCTTGTCTTTGGAAATTGTCAGTATATGAATTCCGCTTCAATAGAATATATACCAACCCACCCACGAACTACGAACACGTATTGATCCAAGTTGTTAATGCTTTTTGGCTTGGGGCTTTCCACAACGGTGTACTTGTATGCCTTGTCATCCCAGCTACATGTCAATGTCCGTTAGTGGATACATAGATAAGTGAGTTCAGAAACTTACATCTCATCGACTTCTTTGAAAGCTATTAGCGAGGCGCGAGCCACCAATTCCTTTGATGTGGTGCTATCCGGAGAGTCGGGTTTAGGTTTATCAGAGACCTCGGCGTTCTCCTCTGCGCGCTTGTCAAGGACCTTGAGAAAGAGATCTTTGAGATCTTACATCGTAATTAGTTTTGCAGGTGTCGGGAGATGTAGACTATCAGGCGGTAGAGGCGTATAGGAACAGGTACACTTCGGGGCAGAAGTAGAGGTCATCTGCATGTCCGTGACCGCTTTGACCAACTCTTCAGCATCGCTCGAGGTGACAAAACACTGGGACAGCGATAGATTCGGGCTACTCGGTGGTGTGTTTGGCTGTGTTAGGGACAATGGGGGGCCGGTTTGCCTCATCTCTGTTGGTGCTATTGTAGATGTAGGGGTTTGGTAGATAGCTTTGAAGTGCGTGACAGACAAAGTGTGTATAGATGTGAGAACAGAAGATGCTTGAAGAGTTTGGAGGAATACAGAAGGAGGTGATTATCAAACTGGAGGGGAGATTCCTACCTTTATATACTTATCGATCCTTTACTATTCTTCACTTGGGGGTTTGATCCGTCTTGGGGGTCCAACGCCGGAGAGTCTCTCACTTGCAGCCCATGGTTGCAGCATAGTATGTTGGCGCCTTGAAATATCAAGATGGCTTCGTTGTTTCATTATGCAGTAATGTGGGGGAAGTAACATAATTCGATTTGTGAGTCTATCGAGATTCCATCACTTGTAGCATTATGCAGCAATATGGGGAATGGAGGACTTTGATGTGGCATCGTCAGAATATGGCGAGGTTAATGTGATTGCGTGTTGCATGAGAATTTCAGGGATTCTCCAAAATGGAACATCTCTGTATGGTGCTCTGATCTTTGAGAGTTTTAAGGATACTCAGAGACATGAGGATGTCCTGCCAAGACATCTTGCAGGAAGATCGCCAATTAAGTCTGGCAAACATGGAACCTTTCGGAAGGGACACTACTCACGTTCTGGCACTTGCTGACCTTGTTCGCTCGAGACAGCTGAAAGAACAATGTTCAATCGGTAAATTTCATTCTTTTAGTTGTCTCGACCTGATTTATCGTTTCTTGGCGCGAGTTTTGGGAAATGAGAAAGTAGCATTAGTAATACCAGGCGCCTCCAGAGTCAATGTTGGGGAGGAAACGCAGATCAGATGTTATTGAAACATTTCCCGGTTATGAAGAACGTCAGGTTCAGACGAAACTCTGACATTACATAGGCATTCTTCCCCGTCTACATACAGCGCGGCAGCAAGAAACCCTTCCCCCGATTAAGTAGTGAGTCCTAGTAGCTACCAGGTGAGTTCTACCTCAACGACGAAAAATATATGCCGAGCTCTTCTTCCGCAATTTCCTCGCATTCAAAAAACTGTTGTGTATCTCGCAGCTGGGCAATCTTAGTGAAGGGCAGTCAGTAGGCAATTGATATTACTAGTTCTCTAGGGATTCGCTAGCGAATAGCCAAGTGTGTAATATATAATATTAGTGAATACTAGAACTAGACGCCGAAGAGTCAAAAAGCAAAGGGGTGGGTAGTCCTCAAATACCTATTATCTGGCTGCTGTCCAGCCGCACCTAAGTCAGGTGATTCAAAAGTGGGGAGCCCTGATAGGTGGCTTAGTGGTATGGCACAGGGATTGGTTCGGCTTATAACGCGTTATAATATAGTTCTAAAAAGACTTAATAAATACCATAATACCTATTAGTAAATTCTAAAGATTAAATAAGACTAGAGTATAAATAATAGAATAATATACTATCTTTAACTTATACTTTTAAGGACCGAGCGATGTAAAGCTAATACGGAGTAAGTATACGGAGGTACTTCGTACTATCATAGTGCTACGTATGTCCTACCTACAAAGTTCAACCCCACCCCAACCGACCCGAAATGAACGAAGAGGAACGGAAACCTTAATTAGTTTGGAAGCTAGTGACCAGCCCACCGGGAAGAATGCGGGGAGTTCTGGGGCCTCCACACTTTATCCCCTGGCACTCTATGAAGTACCTGTATACGTCCGCGGTCTTCACGATGCAGATATATAGGCATCACATCCAATTCAAACCCCAGCTTCCTCGCACCAACTTGCGAAGGTCGATTCTCTCTCACAAAGGATTGGCAAGGATATTGCGATAATCAACCATGGGTGAACAAGGCCAGGTAGTCCACGTCGAGAACGTCGATGCACAAGAAGCCAATGGCCGGGTACACGCAAAGACCTACATATTGGTCGCTGTAAGTCTCGTCCAAGGAAATAATCTTTCACCGTTGTAACTTTATTCGCAGGCCGTAAACATGATCTACGTGGCGCAGCTTTGCAGTGTCGTCGGGTCTGGCGCTCTAGCTCGTGACATCACCGCTGTCACGGGAGGTAGTGGCAACATTGTCTGGTTTACATCGGTTATTACCATCTGCACGGCTGTGCTGAGTCCATCGGTCAGCCAGGCCGCCGACTATTGGGGTAGAAAGTGGCTGCTTATTTTCTTCACGATATTAGGCTGTGTGGGAAGTATTGTGGTCTCGCGAGCCAACTCACCTGGATCGGTACTTGTCGGCTTCACGTTCAGCGGTCTTGCATTTGGTTCGCAGGCCCTGGTCCCTACAATAACGTCGGAGGTCTTGCCTCGAAATTATAGACCATATGCCCAAGCTGCAGTCAACGTGTCAGGGTCTCTATCCGGCTTCGTTTCACTGCTCCTCGGAGGAGCTTTGACGCGGAACAGCAACCACGAAGGTTTCCGAACGTACTGGTACATCTGTGCAGGGACCTTTGCGCTTTCAGCAATCCTCACCGCATTCCTCTACAACCCTCCTCTGCGGGAGCTTCAGCGTACGCTGAAATTTACAGAGAAACTAAAAAAGCTCGACTGGATCGGCTATGCTCTGCTGACGTTGGGTCTGGCTCTTTTCTGTGTTGGGTTATCATGGTCGCAGAACCCATACCCTTGGACAGACGCTCGTGTCTCAGCTCCCTTCGCTGTTGGCGTTTTCTTCACCACCGCACTAGTTCTGTACGAATGGTTTATCAAAGTCGATGGCATGATCCACCATCGACTATTCCGAGGCCGAGGCCGAAACTTCCCAATCGCGCTGTTCTGCCTGTTCGTCGAGGGTTTGGCTTTCTTCTCCGCGAACAATTATTTTCCCTTCGAAACAAGCATTTTATTCACCTCGGACCCGGTCGTGGTAGGAGCACATTTCGGCATTGCTTTCATTGCATCCATAGTTTTCGCCGGAGTTGGCGCCGCATACTGCTGGAAGACGAAGACCCTCCGTGATACAACCATGGCGGCGTTTATCTCGTTTATAATATTTTTCGTCTTGATGGCCACGACAACTACCAATACTCCCCAGAATAATTTCTGGGCCTACCCTCTCTTCCTGGGCGGCGGCCTCGCATTGAGCGTGACAGCTCTAATGACAGCAGCCCAGTTTGCCACTCCGGCTGAGCTAATATCAACAGCGACGGGATTAGTCCTCTGTGTCCGCAACCTTGGTGCCACGGTTGGACTGGCAGTTTACAACGCCGTTTTCAACCAGTGTGTATCTCAGAACCTTGCACCCAAAATTGCCGCAGCAGCCTTGCCCCTTGGCCTCCCGGAGTCATCCATCGGCGCTCTCATCGGTGCTCTCGTGACCGCAAACTTCGCGGGCCTGGCTGAGATCCCAGGCGTAACAGAGGAGATTATTGGCGTTGCTACAGTGGCATTAAAAGAGACGTATCTCATTGCGTTTCGATACGTGTGGGTGACTGCAGGTGCCTTCTCCGCTATCGCTTTCATTGGTATGTCCAACTGCTACTTACCACTTATGGTCTCTAATATAATGTTAAAATAGCATCCTGTTTTCTAAGTAATCCTAGCGAGGCATTCAACTCGCATATCGATGCCCCAGTTGAAGTTGAAAGCATTGCCGAAGCCGATAAAGCTAAGGTGTAGATAGTGTGCCTGAGAAGAGAATGACGTCTCGTGGAAATAACAGGTGAAGGCATGCTTTCCGCCACTGAGGAGAAAGCAAAGATTTCTGAATGGTTTTTTTCTGTAAAACAAATATAACAGTGTTCTATTATTGTCTAATAACTATTTCTTTGGAGTGGATGTGATAGTTGTCAGTCTCGTTGGAAACTAGATCCTACACCTTAAAGTGGACGGTATCGTCCCATGAAGCACAGGGCAACCCGTGCTAGAAGGTGCAACGGAGTTTATAGATAGATAAGGTTTTGGTGGAAGGAAGGTTTGGCCATTCTAAGTATACTAGTAGGGAGAAATTTTCTGGCCGAATGCAAGCTTCAAATAGCCCAAAAGACCTTTCACATACAAAAGCTCCTACTTTTCTTTGTTTATTGATGTATACTCCGAAAATGCATAGAGCGCCTTGGATGTGTGGAGATGGTTAATAATATAGTGTTAGTAGTCCTACGGGTAAGGGCTTATTTAGGCTTCTTACTTATAGGAGCCTGTAGATATGGTACAGGCCAACATGGCTAGAAATCTAACCACGACTAGCGCCAATGATCTATTAGCTCGAGCTACTGTTTTAGTGATATTATCTTCTTGATTACTAACCTTTTTAAAGGTGTAGATAATCTACTTTTTGGACATGTATAATGTAGTGTCTTGAGACTACGCAACACATCCATTTGGGCGAAGTGAACTGCCCCCTACGCGGCATCTTGTAGCAAGTGAAAAGCTTTTTTGCACAGTAAATTACAACGGTCCAGAGCTCTAAAAGGCTCAAAGTAGTAGAATCACCCTTCTAGATGTTATCCTAGAGATATCTCGGTGATGTGTTCCGTGTCATATAATACGAATTACAGTACGGTTTAAAAGTTAGAGAGTGTGCGCCTGATTAGGATACTGCTACTGGCTTAATGATTTTCGAATATTTAAGATCCTTAGCCTACCTTAAGGCCACGTTGCCACTGCCAGCCCTTCATTCGTGCTACTCTAGTGGGTGTCTGTCAGCACTCAAATGACATAGAATTACAGCAATTGGAAATGCATAATCAATGATATTTAAGATCATAGAAAGTCTAATCGATACACTCGCTAGTACAGCGATGGCCTACGTTTTATACCCGAAAGCATGCCATGCACGAGATCTAATATATCACTCAACGCCCAGATATAATAGATCCGTCCTAATGACGATTCCTATAGGTTCGATAATGATTGGCCCATCACAATGTCCGCCATATCAGTCGCCATCCTGTCCAGTCCGGCATTTACTTCCTGCAAAGCGCTTGAGTCTTGCTCCATAACGGCTTTCAAGAAGGGATCGGATTTTGGATCATCTGGGTTTGTGTCATGACATCGTAGTTTATTTGCTGTAGAGACCGGATTGATGAAATCTTTGAAAACTGCATGCCGGGCATCTGCCCAGCTCCGAAGAATCGATAGTGGCTTGCCATCGTTGATTACGAAATTGAGTGCATCGGCAAGAGAGTCCGCATCCAGGAGGCCGGTTGTAAGGCCCAGACCACCCCAAGGCTACCAGGAAAGAAGGGTGTTAGCTAATCTGAGTTTGATTTTGCATTGCAAGACGTGTATCTCTTACCGCGTTCAGATGAGCAGCGTCTCCGACCAAGATTGATCTCCCAACGAGGTAATTCGGTACTTGACGTTGGTGGCTACGGTATTGTTGACATCTTCTGAGTTCGTATTTCAACGGCCGCGCTCCTGGAAACATTCTCTCGAATTTCTTCTTCAGGCAGTCATCGAAAACGGCAGGCTCGCACTCTTCTGGCGACATCGGAAATGTGCAGCGATAGAGGTTCGATCCGCCGTAGTTGATTTCAGCGAGAGGACAAATAAACGCCCAGTCCACAGGGTCGATAACATAGACGGTTGCCATACCATCTTTTGGTGGAGAGAAATTGACGTAGATATCGCTGGCGATGATGGTCTCGGGCCAAGTAAATCCGTCCAAGGGCAGACCCATTAAATTTCGCATTCGTGATTTACCTCCATCAGCGCCGATCACAAATGGGGCTGTAAACTGCTTCTCCGCTCCAGAAACATCAACCGTTGTGATGGTAGCTGAATGCTCGCCCTGAGACAGTCCAATAACCTCATGTCCAAGTAGAACTTGCGCAAGATCTGAAGCAATCAATTTCGACATGATGATTTCTCTTAGCTTGTCTTGTCCTAGACAGAGAAGGCCACAGCCACAGTCTCCTTCCTCGAGGGCAGAGAGCTCCCATGGGTTCCACGCGGCAATCAAGTCACCCCATTGCTTCTCGTTAGGCCCATCTTGCTTCGCCCTTTTTCTCCACGAGAATCCTGTAAGGAAGAGCGCCTTTTCCTGAACTTCATTGAAGATTCCTGCCCGCTGCAGTGCAAAGTGAACCGGGCCAAAATATCCCAATGCGCGGACGGCTGGGTGAAGAACAGCGTCTTTCTCGAGTACTGTGACGCGAATACCTCGTAGGACCAGACGAAGCGCTAGAAATAGCCCGGTAGGACCCCCTCCAGCAATAATGACCTGGGATTGGAATGCCATGATCGTTAGTTCGGTCGTGGCTGAGAGGAGATGATCACAGATGGAAACAAATCAACTCGGCCAGTTTTATACATATCTGGGCCGCTGCACCAGTACTCCGTATCATACTTGAATATAGTCTTGGGTCTAGCCGTCGGGTTCGAGAACAGTCGAACCGGATCTCCGCGCGGTTTGCTTATTGGCTTCAAACCAAAATTCCTTTCCTTTGCGGCTCATAACCAACCCATTTGGAAGCGATTCTGGCCTTGTTGTCTCTTGCACGTCCCGTCGCCACCCCCACCCCGACCCGACAAGATTAGGATTCGATGCTGTTGGGGTTCAACCGACGTATCCGTTCATAATACGCGGGGGGGGGGGGGGGGACAGAAACCCCGGATTCCCCACCATGCCATTGAAGGGAGTGAGCCGGATGGGGGCGGGGAGAAACTGGAGTCGATAGACCCAACTTTTGCCACTGTTCGCTGGGATTCACCGGTGCAATTATCGGGCACACATCTCGGCCAAGGCAGAGAAAGGTTCCGTTGGTTGAAACGGCACAATGTCGGTTGGTTGAGTTCTTTTCAAGTTACGCCGTACTCCTCTTATATTATATTAGTGCGAGTATGTGCTTAGCTAGGTAGACTAAGTCTGCTCCAAGATAAGTGGCGTGCCGGCGATACAAACGCCGATATTTTCAACTAACGGAGCTTTTCTCTACCTTGGCCGAGCTGTAACCCGGCAATGATCTACCTCATTGCCCGCTACCCCATGGCTGGGTTGAGATCGGTGTGATAGCTTGGATTTCCACTTTCCCCGGGTTAAAGTTGCAGCTCTGAGGGGGCAGAGAAACAAATATAACTATATAGTAAGAAAACTTAAAATCCAGGTATATACTTATAGCTAAATGCAAAGAACCTAAGGTTAGCTATATCTACATACTATAGTAACTAGCATTCGTATTAAAGCAGGTACTTATTACCATAAAGCTTATACTAGGCATATGCTAAAGATGCATATATATATATACGTGGGTACCTAGGTAGCTAAGTAAGCTAACTACCATGGTCCTCTCTAGGTCAAGTCTTACTTCATCAGGTTACTCGACTAAGTAGCGTCGCGGCACTTAAAATCCCGATATTTCAATCAACGGACCTTTTATCTGAGAGCCCCACTCCGCCACTCTGCCGGTAAACTTGTCATCGAGTGCTGACCTTAGGATGCTCTAGAGTCGAGGAATGGATAGGTGGTAGATCCTGAATTAGGGCAACTTAGCACTTCATGTAATGTCAGAAGCTCGACTGGAAGGCACGGCATTTTCTGCATCACGAAGCGCCAGTTGCCCAGATCAAAAGACCAAGTGTCGCCGCGCTACAACAACCGATAATCTCCTCCCAAAATGTCAAATCCCCGTCATCGATTCCACTGCAGTTATTGCAGCCAAAGCTACTCTCGCAAAGAGCATCTACACAGGCATCAGCTAAAGCGTATGTGCATCTCTCCCGTCCGCCACATCCGGCCAGCACGATCCTGACTGACCCATTCCAGACAACGCTCTACGTCTTCATAGATGCTCATCATGTTCTCAAGCATTTAGCAGAAGGTATGTGGCTATTCGTTCTAATACGTCCCAATGCTTCTCCGGAAAGACCGCACCTTAACTATCCATACGTGCAGTGATGTTCTACGAAGACACGAACAGACTCACCAGGAGTTTGATGGAACTCAAACCGAGCTCGATGAAGTTGGCGGCACTAAATCCCGAAGGCCGAGAACTTCAATTGCATGCGATTCCTGCGCAAAGGCGAAAGTCCGGTGCAATGGCCAACTTCCTTGTGACCGTTGTGTCTCTAAGGTCTTGCATTGTAGTGCAAATAGGCCAAACATCTTAGGCGGACGGCGACGTCCACTGCCGCCCGCATCTTCTTTGGACCCCTCGCCGAGCGACGAGATGACCTCAATGACAAATATAAATGGGCATGACCATGCCTCCGTTGTAGTGTCACAAATGGGCCTACCAGTGAGTCTATCAACGCTCTACGGAATTTCTAAGCTAATCTACAGGCCGAAATTATACCCACACAAATGTTGGGGAATTCGTCAACTTCTGATAGCTACCAAACAAACTCGGGAGCACTGGGACGAGTTTCATGGTTCGCTCACGATTCTACCACACCAAATTCCGTCGAGAACTTGTCCCAACGAAACCAGGACCAGCGAGAGGCTTCCATTGCCTCGAGTGCCAAGCTAGATCCTAGCTGTGCTGCATCCCCGTTGCAATTTGAGACGGCGGACGCTCGCGAATTGAATACGGAATATCGAGATTTGTATTTTCCATGGACCGAATCTTGTGTGGGCCTTGTTGACGCGGACCCGTCCATGGTGCCCGATTTCCCAAACTTCTTCTGGTTGCCAGAGGAGAGTTTCCAATTAGATAATTTCCTAGACGAAAACGCGACCGTAGAGAGACATATCAAACCTCAACAAGCCACGTCAGACAGGTTACAAAAGATCGCGGTCAAAAAGAAAAATACATGTCCATATTCAAACTCTCCGTTCGTTTACAACTTCAAGAAGGGGCCTCCAATCAAGATTCTGCAGATTTGCGAGTTTTTGCATGATCATTCTAGCTGGAAGCGGATTAATAAGTTGAAACCACCTCTAATCCCACAGGGCCTACCAATAATGCAAGTTGGTGAGCAGCTCAGAGATGCCTTATCTGCGAGGATACATGGCATGCTTTATAAAGCGCCGAATCAAGACTATTCAGGATTCATACCTCATCAGTTCCCTCCTCTCGATTCGCTTCAATATTTTTTCCAGACTTATCAACGCAACTTCTCAACTCTCTATCCTATCGTTCACCCTACCAGCTGCATGAACTCCAGATTGAATAAGCCAGAGCCCTATGAAGATATGGGTATATTTCTGACTTCAATTTTGACCCTTGGTTGTCTGATGTCCCCGGTTTCAGAAGCCCAGAGGTTCTCTGTGGAATTGTCCTATCTCATTCGAGTCACCGTCACTGAGGCCGCAGAACGAGACGAGACTTCCCTCACCGACGTGTGGACCATTAGTTGTCTTATCTTGGTGACTATCTTCAGTGCATGGTCAGGCATTCAGAGACACTCAGAGCTAGTCGAAGCATTCCACAGTACCCATACTGCAGTACGTATAATGACTTGGGCAACGCGTACACAATTAACCGATATAGATTTTGGTACGTAGAGGCTACTACAAGCCCCTTACCTCCCACAGCCTTGGTAGCCGTGATGAGCTAGATATGTCGTGGCCTATGTGGATTAAACGGGAACGACTCGTAAGGTATGATTACATTGGGTTCCCTCCAGTCATCTCGTCTTCTGACCAAAAAAAAAGGCTTTGTCAGATTTGGTACGTGCTAGACCAAGAAATCAGCCTGTTTTATGGTGTACCCTGTACTTTACATTACACTAGAATTCGCTGCCCCATGCCGTCCTCGGATGAGCTATATTTCTCACAAAGCGAAGAAGAATGGCAAGCTGTGATTGATGACTGCAGTATGGAACGAGAGTCAACTACTAAGCTGCATCCGCCGTCGCTCGCTGCCTTCTACCAACTCTTTCTTCGCCATGACTTTCTGCATTTAAAGCTTGCTGTCACACCACTCCAACTACGTCTTCTGCTGTGCACCATTCAGACACAAATCGTGGATCATGCCCTTAACAATCGTTTCCTTGCCCTCAATGATCAGCTTGAAGCTTCAGGGAAATCGCATACGGTCATGAGCTCTGCTTTTCTTCGTACGGAGGAGCTGGAGAGCATGTTGAATAAGTGGCATGTGCTGCAGCGCCGCGTCTTTGGTCCCCGCTGTCGAACCCAGTTGTCTATATCGTGTATGTTAATATATCATTTAATTTGGATTGAGCTATTCATCTGTCATGATGACGTTCAATTGATTGCAGGGAAGGATGGCCATGCATCAGGAAGGCCTTTGGTACCACAGCTTCAGCAATGGGCACAATCTTCCGCCGCTAGGAGAGCAATTGCACATGCTGGGCAGGTTTTCAAGATTCTACAATGGTCGGGCATTGATGTCGTACGCCCCATCTGGTGGCCATTGGCCGCTTGTCGCGTAGCATTGGTCATTTGGTGTTATGGCATAGGCCTTTTTCTTTCAACTGGCAGCGCAGCGGGCATTGACGAGGCAGCGTTAAACAGGGCTCCCTTCATTTCTTTGAATCCTGCTGGCGAAGGTTTGGAGGCCCATGGAAGGGTTATCTATGAAGGCGAGGGCCTGCCCTGTATCGAAGATTCTGATGGGAAGTTAACACCGCTGCATCGTACTTCCGATATGCTGGACGTATTCTTGAAACATCTCCAAGATGGCAGAAGCACAAGTTCGCCCCTATGTGAAACTGTCTATCGTTTCCTGGAGGATATAAAACGCTGCGGAGTACCTTACTCCAAGGCGTGATTATATTTTGGCCGATCAAACGGAGCGAACATCAAGAATAGCTGATGAATGTACAAAGTTTTGATATTGTTCAAGCCTTTGAAGATAGGCGGAGGCTGCAGAAGATCTATCCGCTTTCCTCAGCTAGTGTTGCTACACGTTCCCAGAAATCATGGATTCTCCGCTTTGGAAGCACTCAGGGCTTCCTCACCCCACACCTTGTCACACCAACCACCTGGGGCCATTCCTTCTGTAACAATGGTGCGATCCTGAATGAGCCATGAACCATCGCTTTGCTTCCGCCATGTATCCTTCCAGTGTCCCCAATGATCGTTGAATAGATAGTTTGTTGCAGCAAAAAATTGCGCTCTTGAGTGAGCCTCAACACCGCTCGTGAATTCAATATCAATCGTGGTGATATGGTGACGAATATACTTGGCTTCTTTTCCACGAATGACCTCCTTCATGTCACCAGCACCAACTTCCACGCCGCCTCCTATTCGATATATGGCACCAGGAGCCAATAGCTTCGCCAATTCGGCCCAGTCGCAATTCTCTCGGGCTAGCGAGGCATACCGGTGCATAACGGCTGTGATTTGCACTCGGGCTATAGCTTGTTCTTTGAAGTCCATGGTTTTCCAAGACGAATTCGATGGATTTGCAATTCGTGATTATATGGCAGAACGAAATATGTAATCCTGGAAAGGACGTTGGTCCAAAATCGCGAGATGTTGCCCACTATATATACGATATTCCATGCCTGCTAGTGATTTGTTGGAAACTCTGGTACACCGATTAATGGCTATTTCTCCCGATGGGATAATCCGAAGTAATGCTAGACTTACCGAGAGGAAACCCCTGTTGATGCGTTTACCTTCCGATGGGGGTGATCCGATGTGCAGAGTCTCCGATGGGGTAATCCTAAGACGAGCGAAAATGTAGGAAGCTAATTTCGTCCGAGTATAATTTTGACAGGGATAATCAAACCATCTCACCCGAAAGCGTTCGAGTCAATTGACGATGTGTCCTTAGTGAGCAGAAATATAGATAGCCGTTTTGTCTATCTAGTACAAGTAAATACAAGAGCACGCGCTATTACATCCCTCGGTGCCGGGGGACTTACTACAAACTTTCATCGGACTACTAACCTCCTTATAGACGAACGATAGTATATTACTTGATCTTAAACAGCTCGTCTAGGAAATTAAGAAATACGTATATCTGTATTTATCTCAGTTTGAAATCTATTTTACTACCCCGACTTAATTTATACATATTTCCTTAATTTTAAAGCGAAGTACATTATATTTCTTATTATTTAAGCCATCTTTTAGAGTATTACTATATACCTTTTAAAGTTATAGATAAAATAGTTAAACTAATATCTACTAATTGTAACGGTTCTGGAACGACGCCCGACACGTGCGCCGACCCACACTAACCGATCACGTGTACCATCACGTGATTTATCACATGATACACTTAGAGAATATTTACCCCTAGAAAAGTTGTACTCTCTCTCCTTCTCTCTTTAGCTTAATATCTTCGTACCTACGATTATAGTCCAATAGAGAGATGGTTCCTTGATTAAGGCACTTCTATTTGTATTCGTGACATTAGTAAGTGCCCAAAAATCAAGCAGTCGCGCAACCTACGATACTTACTCCTATTCGCCTACCTTCAAATATTAGTACAGCTAAACTAACCAACCTATTCAAATTCAGGATATAGATTAGAGTGAATATATTATGTCATCTTAGAAAAGGAATATGGAATATTTGTATGACTGGGGTAGTTGATTTATTATATGTCTTTGAATTTCCTAGCTCTGGTACTAAGTAGTGTCTCAGAGGTTTAAGCTGGTTAGTAAGCATGGTTTCGAGCCCCTTAAACGGAGCACCAATAACATTTACCATCTGAGTTTTGTCTTGGGAAGGAACTTTGAAATTGTGCTATTAATTTTGCCATTGTCGATTTAGATTTGTGCATGCTTTGCGAATGAATACGCTGCCTTGATTCGCCATTGGGGTTTAAGGAGCTCTCAAATCCTTCTTATTCCCCACGAAGGAGCTACTGCACGACTTTACGTAGGTACGTTTTCCACCCCAGCTGCTCTGCTCGGCTTTACGTCATTTTCCTATTGAAGATAGCCGTCGTATCATTCTTTCTAGACTCTCTTTGCGCTGTGGGGAGTCGTGGAATTTCATTTGATCGGACTTGCATTCTCCCCTCTCTGCAAGTACCCCGTACTCGTCCTACGCCATAGAGCATGCTGATTGCTGAATGTGGGGTTCGCATATCTACTTCGAACATGTCGGTTGATCCCGCATGGCCCCGCTCTACTTGCCGATTTGCAAAGCTCACAACGAACGGACGATTGTTATTCCTCTGATCGATAACTACGCCGCGTCGGACATCTGTCGGGATTAGCAAAAGAGGGGGTTGTGCTTATCGTATGGGGTAGTGCTGCTTGGCCCCCGGGATCTACACTACTAGGTACCTTGTACCTAGGTTTTTGTACCTTGTATATATAGAATGCGGAGAAATGGCAACTGGATGACACGACCCCACCTGCTGCTTACGACCCGAATGTTATATCCTAGATCTCGTCGGAAAAAAAGTTCAAGTTTCCTTAAAATCTGTTTAAAAGTCATTCTCCTCACATAAAACCACCCATCCCTAATTCTAAACCCTCAAAGACAGGCACGCAAGCAATACATATCACCATGTCAGTCTCTCTACATCCATTGATCGACAACGGTATCACCAAGGGAAGAAACAACTTCCCTGGTGGAAAGCTACGTTGCCATTGCCCTAGCAACAAAGTGGAGGTGACCATCACCGGCGACGTCCTTCACAACCATGCGTGTGGATGTTCTCAATGCTGGAAGCCAGCCGGCTCGCTCTTCTCCATCGTTGGCGTTGTGCCCGTTGCCAATCTCAAGGTCACAGCCAACCAGGGCAAGTTAGCCGTCGTTGACCGAAAAGCCGCCATCCAGCGTTACGCCTGCAAGCAATGCGGCGTCCACCTGTTTGGTCGTATCGAGAAGGACCATGCCTTCAAGGGACTCGACTTCATCCATGTGGAGCTCTCAGATGAGAAGGGATGGCAGGAACCACAATTCGCTGCTTTCGTCTCTTCGATTATTGAGCAGGGCTTCGATCCGAAAGGGGCTGATCATGTCCGCTGGAAGTTGAGATCTTTGGGCCTGGAGCCATACGATGTATTATCGCCCGCGCTCATGGATGCCCTCTCTACATTTACTGGAAACAGGGCGGGGAAGCTGTGATGGAGGAGTTATTGAAAGGGAGGGAAAGATTGAGCTCTGGGATTTCCCGGAGGCTGGGTACTAGAAGCATAAAACTACCTAGGTAAAATTAGCTGGGTCTGCCAATATTCAACTTGTATTCAGTCACTTAGCTGCCTCGCACGCTTAATAGCCAAGGTTTCTTTGAGAGCAGGAAATGATTCCTAGGGGGTATTTTACTCAGCTTTTCGAGGACTTATTATCGCTATATTCGTGGTTTAAACAATTGTTCCTAGCCCAAGCTGGCTTCCGCCCACCTGAACAGTCCTTGGGATTAATGTATATCTCTTCTACTGGTGGCAGCTGTCGAGAGTTTTCTTCCTTATCCTCTTAGTTGGCGCAAATGGTGTTGATCCAAAGCATCCTTCTAGTATGGTGGCTTCGCAAACCATATTTTGATCTCTTTCACTCCATCCCCGTTCATAAGCCGAGACCTCGCATTTCTTTTTAGATACGAGAGTAGCGAGAACATTTGATATGACTAAGCTTGTCGTTTTTAATCTAGAAGGAGTTGGAGTTTCCCTATTGTATCGGTGTATTCAATTAGCTTATAGTGATTCCTATGTGGCGGGTGGCGGGTGTTGTTGGTAATTTGATTTCGGTGAGGGCGGCAGTCTGGCCAATTAGCAATAGCATTTTCATTGCGGACAGCATTGAAAACTTGAGGATATAAAACGCGTGTAGCTGTGAGGGTCCAAGTACACTACCAAGGTAAAGTTCAACTTGGGTAAAATTATTGATTATAGGTGATGAGAGGGGGTCGAAAAAGCTTCCTTATTCCACTAACCCAGGCCCCCATCACCACTCCTCGCCTTCTTACCACTTTCACCTCATGCTTACCCACCTTAACTCACCTAATATTACTGGTAAAGCAGCCCAGTCCACCTTTCCGGACAAATTCAGTCACATTTTATTAGGTTAGGATTCAGGGTTGACAACTGGCTGTTAAACCACCAATCCAGTGCAAATGCCAGCTGAGGTTTGACAGCCAGTTCCACCAAATGCAGTGGTGCTCCCACAATTCCCATACTCAGAGTAACAGGCCCCAAATGCACCGCCAGTACAAGTAGCCCCGAGAGATGAACCGCTACCTCAGATACCATCACTAGAAATTGGCTGCACGTTTGTATAAATTCTATATGCCGGTTTGCAGACGGAAACAGCACAGTAAGCCGCTGAACTCCCGCCATTCATGACAGTCGAGCAGCAAGTTCCAAGAGCGCTACTAGTACAAGTGGCAGTTTTGGAGGAGGACGGACCGTAGAGCCCGTCAGTACTTATAGGAGTGCCAGACGCAGAATCGCAAGTGCCAAATTACGTCTGGCAGTTTTGGGCTGCGCAGAAATCCGACGTCGATCCACAGGAGTCGTATATGCTGCAACAGTTTCCGAACGTAGATCCTAAGCAGGTGTATAATGAGGAGGAAGTCCCGCAGGTGCCATCTAGGGGAACGACTTGTCAGTTGGGCGCGTGCCGATGCTATTCGAAAGGTCCAGATACCAGAAGTGGTAGGGCTGAACATAGTATGTAAGACCTGCAACAAGATCGGAATCACAGGTCGTGTTGGTGAGGGAAGGGTTGACTGCCACGAATAGAGAAATCGTTATACTGTGTTGTACGCAAATCTTTGCATATGAAACACCCGAGACCACTTCGTAGAATATCCCGCAGTTGGAAGTGGTTCCAACTGCACCCGCTGGGGGATCAACGGTGACATCGGAGTATCCTGAGGACCTACCCCAACCTCCACTAGTAGTCCCGTGTGTGACGACTCCATCCCAAGCTCCACCAGGATGTGTTACACAGATTAACGGCCGATGCAGATGGGTCAGGTCATCGCCCAGCTGTTCGTCAAGAGGCGGCCATGCAGATTGTCCCAGTGACTATCCGAAGTTCGTAGTTGCATCTAGCAGAGGAGCAGGCGGCGAGCAAACGCGTTCACCGGGTGCAAAGAGCTACTACTATAAAGACCCGATCCCAGACCAGTTTCAGGGCTGCAGCTAGCAAAAGAAAGCAACCCATGTACTTCCAACAGAAATTTTGTGCGAGGATTCCTGTCCTGGTTCTCAGGTACGACTAGCTCGACATGCTGGGGATTGTAGAGCGCCTGGGGGGAGGGGAAGTTCGTACCTCCAGGCATATTGCTGTGAAGGAGTAGACAGCCCCCCCCCC